CGTGGGGCTGCGATGGGCCAATCATATGCATATCGCCCGTGCCGACAGAGCCAAACTGGTTCCAGAATTGCCGTTTCGGAAAGATGCTTCGGTACAGAAGGAAACCAAGGACCTTTGGTGGGGTGCATTTCGGTTTCTTTGTAGTTCCCGTTTGCTCGTGAGTTTCTCTTTTTCTTCGGCCTACTAGAATCTCGCATCGTTTAAAGCGACGGGCAACTTTTGGCAGTGTTGGGTTCAGAAGTTTTTTTTTTTGAACCAGGCTTGCCAGCGCGAAAGTGCTGGCTGGCGAAAACCAGGATTTCGTGCGGACACTTTCCATCCGCAGTAACAGTTCGCCAGGGTTCCGGGTTTTGGGTGGCAAATGTGCACCGTCGCTTTAAGAGACTGCCGAGCCCGTCGCCGCCGCCGTCGTCATAGGCATGGACAGTAGCATTTCCCTCAACTTGTTCCCATCGAATCACCTGCCAAGAACATTAATCTGCACTGTTCTGCTCCAGACGTCGCCATACTTGCTCCTCCTCAGAGGCCTCTGGTCTTAGTATACTAAGTCTAGTAGTATCTACGAAGCCACTCCATGGCAACAGTTTCCGTAGCCCGTGACTCGAAGCGCTCTTCGCTAGCTTGTGTGGTCGGGCCTTTAGCCGCGTTAGTGGTAGGTTCGTTGCTATTCACCATCCTCGTGGGCTCAGGTACGACGTATCCGGACGCACCAACCCTACACGAACCGTCCCTGAACGCGAACGAACAGGGTAACTCAGAAGCTGGCGTGGCTGCGAGACAGGCGAAACCCCAGAATCAGAAAATCCCGAAAGGATCCGTACCGATCTGCTGGTGGTCCGGGGACCATGGCGGTTACCGCGGGGGCGACTCGTCGGGAACGAGCGACCTGCCAACATACTCTTATGGCGGGGCGCGGCAGAATGGTTCAACACAGCAGCATGATCGCACGCAAACACCCACTGCCACTGCCAATGGCCAAACCGAAAACGAGGAGGAGAGCAGTATTCGGAGGCAGAGGAAGGGAGGAGTTTTGATTTTCGGCGGGGGGTGCTCCCGCTGTACGGTGGGTGAGCTGTGCGCCTTTGAGATCGCCGTCAGATCGCCCGCGAAATGGGTCTTTGAGAGTCGAGCAAAGGGTCGGGACAGCCGTAGTGTTAACCCCAGCAGCAGCAGCAGCAGCTGCTGCAGCAGGAGTAGCAGCAGCAGCAACAGCAGCAGCAGCAGCAGCGCGCGGAGGGGCGTGGGTGGGATGCGCGAGTCGCTGGTAGTGAGGCTGATGGGGCATGCGTTGGTTGCAGCGGATGTGACTACAGAGGAGGGTGGCGTCGCGCGATGGCGAGTGACGTACCGCGTGTGGGACGCTGGAAACTACAGGTGAGACTTGCGGCATGCGGGGAGACATGGGGTGGAGAGGGGGAAGAGGGTAGGGGAGGAGGTGAGAAGGGGTTACCGCATGTGGGACGCTGGAAACTACAGGTGAGACTTGAGGCTTGCGGGGAGACAAAGGGAAGGGGGAATAGGGAGGGAGGATGGGCGAGGACAGGGTAGGGGGAGGGGTAGGAGGGGGGAAGGGGTGGGAAGCGAAAGGGAAAGGGAAAGGGGAAGCATGGGGATAGGGAAGGGGAAGGGGAAGGAGGGGAAAAAAGGCTGCCGTGAATTAGGGGATGGGGCAAAAGGGGAGGGAGGGGATGCGATCTGGGAAGATCCCCGCATTTCATTCCCTTCCTGACCCTCTCGCCGTTTACATTATACAAGGTTGGTTTTGAGACGTCTCCGCTTTAAGTGGTCACTTGTACCTCTCAAAAACAACTTCATATCACCTGACCCGCTCTCCGCTTTCATCTATGTTTTTCAGGCGCTTACTAAACAAGCCCCATCCCATTTATCCTTCCGTCTTCTCTCTCCCCCTTCTCCGACTCCCCGCCTAATCAGCGTCCTGGTCCAATCAGAGTGCGACACGCTGGACTTTGCTCCCGATTACTTGGAGCGAGTCAGCAGCACGGGATCGCATGTCATGGCTCAGTGGGTACTCACGGTCCTCCCACCCGCCGAACCACCCACCGAACCAGCCACCGAATCGGCTAATTCTGCCGAGTTCAAACCCAGCAACGAATCTTCTCAGGACATAGCGGACGGTCCAGATTCGCCCTGCGACCATTCCATCCAAGGCCGCTGGCTGTTCACCCCCCAAAAGCAAGCCTACACGTGGCAGCTCTACCCCTGCGCACACCCACTCCCCCCCACCTCCCAATGGGTCTCCACCCTCCAATCCCGGGGCATTTCCGAAATCAACTTTGTCGGGGACTCTCACGTGCGCTTCCTCTTCCACCACCTCTACTTCCTCCTGACCGGCAAGGCCAATGCATCTACCATGGTTTTCCACGGGGACATCCGATTGGCCGTGCCGCCCCCAAGCCCAGAGCTGCAGCCTTTGAAGCTTAACTTCTATTGGATCGGAGGGATTTACATCGATGGACCGTTTGGCTGCAGGTGCAGTATGGGAGCTTTAATCGGGTTTCTCTCTCTCTCTCTCTCTGTTTTCGTCCCCTCAGTTCTTGGCTTTAGCTCTTGGTTGAGTTCTCCATTTGGTCCCCTAATCCTTGTACCTGTATACCGTATGTGGCTCGACTTTGGGGAACCCCTGGCTCTAAACCACTCCAAGTGCCTTCTCCCTCTCTTTCCCTCATTCGTGCTATATTCCCTTTCACTATAATCACTGTGCAGTAATAAGCACATCTCGTCACTACAAAGTCTCAAGTTCCCAGATATTTCCACCACAGCAGATGTTACGCTTGTAGACGCTGGCTTCTGGACGGTTTGTTTTTGCCATGAACCTGTGAACGCGTTTGGGTACTATCTTCCGAACTACCTCGAGTGGATTTACTCCCGAATGGAACTGGCTCAGCAGGAGCGGAAGCAGAAGCAGCAGCAGCAGCAGCAGCAGCAGCAGCAGCAGCAGCAGCAGCAGCAGCAGATGCAGCAGCAACAGCAGCAGCTTCAGGGGCATGTCGAAACCAAGACATTGCCTGCCAAGGGCCCTTGGTTTCTGTACCGAAGCATCCCTCCTAAACGTCTCAACGACTTCTGTGGAGCGGGAACCAACACCCTCATTTCACACCTGAACAAAGTTGCTGCGGGGCACTTGGGACGTTATGGGCTGTCGTTTTTCAACGATTGGCTCATTGCAGCCCCTCGATCCGATGATACTTGTGGGCATAACGATATTCACTACACTTGCTTTGCCAGAGATTGGAGAAGCCAAATAATGTTTTGGAGTAGGGATACGGATGGAAGTTATGAGGGGCGTGTGGGAGAGGCGATGGTTTTGAACTTTGTTTACCATCTCTTGTATATGCTTGATTAAATTATGGGGTAAACATAGTGCAACTATCGCGATCACTCAACTGCACTCGTAGCAACATCAGACATTTGATGTATATTCGCGAAGCCGAAGGCCTGTTTCTCTGTGTGGTACCAGATTGCGAAAGAAATTACTTTCGCCTGCTTAGGGGCGAGCGTAAGCGAATGTTGCGTTACCATGCAGAGTAGACCTTCGCTTCACACCATTCTGTTCTGTCTGTGACCAAGTTCATGATCAATTTCCGCAGTGCGTCCGCACCGCACATAGTTGCCTCCCTTCTGACTAATAATCTCGAGTGTGTCATAATAGTAGCACATAATATATCCGGAACGGAGGAATGCAGCAAGTTTTTGTCGCGTCGCGACCACTCTTAAAGCCACGCCTGTGTGCTTCAAGTGGGCCCTCGCCTGATGCTTGTAGCGTGATTTAGTGCATTCTTCTACCCCGCCATTACTCTCGCGTTCTTCTCACCTGAGTTCAGACGGGTTCAATTGCTCGCAGTTTCCCTTCGCGAAGTGCCGTAGCTTACTCCCTCCGTCGTAATTTTCCTCTTGCGCGATTCCGTCGTCTTATTTGACACCGTTGACATCGGGTCGACGCGCTTCGGCGAGTGGTGACACGCGCAATCGTTTGTAGGGCTTATTCGGCGGCAGGAAAACCTTCTTCGTGATTCCATAGCGACTGTTAGCGAAAGGTGCTCGTGAGCTGTACAGCTAGATACCGCACCGAATTCAAGTTGCCAGCGACGTTCGGCTTTCGACGATTTCGACTCTCGACGATTTCGACTTGCGCTCGGACTTCCCTTCAGTCTGGCCCTCGCTGCGACAAAACGGAATCCGTCATAAAGATGGTCAGCCTCCGTCGGAGAATCGTCGCATTATAGTAGCGTCCATGCATGAGATAGACGGATTTTTGTCCTAATTGGATTGATCCGATTCGATTCATTGACAAACGGCACCGATTGAGCAACATTACGCCATGTTCCCGATGCTTCCAGGAACCTGTACTCTGACACCAACTCCTAATCCAGCCACTCACGCCACGCCACATGTACTGTACACACCACACGCTGCGGAGGCAATTTCAAATAATATCCGTCCTTGTTCCGCCATCTCGGCTCGACCAATCAGAATCAGCCACGCACGGCGTTCTCTCAGCCAGAGTTCTCTCGCCGTCACACCCAGCACCAGCCGTCTAGTTAAACACCCTGCCGGCAATGATTGCAGATTCCGACGGTCGTTTCTCGGGAACGCGGGAGCGCTTCGCTGCAAAGGCAGTTCCGCCAATGGCCCGTCCGTCAGCCGTCCGTCAGTCAGCGCCACGTCAGCTGGCTGGATTAGCCGTCCGTCAGTCATCGCCACGTCAGCTGGCAGGACTATCCACGTCATCACGGCTGCAGCAGTGGTGGCGGGGGGAATCATGGCTGCGCCAGCAGCAGCGGGAACAGCGGGGGCAGGGGTAGGAGCAGCAGCAGCAGCAGCGGCATCATCATCATCATCATCATCATCATCATCATCATCAGCAGCAGTGGGAGCGTTGCTCGCCGCGTGTGGTGTGAACACGTCTGTGCTGCGAGCGTCCCTGGGAGCCTCGTTCAAGCTCTTCGCCATGTGCGGTGAGCCGTTGGGAGCTGTGCCGTATGCCTCATGCTCACCCCATTTGGCTAGTCGGTCCTGAAAATTCCTGCTGTGCTGCGCGCTTCCCTCCCTGGGAGCCTCGTTCAAGCTATTCGCCATGTGCGGTGAGTCAATGCGAGCGCTGCCTCATGCTCACCCGCATTCGCTGTGCTCCGAGCGTCCCTGGGAGCCGCGTTCAAGCTCTTCGCCATGTGCGGTGAGCCGCTGCCTATCGCTCCCTCATGCTGACCCCTCATGCTGACCCCTCATGCTGACCCCTCATGCTGACCCCTCATGCTGACCCCTTATGCTGGCAAGTGCCGAGAATTCCTGCTGTGCTGCGAGCGTCCCTGGGAGCCGCGTTCAAGCTCTTCGCCATGTGCGGTGAGTCGCTGCCTATCGCTCCCTCATGCTGACCCCTCATGCTGACCCCTCATGCTGACCCCTCATGCTGACCCCTCATGCTGACCCCTCATGCTGACCCCTCATGCTGACCCCTTATGCTGGCAAGTGCCGAGAATTCCTGCTGTGCTGCGAGCGTCCCTGGGAGCCGCGTTCAAGCTCTTCGCCATGTGCGGTGAGTCGCTGCCTATCGCTCCCTCATGCTGACCCCTCATGCTGACCCCTCATGCTGACCCCTCATGCTGACCCCTCATGCTGACCCCTCATGCTGACCCCTCATGCTGACCCCTTATGCTGGCAAGTGCCGAGAATTCCTGCTGTGCTGCGAGCGTCCCTGGGAGCCGCGTTCAAGCTCTTCGCCATGTGCGGTGAGTCGCTGCCTATCGCTCCCTCATGCTGACCCCTCATGCTGACCCCTCATGCTGACCCCTCATGCTGACCCCTCATGCTGACCCCTCATGCTGACCCCTCATGCTGACCCCTTATGCTGGCAAGTGCCGAGAATTCCTGCTGTGCTGCGAGCGTCCCTGGGAGCCGCGTTCAAGCTCTTCGCCATGTGCGGTGAGTCGCTGCCTATCGCTCCCTCATGCTGACCCCTCATGCTGACCCCTCATGCTGACCCCTCATGCTGACCCCTTATGCTGGCAAGTGCTGAGAATTCCTGCTGTGCTGCACGCGTCCCTGGGAGCCGCGTTCAAGCTCTTCGCCATGTGCGGTGAGTCGCTGCCTATCGCTCCCTCATGCTGACCCCTCATGCTGACCCCTCATGCTGACCCCTTATGCTGGCAAGTGCCGAGAATTCCTGCTGTGCTGCGCGCGTCCCTGGGAGCCGCGTTCAAGCTCTTCGCCATGTGCGGTGAGTCGCTGCCTATCGCTCCCTCATGCTGACCCCTCATGCTGACCCCTCATGCTGACCCCTCATGCTGACCCCTCATGCTGACCCCTCATGCTGACCCCTCATGCTGACACCTTATGCTGGCAAGTGCCGAGAATTCCTGCTGTGCTGCGAGCGTCCCTGGGAGCCGCGTTCAAGCTCTTCGCCATGTGCGGTGAGTCGCTGCCTATCGCTCCCTCATGCTGACCCCTCATGCTGACCCCTCATGCTGACCCCTCATGCTGACCCCTTATGCTGGCAAGTGCTGAGAATTCCTGCTGTGCTGCACGCGTCCCTGGGAGCCGCGTTCAAGCTCTTCGCCATGTGCGGTGAGTCGCTGCCTATCGCTCCCTCATGCTGACCCCTCATGCTGACCCCTCATGCTGACCCCTTATGCTGGCAAGTGCCGAGAATTCCTGCTGTGCTGCGAGCGTCCCTGGGAGCCGCGTTCAAGCTCTTCGCCATGTGCGGTGAGTCGCTGCCTATCGCTCCCTCATGCTGACCCCTCATGCTGACCCCTCATGCTGACCCCTCATGCTGACCCCTTATGCTGGCAAGTGCTGAGAATTCCTGCTGTGCTGCGCGCGTCCCTGGGAGCCGCGTTCAAGCTCTTCGCCATGTGCGGTGAGTCGCTGCCTATCGCTCCCTCATGCTGACCCCTCATGCTGACCCCTCATGCTGACCCCTCATGCTGACCCCTTATGCTGGCAAGTGCTGAGAATTCCTGCTGTGCTGCGCGCGTCCCTGGGAGCCGCGTTCAAGCTCTTCGCCATGTGCGGTGAGTCGCTGCCTATCGCTCCCTCATGCTGACCCCTCATGCTGACCCCTCATGCTGACCCCTTATGCTGGCAAGTGCCGAGAATTCCTGCTGTGCTGCGCGCGTCCCTGGGAGCCGCGTTCAAGCTCTTCGCCATGTGCGGTGAGTCGCTGCCTATCGCTCCCTCATGCTGACCCCTCATGCTGACCCCTCATGCTGACCCCTCATGCTGACCCCTCATGCTGACCCCTCATGCTGACCCCTTATGCTGGCAAGTGCCGAGAATTCCTGCTGTGCTGCGCGCGTCCCTGGGAGCCGCGTTCAAGCTCTTCGCCATGTGCGGTGAGTCGCTGCCTATCGCTCCCTCATGCTGACCCCTCATGCTGACCCCTCATGCTGACCCCTCATGCTGACCCCTCAGGCTGACCCCTTATGCTGGCAAGTGCCGAGAATTCCTGCTGTGCTGCGAGCGTCCCTGGGAGCCGCGTTCAAGCTCTTCGCCATGTGCGGTGAGTCGCTGCCTATCGCTCCCTCATGCTGACCCCTCATGCTGACCCCTCATGCTGACCCCTCATGCTGACCCCTTATGCTGGCAAGTGCTGAGAATTCCTGCTGTGCTGCGCGCGTCCCTGGGAGCCGCGTTCAAGCTCTTCGCCATGTGCGGTGAGTCGCTGCCTATCGCTCCCTCATGCTGACCCCTCATGCTGACCCCTCATGCTGACCCCTTATGCTGGCAAGTGCTGAGAATTCCTGCTGTGCTGCGCGCGTCCCTGGGAGCCGCGTTCAAGCTCTTCGCCATGTGCGGTGAGTCGCTGCCTATCGCTCCCTCATGCTGACCCCTCATGCTGACCCCTCATGCTGACCCCTTTTGCTGGCAAGTGCCGAGAATTCCTGCTGTGCTGCGAGCGTCCCTGGGAGCCGCGTTCAAGCTCTTCGCCATGTGCGGTGAGTCGCTGCCTATCGCTCCCTCATGCTGACCCCTCATGCTGACCCCTCATGCTGACCCCTCATGCTGACCCCTTATGCTGGCAAGTGCTGAGAATTCCTGCTGTGCTGCGCGCGTCCCTGGGAGCCGCGTTCAAGCTCTTCGCCATGTGCGGTGAGTCGCTGCCTATCGCTCCCTCATGCTGACCCCTCATGCTGACCCCTCATGCTGACCCCTTATGCTGGCAAGTGCCGAGAATTCCTGCTGTGCTGCGCGCGTCCCTGGGAGCCGCGTTCAAGCTCTTCGCCATGTGCGGTGAGTCGCTGCCTATCGCTCCCTCATGCTGACCCCTCATGCTGACCCCTCATGCTGACCCCTCATGCTGACCCCTCATGCTGACCCCTTATGCTGGCAAGTGCCGAGAATTCCTGCTGTGCTGCGCGCGTCCCTGGGAGCCGCGTTCAAGCTCTTCGCCATGTGCGGTGAGTCGCTGCCTATCGCTCCCTCATGCTGACCCCTCATGCTGACCCCTCATGCTGACCCCTCATGCTGACCCCTCATGCTGACCCCTTATGCTGGCAAGTGCCGAGAATTCCTGCTGTGCTGCGAGCGTCCCTGGGAGCCGCGTTCAAGCTCTTCGCCATGTGCGGTGAGTCGCTGCCTATCGCTCCCTCATGCTGACCCCTCATGCTGACCCCTCATGCTGACCCCTCATGCTGACCCCTTATGCTGGCAAGTGCTGAGAATTCCTGCTGTGCTGCGCGCGTCCCTGGGAGCCGCGTTCAAGCTCTTCGCCATGTGCGGTGAGTCGCTGCCTATCGCTCCCTCATGCTGACCCCTCATGCTGACCCCTCATGCTGACCCCTTATGCTGGCAAGTGCTGAGAATTCCTGCTGTGCTGCGCGCGTCCCTGGGAGCCGCGTTCAAGCTCTTCGCCATGTGCGGTGAGTCGCTGCCTATCGCTCCCTCATGCTGACCCCTCATGCTGACCCCTCATGCTGACCCCTCATGCTGACCCCTCATGCTGACCCCTTATGCTGGCAAGTGCTGAGAATTCCTGCTGTGCTGCGCGCGTCCCTGGGAGCCGCGTTCAAGCTCTTCGCCATGTGCGGTGAGTCGCTGCCTATCGCTCCCTCATGCTGACCCCTCATGCTGACCCCTCATGCTGACCCCTTATGCTGGCAAGTGCCGAGAATTCCTGCTGTGCTGCGCGCGTTCCTGGGAGCCGCGTTCAAGCTCTTCGCCATGTGCGGTGAGTCGCTGCCTATCGCTCCCTCATGCTGACCCCTCATGCTGACCCCTCATGCTGACCCCTCATGCTGACCCCTCATGCTGACCCCTCATGCTGACCCCTCATGCTGACCCCTTATGCTGGCAAGTGCCGAGAATTCCTGCTGTGCTGCGAGCGTCCCTGGGAGCCGCGTTCAAGCTCTTCGCCATGTGCGGTGAGTCGCTGCCTATCGCTCCCTCATGCTGACCCCTCATGCTGACCCCTCATGCTGACCCCTCATGCTGACCCCTTATGCTGGCAAGTGCTGAGAATTCCTGCTGTGCTGCGCGCGTCCCTGGAAGCCGCGTTCAAGCTCTTCGCCATGTGCGGTGAGTCGCTGCCTATCGCTCCCTCATGCTGACCCCTCATGCTGACCCCTCATGCTGACCCCTCATGCTGACCCCTCATGCTGACCCCTCATGCTGACCCCTTATGCTGGCAAGTGCCGAGAATTCCTGCTGTGCTGCGCGCGTCCCTGGGAGCCGCGTTCAAGCTCTTCGCCATGTGCGGTGAGTCGCTGCCTATCGCTCCCTCATGCTGACCCCTCATGCTGACCCCTTATGCTGGCAAGTGCCGAGAATTCCTGCTGTGCTGCGCGCGTCCCTGGGAGCCGCGTTCAAGCTCTTCGCCATGTGCGGTGAGTCGCTGCCTATCGCTCCCTCATGCTGACCCCTCATGCTGACCCCTCATGCTGACCCCTCATGCTGGCAAGTGCCGAGAATTCCTGCTGTGCTGCGCGCGTCCCTGGGAGCCGCGTTCAAGCTCTTCGCCATGTGCGGTGAGTCGCTGCCTATCGCTCCCTCATGCTGACCCCTCATGCTGACCCCTCATGCTGACCCCTCATGCTGACCCCTTATGCTGACCCCTTATGCTGGCAAGTGCCGAGAATTCCTGCTGTGCTGCGCGCGTCCCTGGGAGCCGCGTTCAAGCTCTTCGCCATGTGCGGTGAGTCGCTGCCTATCGCTCCCTCATGCTGACCCCTCATGCTGACCCCTCATGCTGAACCCTCATGCTGGCAAGTGCTGAGAATTCCTGCTGTGCTGCGCGCGTCCCTGGGAGCCGCGTTCAAGCTCTTCGCCATGTGCGGTGAGTCACTGCCTATCGCTCCCTCATGCTGACCCCTCATGCTGACCCCTCATGCTGACCCCTTATGCTGGCAAGTGCCGAGAATTCCTGCTGTGCTGCGCGCGTCCCTGGGAGCCGCGTTCAAGCTCTTCGCCATGTGCGGTGAGTCGCTGCCTATCGCTCCCTCATGCTGACCCCTCATGCTGACCCCTCATGCTGAACCCTCATGCTGGCAAGTGCTGAGAATTCCTGCTGTGCTGCGCGCGTCCCTGGGAGCCGCGTTCAAGCTCTTCGCCATGTGCGGTGAGTCGCTGCCTATCGCTCCCTCATGCTGACCCCTCATGCTGACCCCTCATGCTGACCCCTTATGCTGGCAAGTGCCGAGAATTCCTGCTGTGCTGCGCGCGTCCCTGGGAGCCGCGTTCAAGCTCTTCGCCATGTGCGGTGAGTCGCTGCCTATCGCTCCCTCATGCTGACCCCTCATGCTGACCCCTCATGCTGAACCCTCATGCTGGCAAGTGCTGAGAATTCCTGCTGTGCTGCGCGCGTCCCTGGGAGCCGCGTTCAAGCTCTTCGCCATGTGCGGTGAGTCGCTGCCTATCGCTCCCTCATGCTGACCCCTCATGCTGACCCCTCATGCTGGCAAGTGCCGAGAATTCCTGCTGTGCTGCGCGCGTCCCTGGGAGCCGCGTTCAAGCTCTTCGCCATGTGCGGTGAGTCGCTGCCTATCGCTCCCTCATGCTGACCCCTCATGCTGACCCCTCATGCTGGCAAGTGCTGAGAATTCCTGCTGTGCTGCGAGCGTCCCTGGGAGCCGCGTTCAAGCTCTTCGCCATGTGCGGTGAGTCGCTGCCTATCGCTCCCTCATGCTGACCCCTCATGCTGACCCCTCATGCTGACCCCTCATGCTGACCCCTCATGCTGACCCCTCATGCTGACCCCTTATGCTGGCAAGTGCCGAGAATTCCTGCTGTGCTGCGCGCGTCCCTGGGAGCCGCGTTCAAGCTCTTCGCCATGTGCGGTGAGTCGCTGCCTATCGCTCCCTCATGCTGACCCCTCATGCTGACCCCTCATGCTGGCAAGTGCTGAGAATTCCTGCTGTGCTGCGCGCGTCCCTGGGAGCCGCGTTCAAGCTCTTCGCCATGTGCGGTGAGTCGCTGCCTATCGCTCCCTCATGCTGACCCCTCATGCTGACCCCTTATGTTGGCAAGTGCCGAGAATTCCTGCTGTGCTGCGCGCGTCCCTGGGAGCCGCGTTCAAGCTCTTCGCCATGTGCGGTGAGTCGCTGCCTATCGCTCCCTCATGCTGACCCCTCATGCTGACCCCTCATGCTGACCCCTCATGCTGACCCCTCATGCTGACCCCTTATGCTGGCAAGTGCTGAGAATTCCTGCTGTGCTGCGCGCGTCCCTGGGAGCCGCGTTCAAGCTCTTCGCCATGTGCGGTGAGTCGCTGCCTATCGCTCCCTCATGCTGACCCCTCATGCTGACCCCTCATGCTGACCCCTCATGCTGGCAAGTGCTGAGAATTCCTGCTGTGCTGCGCGCGTCCCTGGGAGCCGCGTTCAAGCTCTTCGCCATGTGCGGTGAGTCGCTGCCTATCGCTCCCTCATGCTGACCCCTCATGCTGACCCCTCATGCTGGCAAGTGCTGAGAATTCCTGCTGTGCTGCGCGCGTCCCTGGGAGCCGCGTTCAAGCTCTTCGCCATGTGCGGTGAGTCGCTGCCTATCGCTCCCTCATGCTGACCCCTCATGCTGACCCCTCATGCTGACCCCTCATTCTGACCCCTCATGCTGACCCCTCATGCTGACCCCTTATGCTGGCAAGTGCCGAGAATTCCTGCTGTGCTGCGCGCGTCCCTGGGAGCCGCGTTCAAGCTCTTCGCCATGTGCGGTGAGTCGCTGCCTATCGCTCCCTCATGCTGACCCCTCATGCTGACCCCTCATGCTGACCCCTCATGCTGGCAAGTGCTGAGAATTCCTGCTGTGCTGCGCGCGTCCCTGGGAGCCGCGTTCAAGCTCTTCGCCATGTGCGGTGAGTCGCTGCCTATCGCTCCCTCATGCTGACCCCTCATGCTGACCCCTCATGCTGACCCCTTATGCTGGCAAGTGCTGAGAATTCCTGCTGTGCTGCGCGCGTCCCTGGGAGCCGCGTTCAAGCTCTTCGCCATGTGCGGTGAGTCGCTGCCTATCGCTCCCTCATGCTGACCCCTCATGCTGACCCCTCATGCTGACCCCTCATGCTGGCAAGTGCTGAGAATTCCTGCTGTGCTGCGCGCGTCCCTGGGAGCCGCGTTCAAGCTCTTCGCCATGTGCAGTGAGCTGTTGTTGAGTGCCGCCTCATGCTGACACACCCGCATCCATCACGGCTTTTGAAAGCTCTCGCTGTGCTGCGAGCATCCTTGGGAGGGAGCCACGTTCAAACTGTTTGCCATGTGCGGTGAGCCATTGCGAGCTCTGTCTGATGCCTCATCCTACTACCTTCTCTTCCCACCTCCTACCCATTCTCCATGCTCCCTGCAGCCTTCATCGTGTGGCTCATGAAGGCCAACGTCCTTGCTAAATCCACCAACACCCATGATGTGATGTGCCTCGTGGTCACCCCACCTCCCCCCCTTCCCTCCCTTGTAATCGCAAACACCCTACCTAGTAGTACCTCCCTACTCCCCCCTGTCCCCTCCCCTCCATGCTCCATGCAGCCTTCATCGTGTGGCTCATGAAGGCCAACATCCTTCCTAAAGCCACCATCATACGTCGTGTGATGCGCCGTGTGTGCCCTTTGCTTGCTTTCTTCTCCCTCCCACCTCCCCCGCTCTCGCCCTCCTCTCTCTCCCCCTCCCACTATCCTCCCCCACAGCCTTCATCGTGTGGCTAATGAAGGCCAACATTTCTTACCCAAAGCCAGCACCATCCATGATGTGACCGCACCCACCCACCACCCTATTCCCTCACCACCCCTCCCCGCTCCATATCCCCCCCAGCCTTCATCGTGTGGCTCATGAAGGCCAACATTCTTCCTGAAGCCACTCCCTCGGTGCTCAGCCAGGTGGGATTCAGGTGTATCGTCAGGTGGGGTTCAGGTGTATCGTCAGGTGGGGTTGAGGTGTGGAGTCACGCGTGGCTCAGATGTCTAGTCAGGTGTTGTTGTTCAGGTGTCCTTCCTCTCGTTTGCACCGACTCAAAAGCCCCCCTCAAGCTGGTCAAAGGTCACATATAATTGCTCCTCACCTCATCACCCATACCATATCATTGCTCCTCACCTCATCACCCATACCATATCATTGCTCCTCACCTCATCACCCATACCATATCATTGCTCCTCACCTCATCACCCACACCATATCATTGCTCCTCACCTCATCACCCATACCATATCATTGCTCCTCACCTCATCACCCATACCATATCATTGCTCCTCACCTCATCACCCATACCATATCATTGCTCCTCACCTCATCACCCATACCATATCATTGCTCCTCACCTCATCACCCATACCATATCGTTGCTCCTCACCTCATCACCCATACCATATCATTGCTCCTCACCTCATCACCCATACCATATCATTGCTCCTCACCTCATCACCCATACCATATCATTGCTCCTCACCTCATCACCCATACCATATCATTGCTCCTCACCTCATCACCCACACCATATCATTGCTCCTCACCTCATCACCCATACCATATCATTGCTCCTCACCTCATCACCCATACCATATCATTGCTCCTCACCTCATCACCCATACCATATCATTGCTCCTCACCTCATCACCCATACCATATATCCTTCTCCTCCACCCCCTCTAACCCCTCCAGTTTTGAGACGTCTCAAAACAAAAGCCCCCCTTAAGCTGGTCAAGGGTCACATATCATTGCTCCTCATCTCATCAACCATACCATATCTCCTTCTCCTCTGCCCCTCTCTAACCCCTCCACGGCCGTCTCAACCCTTTGTCCCCCCACCTCCTTTCTCTCAGGTGGCCTTCCAAGCGCTCATCCCTTGCTTCCTCATGATCAAGCCAAGGTCGCCTCTACTCTCGCTGTGCAACCTCTTACGGCCTTTTGACTCTCAATGTCATGTCGCCCCTCCCCACCCCCTCCATTCCACCCCTCCAGGTGGCCTTCCAAGCGCTCATCCCCTGCTTCCTCATGACCAAGCCAAGGTCGCCTCAGCTCCCTTTTAAGTCGAATTTAGAACCCTTCTCCTCTCCCTTCCCCACCCTCCTTCCCCCAGGTGGCCTTCCAAGCGCTCATCCCCTGCTTCCTCATGACCAAAGTCGCCTCTACTCTCACTGTGCAACCTCTCATCTCATCATCTCACCCATGTCGCCACCCCCCTCAACCGCTCTCCACCCCTCCAGGTGGCCTTCCAAGCGCTCATCCCCTGTTTTCTGATGACCAAGGTCGCCTCTACTCTCGCCGTTCAACCACTCTCCTCGCTCGCTGCGCTACCCCTCCTCGCCGTCCTTCAAGTGGGCTGCACCGCTCTCCACTCCACTCCACCCCACGCCACTCCACTCCACCCCACTCCACTCCACTCCACTCCACTCCACTCCACTTCACTGCACCCCATTCCACTCCTCTTCAACCCTCTCCACTCCCTTCCACTTCTCTCCACACCATTTCCCTCCTCCTCCCACACAATGTTCCATTCTCCTTTCCTCACACCACTCTACTAACTATCACATGCTGATATCACTATTCCACACACATATCCCTTTTTCCCCATTCGTACTCCCATCCACCCCCCATCCTCATCCCTGAACCCAATGACACTCCTATCCTTTCCCATTGCATGACTTGGCCAACTAATATTTACCAATGTTTGTGCATCTCCGTGTATCAAGCTACCTTCCCTTAGGAACCTTTTGTTTTTTTTTAGTGTCACAACGCTTTGTTGGGAGCATCACCCGTATTCCCCTCCCACACACCTCCACCTCACCTCACTCACCCCTTCAACCCCTCACCTCCTCCCCCCACCCTATCCATCCCCTTCACCCCTCCCAAATCCTCTGTGGAGCAGCTCTAAGCAAGCTCGCCTGCACCATCGCCTACCACCGTCCTTCCTCGCTCTCCTCGCTCACTTCTGTACTGCCTTTTTTCTCCAGTTCTCCTTATAAACTCCTTCCACCCAACCCCACCCCACCCCACCCCACCCCACCCCACCCCACCCCACCCCACCCCACCCAACCCAACTCCCTGTCCCCCTCCCAAATCCTCAGTAAGGCAGCTCTAGGCAAGCTGGCCTGCACCATCGCATACCGCCGTCCCTCCTCGCTCTCCTCGCTCGAGTCTGTACAGCTTTTGTTCTCCAGTTCTCCTTATAAACTCCTTCTACCCCACCCCACCCCACCCCATTCTGCCTTCTTCCCCAGATCCTGTGTGGAGCAGCGCTAGGCAAGCTAGCCTGCACCATCGCCTACCGCCGTCCCTCCTCGCTCTCCTCGCTTCCCTCCCCTCCTGCCGCCCGCCACATCGCCTTCTCGGTCGCCCAGAGCCTCGGCCTCTCCCCCTCTACTGCCGCCCTCCTCTCAGGCCTCCCCCCTCCTCCTCCTTCTCCCCCTTCTTGTGACAACGAATCCGAAACTTTTGTGCAGTGGGGAAGGGGGAGGGGAGGGGAGGGAGGGGAACGGGAGGGGGGAGTGGAGGGGAAGGTGGGCAGTGGGAAGGCGGTGCCTGGGCAGGGCGTTTTGTCTGCACCTGGGATAGTTGGGGCGGCAGAGCGGGCGGCGGGGAGGAAGGAGTCCGTGGTGATGTCAGCATGTGCGTTTGGCAACTCGCTCACTCTGCCTCTGGTGTTTCTGGCAACGCTGCTGACTCGCGCTGATGCTGACAGGGCTGCTGGGTACCTCGCACTCTTCATGGTTGGGTGAGTACACTCTTGAAGGTTGTGTAACATTACATTGTACCCATCCATGCTGAAAGGGCTGCTGGGTACCTGGCACTCTTTCATGGTCGGGTGAGTATACCTTTACACCTTGCTGTGTTGGGTATATCGGCACTGTACTTATTCTAACAGGGCTGCTGGGTACCTGGCACTGTTCATGGTGGGGTGAGTACACTCTTGAAAGTTGGGTGACACTACATTGTACCCATCCATGCTGACAGGGCTGCTGGGTACCTGGGGGTATTCTTGCTGCGGTGAGTACACCTTTCTGTGCTGGGTATGTTAGAACTCTACCCATGTGACCTTGGGTTACAGCATGTTCACAGGAGGGGATGCTGCTGCCGCTCCTCTTCCCACACTTTTCTCGGCCCTCGCCTATGCTGTCCTTTTTTCGAGCATCCTCCTTTCCAGCTGATCACCCACCTCTTGGACTCGTGGTTGCTGCATGTTCACAGGGGGGGGGGCAATGCTGCTCTTCCCACTCCTCTCTTCTCCCGCCCCTCACCCATGCTTCCTCCCCTGCTTGCATCCCCCTTTCCAGCTGGTCCCCCACGTTCTGGACTCTGGGTTACAGCATGGTCACAGGGGGGGATGCTGCTGCTTCTCCTCTTTCCACTCTTCTCTCGCCCCCCGCCCATTCTCTCCCTCTGCACCCCCCAACTCTGCACCTGGTCCCCCACGTTCTGGACTCTGGACTACAGCATGTTCACAGGGGGGGATGACAAGCAGGAAGAGAGGGAGCGGGTGGGAGGAGGGGGGGGAGAGAGTGATGACACACCATTTATTCCCCTCTTCCCACTCCCCTCCCCCACCCTTCCAGCTGGTCGCCCACCTTCTGGACTTTGGGTTACAGCATGTTCACAGGGGGGGATGCTGCTGCCGCTCCTCTTCCCACTCCTCACTCGCCCCTCCCCCCATGCTGTCCACCCCCCGGATTCCCCCTTTCCAGCTGGTCCCCACCTTCTGGACTTTGGGTTACAGCATGTTCACAGGGGGGGGGTGCTGCTGCCGCTCCTCTTCCCCCTCTTGCCCCACCCACCCATGCTCCCTGCATTCTCCCTTCCCCTTCCAGCTGGTCACCCACCTTCTGGACTCTGGGTTACAGCATGTTCACAGGGGGGGATAACAAGCAGGAGGAGGGTGAGGGGGAGTGGGGAGAGTGATGGCAAACCATATATTCCCCTCATGCTACTCCTCCCCTCCCTCCACCCTTCCAGCTGGTCACCCACCTTCTGGACTCTGGGTTACAGCATGTTCACAGGGGGGGATAACAAGCAGGAAGAGAGGGAGCGGGCGGGGGAAGAGGCGAGTGCAGCAGTGGCAGCGGCAGCAGAAGCGATGGGAGTGACGGGGCTTGACCGTGCTGTCAGCCGTGTGATGGCGGTCATTCAGAAAGTGCTCAATCCACCTATTTATGGGGTGAGTTTCTAAAAATGGAATTGATGGGAGTGCCGGGGTTTGACCTAGTATGGGTGGAGTTCCAATTATTGCTCTTCCCTCCCACTCCCCCTTCTCCCCTCATCCTCCCATCAAGTGCGGTTCTAGCAGGTCTGCTAATAGGAGCCACCCCGCTCGCCCACCTCTTCCTCCCATCCCCTCATCTTCCCATCCCTTCAACCCCGCACGCATTCCCCTCTCTCCTCCCCACCCCCACCCCACCCCATCAGGTGCTAGCAGGTCTGCTAACAGGAGCCACCCCGCTCGCCCACTTCTTCCCCTCATCCCCCCATCCCCCCACTCCCCCGTCTCCCATTCATCCCTCCATCCCCCCTCTCCCCCTCTCCCCATCATCCCCCCATCAGGTGCTAGCAGGTCTGCTAATAGGAGCCACACCTCTCTCCCATTTCTTCCTCCCCGCCTCCTCCTCCTCCTCTGCTGCTGCAGCCGCCTCCCTCCCAGCCTCCGCCTCAGCGTGGCTCTTCAGCCCTGCCACTGCTGGCATTCTGCACGGCGTCATGGAGGTGAGTGGGGTAGGGGAGGTGAGGCATGCGTCATGGAGGTGAGCTGTGCAGTGACCTGACAGACAGCTATCATGGGGGGTGAGTGTGCGCCCTTGCTCATCTGCCACTGCCGGCATTCAACACGGCGTCATGGAGATGAGCGAGGGGTAGGCGAGGCAAGGCATGCGGCATGGAGGTGAGCTCTAATCTAAGACGTCTCAAAGGTCATGTATGCGAGTGGTGCTCAAAGGCCAACGGAACTCCCAAAGACAGATCTAATATCGACTTTCAAAACAAGGGAAGGGAGAACAATTTTCTTCTGTTTGTCAAACGGATGGGGCGTTTTCGAGAATTCTCTTCACCGCACAGCATGCCTCACCACTCAACCACCTTCCTCCCTCCCTCCCTCCCTCCATCCATCACCCAGGCAGCAGCTATTCTCGGGTCAGCCTGTGTGGCTGTGCAAGCAGTGGTTCTCGCCTCCTCTCTCGCCTCCTCCATCCCCTCCCGCATCTCCCTCTCTTGGCCCAAACCCTCCTCCTCCCCCTCCTCCTCCCCTTCCTCGTCTCCTTCCTCCTCCCCACCATCTCCCACTTCCTCTCCCACCTCTGCTGCTGCAGCAGCGGCTGTGACAGCAGCAATTGAACAGCTGCTACCACCAGCAGCCAACACCCAAGTCACTGCTCTCGTGCCCATGCCTACACCAGGTGCGTTTTGGTCTTCCCCTTCCTCCTCCCCAGCCTCTGCAGCAGCAGCGGCGGCTGTGGGTGTCATAGTCATGCGTGCTTCTGTGTCGCAGAAATGCTAGGCTGAAGCTGATATTCCCCCACAAGTTACAGCTTTAGCCAAGCATCTCTGCGCCACCCACGCTTGCAAGCAGCAGCAGGAACAGCAACCCCTGCTCCGTTGTTCCCGTCAGCTGCAATCAAGTGCTGTTGAGTCTTTTATAGCCGTTTCACTCCTCAGGGCCGTTCCAGTTTTGAGACGTCTCAAAACTGGTCTTTTGTAACCAATTTGACATCTAAGTAGTACAGGAGGATTTTTTACTGTCTATCCTTTGCTTTAAGTCCTAGTTAAGTTTGCAGCCCGCTGAGAATTATGTCACAAGACGTCTCAAAACTAGTCTTTTGTATCCAATTTGACTCCTCAGAGCCGTTCCAGTCCAGACTTATTCAGCCGTTTGAGTGCTTTTGAGAATCTTTTTTTTTGCATATCTTGTATATGTTTTTCCAAGTTTGAAGCCTGTTGATTCGAATCAGAAAGGCTACTGGTTGTGGTAGTTGAGAGTGGAAAGCTGTTTCGTGTGGAATGCACTGCTACACGTAGCAGTGTTGGTGTTACTTTTGAGAATTCTCAAAGCTACACGTAGCAGTGTTGGTGTTACTTTTGAGAATTCTCAAAGCTACACGTAGCAGTGTTGGTGTTACTTTTGAGAATTCTCAAAGCCACACGTAGGAGTTTTGGTGTTACTTTTGAGAATTCTCAAAGCTACACGTAGCAGTGTTGGTGTTACTTTTGAGAATTCTCAAAGCTACACGTAGCAGTGTTGGTGTTACTTTTGAGAATTCTCAAAGCTACACGTAGCAGTGTTGGTGTTGCTTTTGAAAATTCTCAAAGCTACACGTAGCAGTGTTGGTGTTACTTTTGAGAATTCTCAAAGCCACACGTAGCAGTGTTGGTGTTACTTTTGAGAATTCTCAAAGCTACACGTAGCAGTGTTGGTGTTACTTTTGAGAATTCTCAAAGCCACACGTAGCAGTGTTGGTGTTACTTTTGAGAATTCTCAAAGCCACACGTAGCAGTGTTGGTGTTACTTTTGAGAATTCTCAAAGCCACACGTAGCAGTGCATACATGTATGCACCCAAATGCACATAAGTGCACTGCTACACACCCATATGTAAATATATTTGTCTGTACGTACATATGTGGATATGTGTACATGTATATACATAAATATGTATCTAGACAAATGTTTATATGTATAGAAGTAAATACACTCAATGCAAATTCACCCCCTGCCCTTCTCCCTTCCCCCCCTTCCTCCCAGGCAGCACCCCCTCCTCTCTCGTTCTCTTCAATCCAAACCAGCTGCCGGCCCTCTCAGGCCTGGGCATGAGAGAAATAAGGGTGGAGCCATGCCCCTCTGCTGCTGTCGCTGCACCTCATGTCAATGGTCCTGCTGGTGGTGGGATAGGAGGAGGTGTGGTCACAGGTGGTGGGAACAGCGGGAGTCTTTCTGCTTCTTCTGCTTCTTCTCCCTCTGCTGCTTCTGCACTGCCCTCCTTGCTGGATGATAGGGCGCTCTGGGTGGTGTGTGCTGTGCGCCTGCTGCTGCTGCCCATGCTTGGGACCATTGGAATCATGGTGAGGCTTGGTCCTCTTCCTCCTTCAATCTTCCAACCCTTCCCTCTCCGTCCTCTCCTCTTCCTCCCTCTCACTTCCAACCTCCCCCCTTCTGTCCTCTCTCACACTTCCAACCCCCCCCTTTACTAACTCCCCTTTCCGCGCTCCCCTTGCTTCACAGGCACTGTACAAAGCCAAGTTGATTCCACAGGACCCCATCTGTGCTCTCACCCTCATGGTCAGTATAGTCCTTTCTCTCCCACCCTGTGGCTATTGGCTTGGCTCTCATTGCCCTGTCATCTTCTAATTTTCTTCCGCACAGCTTTGCCTTATATTGATCCTATCGCTGTGGAGTGGAGTCACTTTCCTCGTGTGATTCGCCTGCCCTCCTTCTGCGCCATGCGAATGTCCCTTATCGCAAAGAACGTTCGCTTCCCGCCTCATGTCCACATTCATTGAATCTCATCTCAGCTTCATGTCCTCATCTCTCCTCCACTTGCCTCGCCTCCAAGCTACTAGCAAAAATGCTGGCCTCGATTCTTCATTATTTCGTCTCCTCTCTCCACCTCTCCTCTCCTTTCCCCTCCTCTCCCCTCCTCTCCCCTCCTCTCCCCTCCTCTCTCCTCCTCTCCCCTCCTCTCTCCTCCTCTCCTCTCTCCCCACAGATCCAAACCGCCATGCCATCGGCCCAGAACCTTGTCCTCATGTCGCAACTCAGCCCCGCCACCAAGCCCCTCGCAGGGATGCTGGCGTCCCTGATGCTGCGACAGGTGGGTGTGTGTATGGAAGGATTTTGGGTGGGGGGTAAGGGGTAGGGGGAAAGAGAGAGAGGGGGGATGGGGGGGGAGGGGGAGGAGGGGATGTATTGGGACGTGTGGGGGGTGTGGGATGTGGAACGGTGGGCTCTGTCTGTCTGTACTGTGTGCTCATGGCGCAGTTCAGCCATGCCAGCAAGCCCATTTTGTTTGAGGTTGATTTTGAGAATTCTCAAAATCAACCCCTCTCTTGCATCCCTCCCCTCCGTCCCCTGCCGTATGATAGTGCCATGCTCCCCATATGCCTTTCAAACCCCCGCCTCTCGCCCTCCCCTACAACCCTCCCCTCCATCCCCTGCAGTATGCAATATCCATGCTCCCCATCACGGTGTGGATCACAGTTTTCCTCTCACGCCTCAACATGACGATCTGAGGGTGTGAGAGCATATCCACCTGATGGCATGGGAGCATGAGCCGACTATAGGTGCCTCAGTCGTCGCTTCGCTTCCTCTCATACCTGAACATGACTAACTGACGACAGAAAATCAATAGATGGTTTTTGGTTTCTAGTGACCCGCCGGGCCGCCGTAGGGGTGCACCGTAATTCGATCACCTTGCTTGCCTATGATGCCGGACAGAAATACGCTTAGCTGTGCATATTCCCCCTATTTTCTGTAGTGTTTTCTCTGCTCCCTGAGAATATGGTCTCATAACATGACACGCATCTTCCAAAATACTACATGCTCTACTCCAACTTCATTTATACTTCACTGGACATATCCTTTACATCAGCAACTATGGGTGTACCCTAACGGGTTTTTTTGTTGGTGATCCAACTTCAGCGCTCGGTTGAGGTGTCTGCTTTGCGTTGACCCACACAGCTCAAAACCAGTCGAAGAATTTCAACGCCTTGTTCAACCGTCTTCACTGGACCTCCTCATCAGGTTCGTCACAATCTTGAGCCGATATGCTGTCACTGACACGCCCAAACCAAACCATACAAGCCAAACCAAGCCACGAAATGGCATCCATGCCGAACCTATACCTCAAGGCTCATCACGCAAATCGCGACTGTCTCCAACGACTTGTTGACCAGTTCTCTCGCGTCTCGGGAAAATGCTGCTTTCATCAGTCAAACCCCGAACCGAGTCGAGGAATGAATGAGAAAGCTGCCTATAAATTCCTCCCCTTGTTCAATCTCTTCCCAACTGACATTTTCCGCTCTGCAATCTCTCCTCCATCCAGCCTCGATCAGTCTCGTTTCGATAGAAAATCACTTTCCTTTCTAAATCTGATTACATCATGGCAGCCAGAGGAATTCTTATCGTTTGCATTGCGCTTCTCCTTGCGACTTCCGCGGCGGCGCAGCGTGGTCCGCCTGGCGGAGGCCCTCCGGGAGGCCAGCAGCCTGGGGGGGCGCGCGGAGGACCTGGCGGACCGGGCGGGCCGGGCGGGCCTGGTGGGCCTGCTGGTCCGCGCGGTCCTCCGTTCAACTTGACGGCCGTCGGCAATCTGACGGCGGACGTCGGCGCGCGATTGGCCAACTGCTCCGCGGACCAGACGTTTCTTGACGGTCGCTTTCACCTCGCCATCTTTAAGTGAGCTTCGGAATAATTTGCCGACGAAACCCTAAATTTCGTGCTGCTGTAATTGTCGCCGCGCGTTCTCTCCGTCATTTGACCTCGCATACTGTGCCGCATTCTTTTCTTCACTTCAGCCAGGAACGCGTTTACCATCGTTCCTCCATTCACTCACCACCGTCCTCCCCCTTTTCACCCTTCCGCCACGCTTCCCCACTTCCCCACTTCCCCCTCCGCCAGGAACGCGAGCGGCAATTACAACCTGGCGGTCGACGCGCTCCTCGTAGGCGCCACGGGCGGGCCGCCCGACTCCCTCGCGATCGTGAAGGGCGCCGTCTGCGACTCTTCCGCTTCCGCCGCCGCGATCCTCGCGATTCCGGCGGCGGCGTCCGACTGGCAGCAGCGAGAAGGCTGGTGGCTGCTGCACGCGGAGGCGCGGCTCGACGCGTTCCTCGAGAACGCGGACGCCGCCACCGTCGAAGCGCTCCTCGCGCTCCTCCCCAACGCGACGCTCCCGGCGGCGCGCGGCAGCGGCGGACGCGGAGCCAGCTCGGGGGGCGCGCGCAGCGGTCAGGGCAGCAGGCGCATGGGGCTGGGCATGGGGAGGGAGCTGCTGATGCGCGCAGCGGGACGCGTCACTGGCGCGAAGAAGGGCGGGCAGCAGCAGGGAACGCCGGGTGCTGGGGGTGCGGGGGGGATGATGGGGGGCAGTGGCGGGGTGAACGCGACTGTGAGTGGATATGCCGTGTTGGCCACTGCCACTGCGGGGGGTGTGGCGTGGGGCGGCCAGCTCATGGGCGTCAAACTGCCCTCCATTGCTGCCTGATGTGATGTCGATGCTGCAGATGCTGCCGCAGCCGCTGCTGCTGCCACGGCGGCAGATGCTGCCGCAGCCGCTGCTGCTGCCACGGCGGCAGATGCTGCCGCAGCCGCTGCTGCTGCCACGGCGGCAGATGCTGCCGCAGCCGCTGCTGCTGCCACGGCGGCAGATGCTGCCGCAGCCGCTGCTGCTGCCACGGCGGCAGATGCTGCCGCAGCCGCTGCTGCTGCCACGGCGGCAGATGCTGCCGCAGCCGCTGCCACAGCCGCTGCTGCTGCCACAGCCAGGTTCTGTTCCTTGATGGGGATGGAGTGGGAGATCTCAATTCAGGGTTTTTTTTTTTAGCTTGAGTTATGCGGTGCTTTTGATAGGAATGAGCATCAGGGGCAGGAATGCTGGCAAGACACCAGGCCTGTTTCCACCAGCTGACTTGCCAGTCTTCCTGCCCTTGCCTTTGCTTTTGCTCTCCACATGATGTAATTCTCCTTCGAAAATGCCTTTCAAGGTGATGGGATCATGCGTTCAGTAGTCTACACTACACTCTTCTGCAGAATCTGCACTGTACAAAAGGCTGAAACATGAGGGCCTGGTTTTGCCCTATTCTTAGAATGGGACACTCACATGCTTCACACGTAGCGCCGCAATTGCAACGTGTAGCTATTTTGTGGTCTAGATTCCGTCGGTAGAAAAATAAATATGGATCAAATTTAATTATGAAAAATAATTATGATCAAATTTAGCATTTTCCTACTTTAGGGAACATTCCTGTGTCGACATTTGTGTCTCAAAACCCATTTTACAGAGTCGCGTCGAAACATTTTGTCGATCTCGCGTCATAAAATATGAATGTATCGCGACACTAGGCGACCAGGCGAAATGCACAGTTGTGCGCATTTGATTGGGTGAAACGAATGACTGTGCGCATTTGATTGGGTGAAACGAATGACTGTACACCCGTTTCTTCAATCGCTCGGCTGTATTTTTTTCCGCGCGAAATTCGCTTTGCAGGCTATCCAGATGCATTGACATTTCGAACCGCATGCGATTTTCTAACAATGACGAGTCGGTTTACAATTCGTCAGCGACGTCAGCGCGTTTCACGCTGGCCAATGAAAAATACAGTAATGGTTGCTGAAAGCCGACTCGCATTTGGGACACACTACAGTTTTTGCTGTTTTTGGGTGTCACAAAGCGATTGAGACATTTGTGTCGACACAGGAATGTTCCCTTAATATGCATGCTTCCATGTGAGGCCTCTTTTTGTGATGCTTGTTTGTAGGAATGTACCCCGAAATGCACCGATAAATGCCTCGTGGCTATCCATCACAGGCGCTTTCATCTACTCAGATGGCCATGTTGAGGCGTGAGAGGAAGACCGTGATCCACACTGTGATGGGGAGCATGGCAATGGCATACTGCAGGGGGTGGAGGGAGGGGAGGATAGGAGGTAATGGAAGGATAGGAGGGCAGAGGGTGAGAGGGAGAGGAATAGGGAAGATGGATGTGATCCACACCGTGATGGGGAGCATGGCGATGGCATACTGTAGGGGGCGGAGGGGAGGGTTGCAAGAGAGGGGGAGGGGTGGAAGTTTTTGAGGCACGTGGATTGCAGGGGGAGAGTGTGATCCACACTGTGATGGGCAGCATGGCAATGGCATACTGTAGGGAACGGAGGGGAAGGTAGATCAGGAGGCAAGGGAGGGCGAGGGATGGGGGTTTGGAAGGCCTGTGGGTTGCACTGGGAAGACCGTGATCCACACTGTGATGGGAAGCATGGCGATGGCATACTGTAGGGTAAGGAGGGGAAGAGAGGGGATGGAAGGATAGGAGGGCGGAGTGAGGGGGAAGGAGGGAAGGAAATGTTGCGATGCAGACTGTGATTGGGAACATGTATATGGCATAATGCAGGGGAAGGAGAGTAGGGCAGAGAGTGTGAGGGAAAGAGAGCAACAGTGTGATCCATACAGTCATTAGGACCTGCAGAGAGAACGACAGTGGGGTCCACACTGTGACTGACACTCCCAGTGGCTCGGTGGCTGGGCCGAGTCGCGCCGTGAGCACACATATAGCCTCAGCCTCCCCAACAACCCAATACCCCCCTATTTCACTCACCTGTCGCAGCATGAGCGAAGCGAGCATTCCAGCCAGAGGTTTGGTGGCCGGGCTGAGCTGCGCCATGAGAACAAGATTTTGTGCCGATGGCATGGCGGTTTGGATCTGAGAGGAGAGAGGGAGAGAGAAGAGACGAGGGGTTAGGGTTGGGGTAGAAGAGAAGGGAGGGGCGAGATATGAGCACGAGATTATGTGCCGATGGCATGGCGGTTTGGATCTGCGGGAGGGAAGGGGAGAGAAGGAGGAGAGAGGAGTAGGGAGGGTACGACGTGAGTGAGTGAATCCTGGCTTGGTGGCTGGGCTGAGCTGTGCCATGAGCACTAGATTCTGCGCCGATGGCATGGCGGTTTGGATTTGCGGGGAGAGAGAGTTAGAGGAGGGTTCAGGTGTAGTGGAGAGATGAGGGTTCAAGGTTTAGGGTAGAGCTGTGCCATAAGCACTAGATTCTGCGCCGATGGCATGGCGGTTTGGATTTGCGGGGAGAGAGAGTTAGAGGAGGGTTCAGGTGTAGTGGAGAGATGAGGGTTCAAGGTTTAGGGTAGAGCTGTGCCATAAGCACTAGATTCTGCGCCGATGGCATGGCGGTTTGGATTTGCGGGGAGAGAGAGTTAGAGGAGGGTTCAGGTGTAGTGGAGAGATGAGGGTTCAAGGTTTAGGGTAGAGCTGTGCCATGAGAGTTAGAGGAGGGTTCAGGTGTAGTGGAGAGATGAGGGTTCAAGGTTTAGGGTAGAGCTGTGCCATAAGCACTAGATTCTGCGCCGATGGCATGGCGGTTTGGATTTGCGGGGAGAGAGAGTTAGAGGAGGGTTCAGGTGTAGTGGAGAGATGAGGGTTCAAGGTTTAGGGTAGAGCTGTGCCATGAGAGTTAGAGGAGGGTTCAGGTGTAGTGGAGAGATGAGGGTTCAAGGTTTAGGGTAGAGCTGTGCCATGAGAGTTAGAGGAGGGTTCAGGTGTAGTGGAGAGATGAGGGTTCAAGGTTTAGGGTAGAGCTGTGCCATGAGAGTTAGAGGAGGGTTCAGATGTAGTGGAGAAATGAGGGTTCAAGGTTTAGGGTAGAGCTGTGCCATGAGAGTTAGAGGAGGGTTCAGGTGTAGTGGAGAGATGAGGGTTCAAGGTTTAGGGTAGAGCTGTGCCATGAGAGTTAGAGGAGGGTTCAGGTGTAGTGGAGAGATGAGGGTTCAAGGTTTAAAGTAGAGCTGTGCCATGAGAGTTAGAGGAGGGTTCAGGTGTAGTGGAGAGATGAGGGTTCAAGGTTTAGGGTAGAGCTGTGCCATGAGCACTAGATTCTGCGCCGATGGCATGGCGGTTTGGATTTGCGGGGAGATGGCAGGGGGGAGAGACGATGAGAGGGGAGGGTTAGATGAGGGGGATGGTTCTTATTCCTGTTAGCAGACCTATGATGCAGAGACGATGAGAGGGGAGGGTTAGATGAGGGGGATGGTTCTTATTCCTGTTAGCAGACCTATGATGCAGAGCTGATGAGAGGGGAGGGTTAGATGAGGGGGATGGTTCTTATTCCTGTTAGCAGACCTATGATGCAGAGACGATGAGAGGGGAGGGTTAGATGAGGGGGATGGTTCTTATTCCTGTTAGCAGACCTATGATGCAGAGACGATGAGAGGGGAGGGTTAGATGAGGGGGATGGTTCTTATTCCTGTTAGCAGACCTATGATGCAGAGACGATGAGAGGGGAGGGTTAGATGAGGGGGATGGTTCTTATTCCTGTTAGCAGACCTATGATGCAGAGACGATGAGAGGGGAGGGTTAGATGAGGGGGATGGTTCTTATTCCTGTTAGCAGACCTATGATGCAGAGACGATGAGAGGGGAGGGTTAGATGAGGGGGATGGTTCTTATTCCTGTTAGCAGACCTATGATGCAGAGACGGTGAGAGGGGAGGGTTAGATGAGGGGGATGGTTCTTATTCCTGTTAGCAGACCTATGATGCAGAGACGATGAGAGGGGAGGGTTAGATGAGGGGGATGGTTCTTATTCCTGTTAGCAGACCTATGATGCAGAGACGATGAGAGGGGAGGGTTAGATGAGGGGGATGGTTCTTATTCCTGTTAGCAGACCTATGATGCAGAGACGATGAGAGGGGAGGGTTAGATGAGGGGGATGGTTCTTATTCCTGTTAGCAGACCTATGATGCAGAGCTGATGAGAGGGGAGGGTTAGATGAGGGGGATGGTTCTTATTCCTGTTAGCAGACCTATGATGCAGAGACGATGAGAGGGGAGGGTTAGATGAGGGGGATGGTTCTTATTCCTGTTAGCAGACCTATGATGCAGAGCTGATGAGAGGGGAGGGTTAGATGAGGGGGATGGTTCTTATTCCTGTTAGCAGACCTATGATGCAGAGACGATGAGAGGGGAGGGTTAGATGAGGGGGATGGTTCTTATTCCTGTTAGCAGACCTATGATGCAGAGCTGATGAGAGGGGAGGGTTAGATGAGGGGGATGGTTCTTATTCCTGTTAGCAGACCTATGATGCAGAGACGATGAGAGGGGAGGGTTAGATGAGGGGGATGGTTCTTATTCCTGTTAGCAGACCTATGATGCAGAGACGATGAGAGGGGAGGGTTAGATGAGGGGGATGGTTCTTATTCCTGTTAGCAGACCTATGATGCAGAGCTGATGAGAGGGGAGGGTTAGATGAGGGGGATGGTTCTTATTCCTGTTAGCAGACCTATGATGCAGAGACGATGAGAGGGGAGGGTTAGATGAGGGGGATGGTTCTTATTCCTGTTAGCAGACCTATGATGCAGAGACGATGAGAGGGGAGGGTTAGATGAGGGGGATGGTTCTTATTCCTGTTAGCAGACCTATGATGCAGAGACGATGAGAGGGGAGGGTTAGATGAGGGGGATGGTTCTTATTCCTGTTAGCAGACCTATGATGCAGAGACGATGAGAGGGGAGGGTTAGATGAGGGGGATGGTTCTTATTCCTGTTAGCAGACCTATGATGCAGAGACGGTGAGAGGGGAGGGTTAGATGAGGGGGATGGTTCTTATTCCTGTTAGCAGACCTATGATGCAGAGACGATGAGAGGGGAGGGTTAGATGAGGGGGATGGTTCTTATTCCTGTTAGCAGACCTATGATGCAGAGACGATGAGAGGGGAGGGTTAGATGAGGGGGATGGTTCTTATTCCTGTTAGCAGACCTATGATGCAGAGCTGATGAGAGGGGAGGGTTAGATGAGGGGGATGGTTCTTATTCCTGTTAGCAGACCTATGATGCAGAGACGATGAGAGGGGAGGGTTAGATGAGGGGGATGGTTCTTATTCCTGTTAGCAGACCTATGATGCAGAGCTGATGAGAGGGGAGGGTTAGATGAGGGGGATGGTTCTTATTCCTGTTAGCAGACCTATGATGCAGAGACGATGAGAGGGGAGGGTTAGATGAGGGGGATGGTTCTTATTCCTGTTAGCAGACCTATGATGCAGAGACGATGAGAGGGGAGGGTTAGATGAGGGGGATGGTTCTTATTCCTGTTAGCAGACCTATGATGCAGAGACGATGAGAGGGGAGGGTTAGATGAGGGGGATGGTTCTTATTCCTGTTAGCAGACCTATGATGCAGAGCTGATGAGAGGGGAGGGTTAGATGAGGGGGATGGTTCTTATTCCTGTTAGCAGACCTATGATGCAGAGACGATGAGAGGGGAGGGTTAGATGAGGGGGATGGTTCTTATTCCTGTTAGCAGACCTATGATGCAGAGACGATGAGAGGGGAGGGTTAGATGAGGGGGATGGTTCTTATTCCTGTTAGCAGACCTATGATGCAGAGACGATGAGAGGGGAGGGTTAGATGAGGGGGATGGTTCTTATTCCTGTTAGCAGACCTATGATGCAGAGACGATGAGAGGGGAGGGTTAGATGAGGGGGATGGTTCTTATTCCTGTTAGCAGACCTATGATGCAGAGACGGTGAGAGGGGAGGGTTAGATGAGGGGGATGGTTCTTATTCCTGTTAGCAGACCTATGATGCAGAGACGATGAGAGGGGAGGGTTAGATGAGGGGGATGGTTCTTATTCCTGTTAGCAGACCTATGATGCAGAGACGATGAGAGGGGAGGGTTAGATGAGGGGGATGGTTCTTATTCCTGTTAGCAGACCTATGATGCAGAGACGGTGAGAGGGGAGGGTTAGATGAGGGGGATGGTTCTTATTCCTGTTAGCAGACCTATGATGCAGAGACGATGAGAGGGGAGGGTTAGATGAGGGGGATGGTTCTTATTCCTGTTAGCAGACCTATGATGCAGAGACGATGAGAGGGGAGGGTTAGATGAGGGGGATGGTTCTTATTCCTGTTAGCAGACCTATGATGCAGAGACGATGAGAGGGGAGGGTTAGATGAGGGGGATGGTTCTTATTCCTGTTAGCAGACCTATGATGCAGAGACGATGAGAGGGGAGGGTTAGATGAGGGGGATGGTTCTTATTCCTGTTAGCAGACCTATGATGCAGAGACGATGAGAGGGGAGGGTTAGATGAGGGGGATGGTTCTTATTCCTGTTAGCAGACCTATGATGCAGAGACGATGAGAGGGGAGGGTTAGATGAGGGGGATGGTTCTTATTCCTGTTAGCAGACCTATGATGCAGAGACGATGAGAGGGGAGGGTTAGATGAGGGGGATGGTTCTTATTCCTGTTAGCAGACCTATGATGCAGAGACGATGAGAGGGGAGGGTTAGATGAGGGGGATGGTTCTTATTCCTGTTAGCAGACCTATGATGCAGAGACGGTGAGAGGGGAGGGTTAGATGAGGGGGATGGTTCTTATTCCTGTTAGCAGACCTATGATGCAGAGACGATGAGAGGGGAGGGTTAGATGAGGGGGATGGTTCTTATTCCTGTTAGCAGACCTATGATGCAGAGACGATGAGAGGGGAGGGTTAGATGAGGGGGATGGTTCTTATTCCTGTTAGCAGACCTATGATGCAGAGACGATGAGAGGGGAGGGTTAGATGAGGGGGATGGTTCTTATTCCTGTTAGCACACCTATGATGCAGAGCTGATGAGAGGGGAGGGTTAGATGAGGGGGATGGTTCTTATTCCTGTTAGCAGACCTATGATGCAGAGACGATGAGAGGGGAGGGTTAGATGAGGGGGATGGTTCTTATTCCTGTTAGCAGACCTATGATGCAGAGCTGATGAGAGGGGAGGGTTAGATGAGGGGGATGGTTCTTATTCCTGTTAGCAGACCTATGATGCAGAGACGATGAGAGGGGAGGGTTAGATGAGGGGGATGGTTCTTATTCCTGTTTGCAGACCTATGATGCAGAGACGATGAGAGGGGAGGGTTAGATGAGGGGGATGGTTCTTATTCCTGTTAGCAGACCTATGATGCAGAGACGATGAGAGGGGAGGGTTAGATGAGGGGGATGGTTCTTATTCCTGTTAGCAGACCTATGATGCAGAGACGATGAGAGGGGAGGGTTAGATGAGGGGGATGGTTCTTATTCCTGTTAGCAGACCTATGATGCAGAGACGATGAGAGGGGAGGGTTAGATGAGGGGGATGGTTCTTATTCCTGTTAGCAGACCTATGATGCAGAGACGATGAGAGGGGAGGGTTAGATGAGGGGGATGGTTCTTATTCCTGTTAGCAGACCTATGATGCAGAGACGATGAGAGGGGAGGGTTAGATGAGGGGGATGGTTCTTATTCCTGTTAGCAGACCTATGATGCAGAGACGGTGAGAGGGGAGGGTTAGATGAGGGGGATGGTTCTTATTCCTGTTAGCAGACCTATGATGCAGAGACGATGAGAGGGGAGGGTTAGATGAGGGGGATGGTTCTTATTCCTGTTAGCAGACCTATGATGCAGAGACGATGAGAGGGGAGGGTTGGATGAGGGGGATGGTTCTTATTCCTGTTAGCAGACCTATGATGCAGAGACGATGAGAGGGGAGGGTTAGATGAGGGGGATGGTTCTTATTCCTGTTAGCAGACCTATGATGCAGAGCTGATGAGAGGGGAGGGTTAGATGAGGGGGATGGTTCTTATTCCTGTTAGCAGACCTATGATGCAGAGACGATGAGAGGGGAGGGTTAGATGAGGGGGATGGTTCTTATTCCTGTTAGCAGACCTATGATGCAGAGACGATGAGAGGGGAGGGTTAGATGAGGGGGATGGTTCTTATTCCTGTTAGCAGACCTATGATGCAGAGACGATGAGAGGGGAGGGTTAGATGAGGGGGATGGTTCTTATTCCTGTTAGCAGACCTATGATGCAGAGCTGATGAGAGGGGAGGGTTAGATGAGGGGGATGGTTCTTATTCCTGTTAGCAGACCTATGATGCAGAGACGATGAGAGGGGAGGGTTAGATGAGGGGGATGGTTCTTATTCCTGTTAGCAGACCTATGATGCAGAGACGATGAGAGGGGAGGGTTAGATGAGGGGGATGGTTCTTATTCCTGTTAGCAGACCTATGATGCAGAGACGATGAGAGGGGAGGGTTAGATGAGGGGGATGGTTCTTATTCCTGTTAGCAGACCTATGATGCAGAGACGATGAGAGGGGAGGGTTAGATGAGGGGGATGGTTCTTATTCCTGTTAGCAGACCTATGATGCAGAGACGGTGAGAGGGGAGGGTTAGATGAGGGGGATGGTTCTTATTCCTGTTAGCAGACCTATGATGCAGAGACGATGAGAGGGGAGGGTTAGATGAGGGGGATGGTTCTTATTCCTGTTAGCAGACCTATGATGCAGAGACGATGAGAGGGGAGGGTTAGATGAGGGGGATGGTTCTTATTCCTGTTAGCAGACCTATGATGCAGAGACGGTGAGAGGGGAGGGTTAGATGAGGGGGATGGTTCTTATTCCTGTTAGCAGACCTATGATGCAGAGACGATGAGAGGGGAGGGTTAGATGAGGGGGATGGTTCTTATTCCTGTTAGCAGACCTATGATGCAGAGACGATGAGAGGGGAGGGTTAGATGAGGGGGATGGTTCTTATTCCTGTTAGCAGACCTATGATGCAGAGACGATGAGAGGGGAGGGTTAGATGAGGGGGATGGTTCTTATTCCTGTTAGCAGACCTATGATGCAGAGACGATGAGAGGGGAGGGTTAGATGAGGGGGATGGTTCTTATTCCTGTTAGCAGACCTATGATGCAGAGACGATGAGAGGGGAGGGTTAGATGAGGGGGATGGTTCTTATTCCTGTTAGCAGACCTATGATGCAGAGACGGTGAGAGGGGAGGGTTAGATGAGGGGGATGGTTCTTATTCCTGTTAGCAGACCTATGATGCAGAGACGATGAGAGGGGAGGGTTAGATGAGGGGGATGGTTCTTATTCCTGTTAGCAGACCTATGATGCAGAGACGATGAGAGGGGAGGGTTAGATGAGGGGGATGGTTCTTATTCCTGTTAGCAGACCTATGATGCAGAGACGATGAGAGGGGAGGGTTAGATGAGGGGGATGGTTCTTATTCCTGTTAGCAGACCTATGATGCAGAGACGATGAGAGGGGAGGGTTAGATGAGGGGGATGGTTCTTATTCCTGTTAGCAGACCTATGATGCAGAGACGATGAGAGGGGAGGGTTAGATGAGGGGGATGGTTCTTATTCCTGTTAGCAGACCTATGATGCAGAGACGATGAGAGGGGAGGGTTAGATGAGGGGGATGGTTCTTATTCCTGTTAGCAGACCTATGATGCAGAGACGGTGAGAGGGGAGGGTTAGATGAGGGGGATGGTTCTTATTCCTGTTAGCAGACCTATGATGCAGAGACGATGAGAGGGGAGGGTTAGATGAGGGGGACGTTTCTTATTCCTGTTAGCAGACCTATGATGCAGAGACGATGAGAGGGGAGGGTTAGATGAGGGGGATGGTTCTTATTCCTGTTAGCAGACCTATGATGCAGAGACGATGAGAGGGGAGGGTTAGATGAGGGGGATGGTTCTTATTCCTGTTAGCACACCTATGATGCAGAGCTGATGAGAGGGGAGGGTTAGATGAGGGGGATGGTTCTTATTCCTGTTAGCAGACCTATGATGCAGAGACGATGAGAGGGGAGGGTTAGATGAGGGGGATGGTTCTTATTCCTGTTAGCAGACCTATGATGCAGAGCTGATGAGAGGGGAGGGTTAGATGAGGGGGATGGTTCTTATTCCTGTTAGCAGACCTATGATGCAGAGACGATGAGAGGGGAGGGTTAGATGAGGGGGATGGTTCTTATTCCTGTTAGCAGACCTATGATGCAGAGACGATGAGAGGGGAGGGTTAGATGAGGGGGATGGTTCTTATTCCTGTTAGCAGACCTATGATGCAGAGACGATGAGAGGGGAGGGTTAGATGAGGGGGATGGTTCTTATTCCTGTTAGCAGACCTATGATGCAGAGACGATGAGAGGGGAGGGTTAGATGAGGGGGATGGTTCTTATTCCTGTTAGCAGACCTATGATGCAGAGACGATGAGAGGGGAGGGTTAGATGAGGGGGATGGTTCTTATTCCTGTTAGCAGACCTATGATGCAGAGACGATGAGAGGGGAGGGTTAGATGAGGGGGATGGTTCTTATTCCTGTTAGCAGACCTATGATGCAGAGACGATGAGAGGGGAGGGTTAGATGAGGGGGATGGTTCTTATTCCTGTTAGCAGACCTATGATGCAGAGACGATGAGAGGGGAAGGTTAGATGAGGGGGATGGTTCTTATTCCTGTTAGCAGACCTATGATGCAGAGACGATGAGAGGGGAGGGTTAGATGAGGGGGATGGTTCTTATTCCTGTTAGCAGACCTATGATGCAGAGACGATGAGAGGGGAGGGTTAGATGAGGGGGATGGTTCTTATTCCTGTTAGCAGACCTATGATGCAGAGACGATGAGAGGGGAGGGTTAGATGAGGGGGATGGTTCTTATTCCTGTTAGCAGACCTATGATGCAGAGACGATGAGAGGGGAGGGTTAGATGAGGGGGATGGTTCTTATTCCTGTTAGCAGACCTATGATGCAGAGACGATGAGAGGGGAGGGTTAGATGAGGGGGATGGTTCTTATTCCTGTTAGCAGACCTATGATGCAGAGACGATGAGAGGGGAGGGTTAGATGAGGGGGATGGTTCTTATTCCTGTTAGCAGACCTATGATGCAGAGACGATGAGAGGGGAGGGTTAGATGAGGGGGATGGTTCTTATTCCTGTTAGCAGACCTATGATGCAGAGACGATGAGAGGGGAGGGTTAGATGAGGGGGATGGTTCTTATTCCTGTTAGCAGACCTATGATGCAGAGACGATGAGAGGGGAGGGTTAGATGAGGGGGATGGTTCTTATTCCTGTTAGCAGACCTATGATGCAGAGACGATGAGAGGGGAGGGTTAGATGAGGGGGATGGTTCTTATTCCTGTTAGCAGACCTATGATGCAGAGACGGTGAGAGGGGAGGGTTAGATGAGGGGGATGGTTCTTATTCCTGTTAGCAGACCTATGATGCAGAGACGATGAGAGGGGAGGGTTAGATGAGGGGGATGGTTCTTATTCCTGTTAGCAGACCTATGATGCAGAGACGATGAGAGGGGAGGGTTAGATGAGGGGGATGGTTCTTGTTCCTGTTAGCAGACCTATGATGCAGAGACGATGAGAGGGGAGGGTTAGATGAGGGGGATGGTTCTTATTCCTGTTAGCAGACCTATGATGCAGAGCTGATGAGAGGGGAGGGTTAGATGAGGGGGATGGTTCTTATTCCTGTTAGCAGACCTATGATGCAGAGACGATGAGAGGGGAGGGTTAGATGAGGGGGATGGTTCTTATTCCTGTTAGCAGACCTATGATGCAGAGACGATGAGAGGGGAGGGTTAGATGAGGGGGATGGTTCTTATTCCTGTTAGCAGACCTATGATGCAGAGACGATGAGAGGGGAGGGTTAGATGAGGGGGATGGTTCTTATTCCTGTTAGCAGACCTATGATGCAGAGACGATGAGAGGGGAGGGTTAGATGAGGGGGATGGTTCTTATTCCTGTTAGCAGACCTATGATGCAGAGACGATGAGAGGGGAGGGTTAGATGAGGGGGATGGTTCTTATTCCTGTTAGCAGACCTATGATGCAGAGACGATGAGAGGGGAGGGTTAGATGAGGGGGATGGTTCTTATTCCTGTTAGCAGACCTATGATGCAGAGACGATGAGAGGGGAGGGTTAGATGAGGGGGATGGTTCTTATTCCTGTTAGCAGACCTATGATGCAGAGACGATGAGAGGGGAGGGTTAGATGAGGGGGATGGTTCTTATTCCTGTTAGCAGACCTATGATGCAGAGACGATGAGAGGGGAGGGTTAGATGAGGGGGATGGTTCTTATTCCTGTTAGCAGACCTATGATGCAGAGACGATGAGAGGGGAGGGTTAGATGAGGGGGATGGTTCTTATTCCTGTTAGCAGACCTATGATGCAGAGACGATGAGAGGGGAGGGTTAGATGAGGGGGATGGTTCTTATTCCTGTTAGCAGACCTATGATGCAGAGACGATGAGAGGGGAGGGTTAGATGAGGGGGATGGTTCTTATTCCTGTTAGCAGACCTATGATGCAGAGACGATGAGAGGGGAGGGTTAGATGAGGGGGATGGTTCTTATTCCTGTTAGCAGACCTATGATGCAGAGACGATGAGAGGGGAGGGTTAGATGAGGGGGATGGTTCTTATTCCTGTTAGCAGACCTATGATGCAGAGACGATGAGAGGGGAGGGTTAGATGAGGGGGATGGTTCTTATTCCTGTTAGCAGACCTATGATGCAGAGACGATGAGAGGGGAGGGTTAGATGAGGGGGATGGTTCTTATTCCTGTTAGCAGACCTATGATGCAGAGACGGTGAGAGGGGAGGGTTAGATGAGGGGGATGGTTCTTATTCCTGTTAGCAGACCTATGATGCAGAGACGATGAGAGGGGAGGGTTAGATGAGGGGGATGGTTCTTATTCCTGTTAGCAGACCTATGATGCAGAGACGATGAGAGGGGAGGGTTAGATGAGGGGGATGGTTCTTATTCCTGTTAGCAGACCTATGATGCAGAGACGATGAGAGGGGAGGGTTAGATGAGGGGGATGGTTCTTATTCCTGTTAGCAGACCTATGATGCAGAGACGATGAGAGGGGAGGGTTAGATGAGGGGGATGGTTCTTATTCCTGTTAGCAGACCTATGATGCAGAGACGATGAGAGGGGAGGGTTAGATGAGGGGGATGGTTCTTATTCCTGTTAGCAGACCTATGATGCAGAGACGATGAGAGGGGAGGGTTAGATGAGGGGGATGGTTCTTATTCCTGTTAGCAGACCTATGATGCAGAGACGATGAGAGGGGAGGGTTAGATGAGGGGGATGGTTCTTATTCCTGTTAGCAGACCTATGATGCAGAGACGATGAGAGGGGAGGGTTAGATGAGGGGGATGGTTCTTATTCCTGTTAGCAGACCTATGATGCAGAGACGGTGAGAGGGGAGGGTTAGATGAGGGGGATGGTTCTTATTCCTGTTAGCAGACCTATGATGCAGAGACGATGAGAGGGGAGGGTTAGATGAGGGGGATGGTTCTTATTCCTGTTAGCAGACCTATGATGCAGAGACGATGAGAGGGGAGGGTTAGATGAGGGGGATGGTTCTTATTCCTGTTAGCAGACCTATGATGCAGAGACGATGAGAGGGGAGGGTTAGATGAGGGGGATGGTTCTTATTCCTGTTAGCACACCTATGATGCAGAGCTGATGAGAGGGGAGGGTTAGATGAGGGGGATGGTTCTTATTCCTGTTAGCAGACCTATGATGCAGAGACGATGAGAGGGGAGGGTTAGATGAGGGGGATGGTTCTTATTCCTGTTAGCAGACCTATGATGCAGAGCTGATGAGAGGGGAGGGTTAGATGAGGGGGATGGTTCTTATTCCTGTTAGCAGACCTATGATGCAGAGACGATGAGAGGGGAGGGTTAGATGAGGGGGATGGTTCTTATTCCTGTTAGCAGACCTATGATGCAGAGACGATGAGAGGGGAGGGTTAGATGAGGGGGATGGTTCTTATTCCTGTTAGCAGACCTATGATGCAGAGACGATGAGAGGGGAGGGTTAGATGAGGGGGATGGTTCTTATTCCTGTTAGCAGACCTATGATGCAGAGACGATGAGAGGGGAGGGTTAGATGAGGGGGATGGTTCTGATTCCTGTTAGCAGACCTATGATGCAGAGACGATGAGAGGGGAGGGTTAGATGAGGGGGATGGTTCTTATTCCTGTTAGCAGACCTATGATGCAGAGACGATGAGAGGGGAGGGTTAGATGAGGGGGATGGTTCTTATTCCTGTTAGCAGACCTATGATGCAGAGACGATGAGAGGGGAGGGTTAGATGAGGGGGATGGTTCTTATTCCTGTTAGCAGACCTATGATGCAGAGACGATGAGAGGGGAAGGTTAGATGAGGGGGATGGTTCTTATTCCTGTTAGCAGACCTATGATGCAGAGACGATGAGAGGGGAGGGTTAGATGAGGGGGATGGTTCTTATTCCTGTTAGCAGACCTATGATGCAGAGACGATGAGAGGGGAGGGTTAGATGAGGGGGATGGTTCTTATTCCTGTTAGCAGACCTATGATGCAGAGACGATGAGAGGGGAGGGTTAGATGAGGGGGATGGTTCTTATTCCTGTTAGCAGACCTATGATGCAGAGACGATGAGAGGGGAGGGTTAGATGAGGGGGATGGTTCTTATTCCTGTTAGAAGACCTATGATGCAGAGACGATGAGAGGGGAGGGTTAGATGAGGGGGATGGTTCTTATTCCTGTTAGCAGACCTATGATGCAGAGACGATGAGAGGGGAGGGTTAGATGAGGGGGATGGTTCTTATTCCTGTTAGCAGACCTATGATGCAGAGACGATGAGAGGGGAGGGTTAGATGAGGGGGATGGTTCTTATTCCTGTTAGCAGACCTATGATGCAGAGACGATGAGAGGGGAGGGTTAGATGAGGGGGATGGTTCTTATTCCTGTTAGCAGACCTATGATGCAGAGACGATGAGAGGGGAGGGTTAGATGAGGGGGATGGTTCTTATTCCTGTTAGCAGACCTATGATGCAGAGACGATGAGAGGGGAGGGTTAGATGAGGGGGATGGTTCTTATTCCTGTTAGCAGACCTATGATGCAGAGACGGAGGGTTAGATGAGGGGGATGGTTCTTATTCCTGTTAGCAGACCTATGATGCAGAGACGATGAGAGGGGAGGGTTAGATGAGGGGGATGGTTCTTATTCCTGTTAGCAGACCTATGATGCAGAGACGATGAGAGGGGAGGGTTAGATGAGGGGGATGGTTCTTATTCCTGTTAGCACACCTATGATGCAGAGCTGATGAGAGGGGAGGGTTAGATGAGGGGGATGGTTCTTATTCCTGTTAGCAGACCTATGATGCAGAGACGATGAGAGGGGAGGGTTAGATGAGGGGGATGGTTCTTATTCCTGTTAGCAGACCTATGATGCAGAGCTGATGAGAGGGGAGGGTTAGATGAGGGGGATGGTTCTTATTCCTGTTAGCACACCTATGATGCAGAGCTGATGAGAGGGGAGGGTTAGATGAGGGGGATGGTTCTTATTCCTGTTAGCAGACCTATGATGCAGAGACGATGAGAGGGGAGGGTTAGATGAGGGGGATGGTTCTTATTCCTGTTAGCAGACCTATGATGCAGAGCTGATGAGAGGGGAGGGTTAGATGAGGGGGATGGTTCTTATTCCTGTTAGCAGACCTATGATGCAGAGACGATGAGAGGGGAGGGTTAGATGAGGGGGATGGTTCTTATTCCTGTTAGCAGACCTATGATGCAGAGACGATGAGAGGGGAGGGTTAGATGAGGGGGATGGTTCTTATTCCTGTTAGCAGACCTATGATGCAGAGACGATGAGAGGGGAGGGTTAGATGAGGGGGATGGTTCTTATTCCTGTTAGCAGACCTATGATGCAGAGACGATGAGAGGGGAGGGTTAGATGAGGGGGATGGTTCTGATTCCTGTTAGCAGACCTATGATGCAGAGACGATGAGAGGGGAGGGTTAGATGAGGGGGATGGTTCTTATTCCTGTTAGCAGACCTATGATGCAGAGACGATGAGAGGGGAGGGTTAGATGAGGGGGATGGTTCTTATTCCTGTTAGCAGACCTATGATGCAGAGACGATGAGAGGGGAGGGTTAGATGAGGGGGATGGTTCTTATTCCTGTTAGCAGACCTATGATGCAGAGACGATGAGAGGGGAAGGTTAGATGAGGGGGATGGTTCTTATTCCTGTTAGCAGACCTATGATGCAGAGACGATGAGAGGGGAGGGTTAGATGAGGGGGATGGTTCTTATTCCTGTTAGCAGACCTATGATGCAGAGACGATGAGAGGGGAGGGTTAGATGAGGGGGATGGTTCTTATTCCTGTTAGCAGACCTATGATGCAGAGACGATGAGAGGGGAGGGTTAGATGAGGGGGATGGTTCTTATTCCTGTTAGCAGACTTATGATGCAGAGACGATGAGAGGGGAGGGTTAGATGAGGGGGATGGTTCTTATTCCTGTTAGCAGACCTATGATGCAGAGACGATGAGAGGGGAGGGTTAGATGAGGGGGATGGTTCTTATTCCTGTTAGCAGACCTATGATGCAGAGACGATGAGAGGGGAGGGTTAGATGAGGGGGATGGTTCTTATTCCTGTTAGCAGACCTATGATGCAGAGACGATGAGAGGGGAGGGTTAGATGAGGGGGATGGTTCTTATTCCTGTTAGCAGACCTATGATGCAGAGACGGTGAGAGGGGAGGGTTAGATGAGGGGGATGGTTCTTATTCCTGTTAGCAGACCTATGATGCAGAGACGATGAGAGGGGAGGGTTAGATGAGGGGGATGGTTCTTATTCCTGTTAGCAGACCTATGATGCAGAGACGATGAGAGGGGAGGGTTAGATGAGGGGGATGGTTCTTATTCCTATTAGCAGACCTATGATGCAGAGACGATGAGAGGGGAGGGTTAGATGAGGGGGATGGTTCTTATTCCTGTTAGCAGACCTATGATGCAGAGACGATGAGAGGGGAGGGTTAGATGAGGGGGATGGTTCTTATTCCTGTTAGCAGACCTATGATGCAGAGACGATGAGAGGGGAGGGTTAGATGAGGGGGATGGTTCTTATTCCTGTTAGCAGACCTATGATGCAGAGACGGTGAGAGGGGAGGGTTAGATGAGGGGGATGGTTCTTATTCCTGTTAGCAGACCTATGATGCAGAGACGATGAGAGGGGAGGGTTAGATGAGGGGGATGGTTCTTATTCCTGTTAGCAGACCTATGATGCAGAGACGATGAGAGGGGAGGGTTAGATGAGGGGGATGGTTCTTATTCCTGTTAGCAGACCTATGATGCAGAGACGATGAGAGGGGAGGGTTAGATGAGGGGGATGGTTCTTATTCCTGTTAGCAGACCTATGATGCAGAGACGATGAGAGGGGAGGGTTAGATGAGGGGGATGATTCTTATTCCTGTTAGCAGACCTATGATGCAGAGACGATGAGAGGGGAGGGTTAGATGAGGGGGATGGTTCTTATTCCTGTTAGCAGACCTATGATGCAGAGACGATGAGAGGGGAGGGTTAGATGAGGGGGATGGTTCTTATTCCGGTTAGCAGACCTATGATGCAGAGACGATGAGAGGGGAGGGTTAGATGAGGGGGATGGTTCTTATTCCTGTTAGCAGACCTATGATGCAGAGACGATGAGAGGGGAGGGTTAGATGAGGGGGATGGTTCTTATTCTTGTTAGCAGACCTATGATGCAGAGACGATGAGAGGGGAGGGTTAGATGAGGGGGATGGTTCTTATTCCTGTTAGCAGACCTATGATGCAGAGACGGTGAGAGGGGAGGGTTAGATGAGGGGGATGGTTCTTATTCCTGTTAGCAGACCTATGATGCAGAGACGATGAGAGGGGAGGGTTAGATGAGGGGGATGGTTCTTATTCCTGTTAGCAGACCTATGATGCAGAGACGATGAGAGGGGAGGGTTAGATGAGGGGGATGGTTCTTATTCCTGTTAGCAGACCTATGATGCAGAGACGATGAGAGGGGAGGGTTAGATGAGGGGGATGGTTCTTATTCCTGTTAGCAGACCTATGATGCAGAGACGATGAGAGGGGAGGGTTAGATGAGGGGGATGATTCTTATTCCTGTTAGCAGACCTATGATGCAGAGACGATGAGAGGGGAGGGTTAGATGAGGGGGATGGTTCTTATTCCTGTTAGCAGACCTATGATGCAGAGACGATGAGAGGGGAGGGTTAGATGAGGGGGATGGTTCTTATTCCTGTTAGCAGACCTATGATGCAGAGACGATGAGAGGGGAGGGTTAGATGAGGGGGATGGTTCTTATTCCTGTTAGCAGACCTATGATGCAGAGACGATGAGAGGGGAGGGTTAGATGAGGGGGATGGTTCTTATTCCTGTTAGCAGACCTATGATGCAGAGACGATGAGAGGGGAGGGTTAGATGAGGGGGATGGTTCTTATTCCTGTTAGCAGACCTATGATGCAGAGACGATGAGAGGGGAGGGTTAGATGAGGGGGATGGTTCTTATTCCTGTTAGCAGACCTATGATGCAGAGACGATGAGAGGGGAGGGTTAGATGAGGGGGATGGTTCTTATTCCTGTTAGCAGACCTATGATGCAGAGACGATGAGAGGGGAGGGTTAGATGAGGGGGATGGTTCTTATTCCTGTTAGCAGACCTATGATGCAGAGACGATGAGAGGGGAGGGTTAGATGAGGGGGATGGTTCTTATTCCTGTTAGCAGACCTATGATGCAGAGACGGTGAGAGGGGAGGGTTAGATGAGGGGGATGGTTCTTATTCCTGTTAGCAGACCTATGATGCAGAGACGATGAGAGGGGAGGGTTAGATGAGGGGGATGGTTCTTATTCCTGTTAGCAGACCTATGATGCAGAGACGATGAGAGGGGAGGGTTAGATGAGGGGGATGGTTCTTATTCCTGTTAGCAGACCTATGATGCAGAGACGATGAGAGGGGAGGGTTAGATGAGGGGGATGGTTCTTATTCCTGTTAGCAGACCTATGATGCAGAGACGATGAGAGGGGAGGGTTAGATGAGGGGGATGGTTCTTATTCCTGTTAGCAGACCTATGATGCAGAGACGATGAGAGGGGAGGGTTAGATGAGGGGGATGGTTCTTATTCCTGTTAGCAGACCTATGATGCAGAGACGATGAGAGGGGAGGGTTAGATGAGGGGGATGGTTCTTATTCCTGTTAGCAGACCTATGATGCAGAGACGATGAGAGGGGAGGGTTAGATGAGGGGGATGGTTCTTATTCCTGTTAGCAGACCTATGATGCAGAGACGATGAGAGGGGAGGGTTAGATGAGGGGGATGGTTCTTATTCCTGTTAGCAGACCTATGATGCAGAGACGATGAGAGGGGAGGGTTAGATGAGGGGGATGGTTCTTATTCCTGTTAGCAGACCTATGATGCAGAGACGATGAGAGGGGAGGGTTAGATGAGGGGGATGGTTCTTATTCCTGTTAGCAGACCTATGATGCAGAGACGATGAGAGGGGAGGGTTAGATGAGGGGGATGGTTCTTATTCCTGTTAGCAGACCTATGATGCAGAGACGGTGAGAGGGGAGGGTTAGATGAGGGGGATGGTTCTTATTCCTGTTAGCAGACCTATGATGCAGAGACGATGAGAGGGGAGGGTTAGATGAGGGGGATGGTTCTTATTCCTGTTAGCAGACCTATGATGCAGAGACGATGAGAGGGGAGGGTTAGATGAGGGGGATGGTTCTTATTCCTGTTAGCAGACCTATGATGCAGAGACGATGAGAGGGGAGGGTTAGATGAGGGGGATGGTTCTTATTCCTGTTAGCAGACCTATGATGCAGAGACGATGAGAGGGGAGGGTTAGATGAGGGGGATGGTTCTTATTCCTGTTAGCAGACCTATGATGCAGAGACGGTGAGAGGGGAGGGTTAGATGAGGGGGATGGTTCTTATTCCTGTTAGCAGACCTATGATGCAGAGACGATGAGAGGGGAGGGTTAGATGAGGGGGATGGTTCTTATTCCTGTTAGCAGACCTATGATGCAGAGACGATGAGAGGGGAGGGTTAGATGAGGGGGATGGTTCTTATTCCTGTTAGCAGACCTATGATGCAGAGACGATGAGAGGGGAGGGTTAGATGAGGGGGATGGTTCTTATTCCTGTTAGCAGACCTATGATGCAGAGACGATGAGAGGGGAGGGTTAGATGAGGGGGATGATTCTTATTCCTGTTAGCAGACCTATGATGCAGAGACGATGAGAGGGGAGGGTTAGATGAGGGGGATGGTTCTTATTCCTGTTAGCAGACCTATGATGCAGAGACGATGAGAGGGGAGGGTTAGATGAGGGGGATGGTTCTTATTCCTGTTAGCAGACCTATGATGCAGAGACGATGAGAGGGGAGGGTTAGATGAGGGGGATGGTTCTTATTCCTGTTAGCAGACCTATGATGCAGAGACGATGAGAGGGGAGGGTTAGATGAGGGGGATGGTTCTTATTCCTGTTAGCAGACCTATGATGCAGAGACGATGAGAGGGGAGGGTTAGACTTGAGTGAGTGAATAGTGGTGGCTTGGTGGCTGGTCTGAGTTGAGACATGAGCACGTTATTGCGTGCTTATGGCTCATAGAAAAACAGTTTCAACCTGGATCCACAGGTAACAGATACCCTGTGGATCCAGGTCGAAACTGTTTCACTATGAGCCATAAGCACGTTATTGCGTGCTTTTGGCTTGGCTGTCTGGATCTGAGGGCAGGGACGAAAGGAGAGAAGCGAGAGGGGAGAGGAGGGGATAGGAGGGGAGAGAAGAGAGGAGAGAGGAGAGAGGAGAGAGGAGAAAGGAGGGTGGGGGGCCTAACAGTGACCAGTGCTTACTTAGGGCCAGGTGTCGTGTACAAAGTGATTTGAGACGTCCCAAAACTTCACTTTTTGCACGGGGCCTAACACTGACCAGTGCTTAGGTTACAGTCGAGTCGACTCAAATGTCATGAGGGGTGGGGAAGAGAGCGTGAGACTGACCATGCGGGTGAGTGCACAAATGGGTTCATGTGGAAGCCGCATTGCTGAACATGTTCTTTGAAAACTCGTAAAAGATGCCTACTACAAGAAGGCTGAAGGGGTGGGAGAGAGAGGGTAACACTGACCATGCACGAGAGCAGCACTAACCATGAGGGTGGGTGCACAGATGGGGTCTTCTGGAATAGGTTTGGCACTGTAGACAGTACAGTGCCTAGGTTACACTTGAGTGGAGTCTAAATTCATTAGGAAGGGGGAGAGGAGAGCATTACTGACCATGAGGGTGAGTGCACAGATGGGGTCTTGGGGGATCAACTTGGCGTTGTAGAGTGCCTGTGGGGCAAGGCGAGGGCGGAAATGGGAGGGCGGAAAGGGGAGGGCGGAAAGTGGGAGGGCGGGAAGGGGAGGGCGGAAAGGGGAGGGCGGAAAGTGGGAGGGCGGGAAGGGGAGGGCGGAAAGGGGAGCATGGAAAGGGGAGGGCGGAAAAGGGGAGCATGGAAAGGGGAGGGCGGAAAAGGGGAGCATGGAAAGGGGAGGGCGGAAAAGGGGAGCATGGAAAGGGGAGGGCGGAAAGGGGGGTGCAGAAAGAGGAGATTGTGAAGGGGAAGGGTGGAAGTGAGAGTGACGAATAGGAGAGGGTTTAAGGGAGGGGGTGGGAGAAAAAGGGAGGGGGTGGAAGAGAGAGGGAGGCCGAGGAGACGACGGAAAGAGAGGGGTTGGAAGAGAGACGGAGGATGATGAGAGGATGGAAAGAGAGGGAGCGGAAGAGAGAGGGAGGAGAAGGAGAGGGTGGAAAAGGAGGGAGTGGAAGAGAGAGCGAGGAAGAGGAGAGGACGGAAAGAGAGGGGTTGGAAGAGAGAGGGAGGAAGAGGAGAGGCCGGAAAGAGAGGGAGCGGAAGAGAGAGGGAGGAGAAGGAGAGGGTGGAAAAGGAGGGAGCGGAAGAGAGAGGGAGGACGAGAAGAGGACGGAAAGAGAGGGAGGAGTGGAGAGGACGGAAAGAGAGGGGTTGGAAAAGGAGAGGGAGGAAGAGGAGATGGAGGAGGAGAGAGGGAGGAAGCATGGGCAGGGAAGGGACCTCCCCTCTCCTCTATTTCAAATGCTAAGGACAATGTGCCTCACCGTGACTGCGACGGTGCCAAGCATGGGCAGCAGCAGCAGGCGCACAGAGCGGAGAGGAAGGAAGGGGAGAGGATGGAGGGTGAGAGGATGGAATGGGGGATGGAGGAAGGGACAAAAACTCACAGTGACTGCGACAGTTCCAAGCATGGGCAGCAGCAGCAGGCGCACAGCACACACCACCCAGAGCGCCCTATCATCTTGCAAGGAGGGCAGTGCGGCAGCGGGGGAGGGAGAAGCAGCAGCAGACGAAGCAGACGAAGAAAGAGTCCCGGCTGCTGCTTGACTCGCAATGCTGCCACCCCCACCATCTCTTGATCCACCAGCACCACTCGTAACTCCTTCTTCACTCCCACCACCCCCACCCCCACCACCTCCTCCTCCCCCTCCACTCCCACCACCAGTAGCAGCAGCAGCACTGGCACCAGGTGCAATGACAGCAACAGAGGGGAGTGGCTCCACTATTATTTCTCTCATGCCCGGGTTGGAAAGGGCTGGTAGAGGAGGGGAGGAGGAGGGTTTGAACCAGGACAGGGAGATGCGGGAGGGGATGGAGGAGGCGAGCGAAGAGGCGAGCACGACTGTTTGCACGGCCACACAGGCTGACCCGAGAATGGCTGCTGCCTGGGAAGAAGAGGAAGGGGGACAAGGGAAGGGAATGGAAGGAAAGGTTAGGACAGAGGAGTTGAGGCAGAGGAGGCGAGGGAAGAGGAGGCGAGCAGTGCTACCTTCTTGCACAGCCACACAGGGTGATCCAAGAATGATTTCTAAGGGCTGTATAAAGGCCCACCTCGAAGCCGACTTTCGAGTCACCTCAAGCTCAAGCTCAACCTCAACCTCACCTCGACCTCACCTCTATCTCACATGCCTTGCCTTGCCTACCCCCCTCACCTCCATGACCTTTTGCGACGTTTCACAGCTCACCTCCATGACGCTGTGCAGGATGCCGGCAGTGGCAGATGAGAGCAAGAGAGTGCACTCACCGCCATGGGAGAAAGAGAGCGCACTCACCGCCATGGGAGAAAGAGAGTGCACTCACCGCCATGGGAGAAAGAGAGCGCACTCACCGCCCATGGAGGCTCTTGAATCACCTCATAGCTCACCTCACCTCCATGACGCCGTGCAGGATGCCGGCAGTGGCAGGGCTGTAGAGCCACAGGGCCTGCCACTGCGGGCATCTCGACTCACTGGTACTATGCCCGAGGATTTGCTCACCTCCATGAGGCCGTGCAGAATGCCGGCAGTGGCAGGACTGAAGAGCCACGAGGAGGCTGGGAGAGAGGAGGCAGCAGCAGCAGAGGAGGAGGAGGCAGCAGCAGCAGAGGAGGAGGAGGCAGGGAGGAAGAAGTGACCGAGTGGTGTGGCTCCTATTAGCAGACCTGCTAGCACCTGATGGGGGCATGGGGAGGAGAGGATTGGGGGGATGAGGAGCAGAGGGGGAAGTGGGGGAATGGGCGGATAGGAGGAAGAAGTGACTGAGTGGGGTGGCTCCTATTAGCAGACCTGCTAGCACCTGATGGGGGGGCAAGGGGGATCGGGAGTGGGGGGAGTGGGGGTGTGGGGGTATTAGGGGATGAGGCCATGAGGAGATGGGGGTAAGGAATGGGCGAGAAAGGTGGCTCCTATTCCTATTAGTAGACCTGGGATGGGGAGATTGGTGCAGAAAGGAAAGAGTACGAGGCAAGTAGAATTGATTGCACTAAATTGCACAAGGGGGTGTAGCTCACATGGTAGAGCGACCGCTTCGCATGCGATAGGTAAGGGGATCGATACCCCTCACCTCCACCTTGACAATAAATGTTTTGTTTGTTTGAGATTGTGCCTTGCGCGAAGTGACTAGCAGCACGTCGATATTCCAACCAGGACCTACTCGAATCCCATGGAGCGTGATGCGGTGCTTCTATTGCTCGTTGCTCGATCGTATCGCTCGTACGTCTCCGTGTCTTGACCTACCATCGCTGCCATTCATGTAGTCGTCTTCTGTTGCGTTTTGAGTTGACTCAAAACATGACCCTTCTGCGACCCTGTCCATTGTGGGTTGTGGCTGAGTCCTCCTCATCTGTTTTGTTTCGAGACGTCTCAAGATTATGTGGATGGGTCCTCCATATCTTGGTTGTCCTCGATTGTATAGAATTCGTTAATCGCCATGCCGCACCTCCATGACAGCACGGTGAAACTGTGTCACTCCCTCTAATTCCAATTTTAGAAACTCACCCCATAAATAGGCGGGTTGAGCACTTTCTTTGCCATCTCCATAACACGGCTGGCAGCACGTTCCAACCCTGTCGCTCCCATCGCTGCTTCCGCCTGTGCTGCTGCACTCCCCTCTCCCCCCTCCTCGTCGTCCTCTTCTTGCGCATCACTCCCCCCTCTGAACATGCTGTAACCCAGGGTCCAGAAGGCAGTCGATCCGCTGGAAGAGTGGAGGGGGGGGAGTGGAGGGTGGGGGAGAAAGACGGGACACAAGGGAGGATGCAAAGAGGGCAGCATGTCCCTGTTACTCCCCCCTCTAAACATGCTGTAACCCAGGGTCCAAAAGGCAGTCGATCCACTGAAAGGGTGGAGGGGTGGTGGGTGGGGGAGAAAGAGGGGACACAAGGGAGGATGCAAAGCGGGCGGCATGTCCTTGTTACTCCCCCCTCTGAACATGCTGTAACCCAGGGTCCAAAAGGCTGTCGATCCGCTGGATGGGGTTGAGGGAGCGGAGACAGAGGGGGAGGAGAGCATGCAGCAGGGTGTGTTTGAGAGGGTCCAGAAGGAAAATGAGGGGAAGGAGAGCATGCAGCAGGGAGAATTCTCAAAAACACCCTGCAGGAAAATGAGAGGAAGAAACTTTTGAAACTTCTCAAAAGGGTCTCACACTTATGATCATGCTGTAGGCGAGGGTCCAGAAGGTGGTGGGGAGAAGGGGAGAAAGCAGGGAAGGAGGGGAAGCAATAGCGAGGAAATATTGCATATTATAGCATGAGTGGATAGGCTTGTATATGTACAAATGGGGTGAATGTAATCACTCCACGCTAGTCTCTTATTAGGTGGAAATGCTATGGGCTTGGATGCAACTCATGAGAGCCAGAGGAACGTTTGATTGAAATTGCAGTTCAGTCCTACATGGACGACATGTTCCGATGAGCTGCCTCACAACCAGTGGACGGTGTTCATCCTGGTCGTAATGCGACACGGCGTGCTTGAAGCATTTGTCATAAAAAGCACCCAAGGAAAAATCAGTAACAATTTAGCAAGTTGGAGATGGGACGTGAAGAACGAGTTTAGGAATGCGTTACACTACTCCTCCCCTAGGTGGCAACGTCCACGTCCCTGTTGCCATATGGTGGTTCTAGCATGACGTTCCACATTACGACCAAGGTCAACACCGTCCACTGGTTTTGAGGCAGGTAGTTCATGGTCGGTCATGGCAACCTGGCCGAGCTAAATCTTCTGATTGAACGGCCAGGTTGTCCAGGTTTGATAGGTTTCATGGCAAACGTCTGGAACCCAGTCAAGAGAATTGTCAGCATCAGCTCTATTCAACACCATTACCAAGCAAAAAAGGTATCGGTTTTTAACTTACCACAATAAGGAGTGCATTCACCCCACCATGAAGTGCACCCACCAGGTACCCAGCCAATAGCCTTCTCAGCGTCCGCTGTATTTAGCACTATTGACAGAAGCCCGAAACACAAGAGGCGGTAATCTGTGGATTACCCTTCCGTAACGAGTGTACTAACCCTACCTTAAAGACCGCCAGGTACCCATCAGCCCTGTTCAAATGGGTAGGGTGCTAATATATTCAACACACAAAACAAGGTGTACAGGTATACTCACCCAACCATGAAGAGTGCGAGGTACCCAGCAGCCCTGTCAGCATCAGCGCGAGTGAGCAGCGTTGCCAAAAACACCAGAGGCAGAGTGAGCGAGTTTCCAAACGCACATGCCGCCATCACCACCGATTCCTTCCTCCCCGCCGCCCGCTCCGCCGCCCCGACCATCCCAGGTGCAGACAAAACTCCCCGCCCAAGCACCACCTTCTCGCCGCCTGCCGTCCTCTCCTCTCCCCCATCCCGTTTCGGAAGGGGGAGGCCTGAGAGGAGGGCGGCAGCAGAGGGGGAGAGGCCGAGGCTCCGTGCGACCGAGAAGGCGATGTGGCGGGCGGCAGGAGGGGAGGGGAGTGAGGAGAGCGAGGAGGGGCGGCGGTAGGCTATGGTGCAGGCTAGCTTGCCTAGCACTATTCCGCACAGTATCTGGGGAAGAAGGGGGAATGGGTGGGTGGGTGGAGGGGGTGGGGGTTGGAATGAGTTTTCGAGGAGAAAAGGCAATGCAGAAGTGAGCGAGAGTGGGAAGATGGACGGTGGTAGGCGAGGGTGCAAGCTAGCTTGCCAAGTTGTTGCACAGAGGACCTACGAAGACAGAAGGAAACGAAAATGGGAAAGGAAGGGGGAAGGAGGGAGATGGGACGGACAGCCAAACAGAAAGCCATACGGACAACCACGCAAAGCCATACAAGCCATTTGGACAGTCACGCAAAGCCATACCAAGCCATATGGAAAGGCATACCGAAAGTTATAACACATTGCAGAGGTGCCCGAGGGGAGAGGGGCTAGCTTGCGAAATGGACATTGGTATGCGAAAGAGCAGGCTAGCTTGCCTGGAGCTGCTACTCTACTCCACAGAAGACCTGAGAGGGGGGAAGGGTGGGGTGGGTTTAAAAGCAGTGCAGAAGTGAGCGAGGAGGTGCGGTGGTATGCGAAAGAGCAGGCTAGCTTGCCTGGAGCTGCTACTCTACTCCACAGAAGACCTGAGAGGGGGGAAGGGTGGGGTGGGTTTAAAAGCAGTGCAGAAGTGAGCGAGGAGGTGCGGTGGTATGCGAAAGAGCAGGCTAGCTTGCCTGGAGCTGCTACTCTACTCCACAGAAGACCTGAGAGGGGGGAAGGGTGGGGTGGGTTTAAAAGCAGTGCAGAAGTGAGCGAGGAGGTGCGGTGGTATGCGAAAGAGCAGGCTAGCTTGCCTGGAGCTGCTACTCTACTCCACAGAAGACCTGAGAGGGGGGAAGGGTGGGGTGGGTTTAAAAGCAGTGCAGAAGTGAGCGAGGAGGTGCGGTGGTATGCGAAAGAGCAGGCTAGCTTGCCTGGAGCTGCTACTCTACTCCACAGAAGACCTGAGAGGGGGGAAGGGTGGGGTGGGTTTAAAAGCAGTGCAGAAGTGAGCGAGGAGGTGCGGTGGTATGCGAAAGAGCAGGCTAGCTAGCCTGGAGCTGCTACTCTACTCCACAGAAGACCTGAGAATAGGGGGGTTTGGGGTGGGGTGCGGTGGGGTGGGGTGCGGTGGAAGGAGTAGCCAAGGAGAACAAAAACAGTGCAGAAGAGAGTGAGGAGAGGGATGATGGGTGGTGGTAGGCGAGAGAGCAGGCTAGATTGCCTAGAGTTGCTCCATAGAGGATCTGGGAGGGAGCACAGGAGGAGGGGTGAGAGGGATGGAAGAGGATGCATGTCATACACAGCATACACAGCATACACAGCATACACAGCATACACAGCATACACAGCATACACAGCATACACAGCATACACAGCATACACAGCATACACAGCATACCACAGCATACACAGCATACACAGCATACACAGCATACACAGCATACACAGCATACACAGCATACACAGCATACACAGCATACACAGCATACACAGCATACACAGCATACACAGCATACACAGCATACACAGCATACACAGCATACACAGCATACACATCATACACAGCATACACAGCATACACAGCATACACAGCATACACAGCATACACAGCATACACAGCATACCCAGCATACACAGCATACACAGCATACACAGCATACACAGCATACACAGCATACACAGCATACACAGCATACACAGCATACACAGCATACACAGCATACACAGCATACACAGCATACACAGCATACACAGCATACACAGCATACACAGCATTACACAGCATACACAGCATACACAGCATACACAGCATACACAGCATACACAGCATACACAGCATACACAGCATACACAGCATACACAGCATACACAGCATACACAGCATACACAGCATACACAGCATACACAGCATACACAGCATACACAGCATACACAGCATACACAGCATACACAGCATACACAGCATACACAGCATACACAGCATACACAGCATACACAGCATACACAGCATACACAGCATACACAGCATACACAGCATACACAGCATACACAGCATACACAGCATACACAGCATACACAGCATACACAGCATACACAGCATACACAGCATACACAGCATACACAGCATACACAGCATACACAGCATACACAGCATACACAGCATACACAGCATACACAGCATACACAGCATACACAGCATACACAGCATACACAGCATACACAGCATACACAGCATACACAGCATACACAGCATACACAGCATACACAGCATACACAGCATACACAGCATACACAGCATACACAGCATACACAGCATACACAGCATACACAGCATACACAGCATACACAGCATACACAGCATACACAGCATACACAGCATACACAGCATACACAGCATACACAGCATACACAGCATACACAGCATACACAGCATACACAGCATACACAGCATACACAGCATACACAGCATACACAGCATACACAGCATACACAGCATACACAGCATACACAGCATACACAGCATACACAGCATACACAGCATACACAGCATACACAGCATACACAGCATACACAGCATACACAGCATACACAGCATACACAGCATACACAGCATACACAGCATACACAGCATACACAGCATACACAGCATACACAGCATACACAGCATACACAGCATACACAGCATACACAGCATACACAGCATACACAGCATACACAGCATACACAGCATACACAGCATACACAGCATACACAGCATACACAGCATACACAGCATACACAGCATACACAGCATACACAGCATACACAGCATACACAGCATACACAGCATACACAGCATACACAGCATACACAGCATACACAGCATACCACACAGCATACACAGCATACACAGCATACACAGCATACACAGCATACACAGCATACACAGCATACAACAGCATACACAGCATACACAGCATACACAGCATACACAGCATACACAGCATACACAGCATACACAGCATACACAGCATACACAGCAACAGCATACACAGCATACACAGCATACACAGCATACACAGCATACACAGCATACACAGCATACACAGCATACACAGCATACACAGCATACACAGAATACACAGCATACACAGCATACACAGCATACACAGCATACACAGCATACACAGCATACACAGCATACACAGCATACACAGCATACACAGCATACACAGATACACAGCATACCACAGCATACACAGCATACCAACCAGCATACACAGCATACACAGCATTACACAGCATACACAGCATACACAGCATACACAGCATACACAGCATACACAGCATACACAGCATACACAGCATACACAGCATACACAGCATACACAGCATACACAGCATACACAGCATACACAGCATACACAGCATACACAGCATACACAGCATACACAGCATACACAGCATACACAGCATACACAGCATACACAGCATACACAGCATACACAGCATACACAGCATACACAGCATACACAGCCTACACAGCATACACAGCATACACAGCATACAAAGCATACACAGCATACACAGCATACACAGCATACACAGCATACACAGCATACACAGCATACACAGCATACACAGCATACACAGCATACACAGCATACACAGCATACACAGCATACACAGCATACCACAGCATACCACAGCATACACAGCATACACCAGCATACACCGCATACACAGCATACACAGCATACACAGCATACACAGCATACACAGCTATACACAGCATACACAGCATACACAGCATACACAGCATACACAGCATACACAGCATACACAGCATACACAGCATACACAGCATACACAGCATACACAGCATACACAGCATACACAGCATACACAGCATACACAGCATACACAGCATACACAGCATACACAGCATACACAGATACACAGCATACACAGCATACACAGCATACACAGCATACACAGCATACACAGCATACACAGCATACACAGCATACACAGCATACACAGCATACACAGCATACACAGCATACACAGCATACACAGCATACACAGCAACAAAAGCATACACAGCATACACAGCATACACAGCATACACAGCATACACAGCATACACAGCATACACAGCATACACAGCATACACAGCATACACAGCATACACAGCATACACAGCATACAACAGCATCCACAGCATACACAGCATACACAGCATAACAGCATACACAGCATACACAGCAATACACAGCATACACAGCATACACAGCATACACAGCATACACAGCATACACAGCATACACAGCATACACAGCATACACAGCCTACCAGCATACACAGCATCACAGCATACACAGCATACCACAGCATACACAGCATACACAGCATACACAGCATACAGCATACACAGCATACACAGCATACACAGCATACACAGCATACACAGCATACACAGCATACACAGCATACACAGCATACACAGCATACACAGCATACACAGCATACACAGCATACACAGCATACACAGCATACACAGCATACACAGCATACACAGCATACACAGCATACACAGCATACACAGCATACACAGCATACACAGCATACACAGCATACACAGCATACACAGCATACACAGCATACACAGCATACACAGCATACACAGCATACACAGCATACACAGCATACAACGCATACACAGCATACACAGCATACACAGCATACACAGCATACACAGCATACACAGCATACACAGCATACACAGCATACACAGCATACACAGCATACACAGCATACACAGCATACACAGCATACACAGCATACACAGCATACACAGCATACACAGCATACACAGCATACACAGCATTACACAGCATACACAGCATACACAGCATACACAGCATACACAGCATACACAGCATAACACAGCATACACAGCATACACAGCATACACAGCATACACAGCATACACAGCATACACAGCATACACAGCATACACAGCATACACAGCATACACAGCATACACAGGCATACACAGCATACACAGCATACACAGCATACACAGCATACACAGCATACACAGCATACACAGCATACACAGCATACACAGCATACAACAGCATACACAAGCATACACAGCATACACAGCATACACAGCATACACAGCATACACAGCATGACACAGCATACACAGCATACACAGCATACACAGCATACACAGCATACACAGCATACACAGCATACACATAACGCATACACAGCATACACAGCATACACAGCATACACAGCATACACAAGCATACACAGCATACACAGCATACACAGCATACACAGCATACACAGCATACACAGCATACACAGCATACACAGCATACACAGCATACACAGCATACACAGCATACACAGCATACACAGCATACACAGCATACACAGCATACACAGCATACACAGCATACACAGCATACACAGCATACACAGCATACACAGCATACACAGCATTAACACAGCATTACACAGCATACACAGCATACCACAGCATACACAGCATACACAGCATACACAGCATACACAGCATACACAGCATACACAGCATACACAGCATACACAGCATACACCAGCATACACAGCATACACAGCATACACAGCATACAACACGCATACACAGCATACACAGCATACACAGCATACACAGCATACACAGCATACACAGCATACACAGCATACACAAGCATACACAGCATTACACAGCATACACAGCATACACAGCATACACCAGCATACACAGCATACACAGCATACACAGCATACACAGCATACACAGCATACACAGCATACACAGCATACCAACAGCATACACAGCATACACAGCATACACAGCATACACAGCATACACAGCATACACAGCATACACAGCATACACAGCATACACAGCATAACAGCATACACAGCATACACAGCATACACAGCATACCAACAGCATACACAGCATACACAGCATACACAGCATACACAGCATACACAGCATACAGCATACACAGCATACACAGCATACACAGCATACACAGCATACACAGCATACACAGCATACACAGCATACACAGCATACACAGCATACACAGCATACACAGCATACACAGCATACACAGCATACACAGCATACACAGCATACACAGCATACACAGCATACACAGCATACACAGCATACACAGCATACACAGCATACACAGCATACACAGCATACACAGCATACACAGCATACACAGCATACACAGCATACACAGCATACACAGCATACACAGCATACACAGCATACACAGCATACACAGCATACACAGCATACACAGCATACACAGCATACACAGCATACACAGCATACACAGCATACACAGCATACACAGCATACACAGCATACACACCCGTCACACCCGTCATACCCGTCATACCCGTCATACCCGTCATACCCGTCATACCCGTCATACCCGTCATACCCGTCATACCCGTCATACTCGTCATACTCGTCATACTCGTCATACTCGTCATACTCGTCATACTCGTCATACTCGTCATACTCGTCATACCCGTCATACCCGTCATACCCGTCATACCCGTCATACCCGTCATACCCGTCACACCCGTCACACCCGTCACACCCGTCACACCCGTCACACCCGTCACACCCCTCACACCCCTCACACCCATCACACCCATCACACCCATCACACCCATCACACCCATCACACCCATCACACCCATCACACCCATCACACCCATCACACCCATCACACCCATCACACCCATCACACCCATCACACCCATCACACCCATCACACCCATCACACCCATCACACCCATCACACCCATCACACCCATCACACCCATCACACCCATCACACCCATCACACCCATCACACCCATCACACCCATCACACCCATCACACCCATCACACCCATCACACCCATCACACCCATCACACCCATCACACCCATCACACCCATCACACCCATCACACCCATCACACCCATCACACCCATCACACCCATCACACCCATCACACCCATCACACCCATCATACCCATCACACCCATCACACCCATCACACCCATCACACCCATCACACCCATCACACCCATCATACCCATCATACCCATCATACCCATCATACCCATCACACCCATCACACCCATCACACCCATCACACCCATCACACCCATCATACCCATCATACCCATCATACCCGTCATACCGATCATACCCGTCATACCGATCATACCCGTCACACCCGTCATACCGATCACACCCGTCATACCGATCACACCCCTCATACCGATCACACCCGTCATACCGATCACACCCGTCATACCGATCACACCCGTCATACCGATCACACCCGTCACACCGATCACACCCGTCACACCCGTCACACCCGTCACACCCGTCACACCCGTCACACCCGTCACACCCGTCACACCCGTCATACCCGTCATACCCGTCATACCCGTCATACCCGTCATACCCGTCATACCCGTCATACCCGTCATACCCGTCATACCCGTCATACCCCTCATACCCGTCACACCCATCACACCCGTCACACCCGTCACACCCATCACACCCGTCACACCCATCACACCCGTCACACCCATCATACCCGTCATACCCATCATACCCGTCATACCCATCATACCCATCATACCCATCATACCCATCACACCCATCATACCCATCACACCCATCACACCCATCACACCCATCATACCCATCACACCCATCACGCCCATCACACCCATCATACCCATCATACCCATCATACCCATCATACCCATCATACCCATCATACCCATCACACCGATCATACCCATCACACCGATCATACCCATCATACCCATCATACCCATCATACCCATCACACCGATCATACCCATCATACCCATCACACCGATCATACCCATCACACCCATCACACCCATCACACCCATCATACCCATCACACCCATCACACCCATCATACCCATCACACCCATCATACCGATCATACCGATCATACCCATCACACCCATCATACCCATCATACCCATCATACCCATCATACCGATCATACCCATCATACCCATCATACCGATCATACCCATGACACCCATCATACCGATCACACCCATGACACCCATCATACCCATCACACCCATCATACCCATCATACCCATCATACCCATCATACCCATCATACCCATCATACCCATCATACCCATCATACCGATCATACCCATCATACCCATCATACCCATCATACCCATCATACCCATCATACCCATCATACCCATCATACCCATCATACCCATCACACCCATCATACCCGTCATACCCGTCACACCCATCATACCCGTCACACCCATCATACCCGTCACACCCATCATACCCATCACACCCATCACACTCGTCATACCCGTCACACCCATCACACTCAGTCACACCCATCACACTCGTCATACCCATCACACTCGTCATACCCATCATACCCATCATACTCGTCACACCCATCATACCCATCATACCCATCATACCCATCATACCGATCACACCCATCATACCCATCACACCCATCATACCCATCATACCCATCATACCCATCATACCATCATACCCATCATACCGATCATACCCATCATACCCATCATACCGATCATACCCATGACACCCATCATACCGATCACACCCATGACACCCATCATACCCATCACACCCATCTTACCCATCATACCCATCATACCCATCATACCCATCATACCCATCATACCCATCATACCCATCATACCGATCACACCCATCATACCCATCATACCCATCATACCCATCATACCCATCATACCCATCACACCCATCATACCCGTCATACCCGTCACACCCATCATACCCGTCACACCCATCATACCCGTCACACCCATCATACCCATCACACCCATCACACTCGTCATACCCGTCACACCCATCACACTCAGTCACACCCATCACACTCGTCATACCCATCACACTCGTCATACCCGTCACACCCATCATACCCGTCACACCCATCATACCCGTCACACCCATCATACCCATCACACCCATCACACTCGTCATACCCGTCACACCCATCACACTCAGTCACACCCATCACACTCGTCATACCCATCACACTCGTCATACCCATCACACTCGTCATACCCATCATACCCATCATACTCGTCACACCCATCATACCCATCATACCCATCATACCCATCATACCGATCACACCCGTCACACCCGTCACACCCGTCACACCCGTCATACCCGTCATACCCGTCATACCCGTCATACCCGTCATACCCGTCATACCCGTCATACCCGTCATACCCGTCATACCCGTCATACCCATCATACCCGTCACACCCATCACACCCGTCACACCCGTCACACCCATCACACCCGTCACACCCATCACACCCGTCACACCCATCATACCCGTCATACCCATCATACCCGTCATACCCATCATACCCATCATACCCTGGGTTCTAGGTCCCCCCAACCACGGAATGGGATGGGGTGGGTGGACGGGGGAGGAGCGTGATATTGGAGTATCGTGGAGTGGAGTGAGGTGGAGTGGGGCGGAATGGGCTGGTCTGGGGTTAGAGCTTGAGATGGGGCAAAATGGAGAGGAATGGAGTGGAGTGGAGAGGAGAGGAGAGGAGTCAAGAGGAGTGGAGAGGAGTGGGAGGGGTGCAACGCACCTGAAAGATCGCGAGGAGAGGCAGGAAAGCGAGCGAGGAGAGAGGCTGTACGGAGAGAGTAGAGGCGACCTTGGTCATCATGAAGCAAGGGATGAGCGCTTGGAAGGCCACCTGGGGAATAGACAGGGGGTTTAATTTGAAGGGAACAACGTGTGTCTGGGTCATGAGGAAGCAATCAGGGGATGAGCGCTTGAAAGGCCACCAGGAGGGTGGAGAGGGGGTGAGGACATGACATGGGTGATTGAAAAAGCACCTGAAAATGCACCTGAGAAAGCACCTCGGGAGCACCTATCATGACATCTACAGTGATTCGTGTACCAGCACACTCCATCATGCGGTTCACCTGAAAGCACCGAGACAGATCGGCACTATATATTCTACCTGCCTAGACACCTGAGCCGAACCTGACTAAAACCCTGAATCACATCTTGATGGCACACTGAATACACTGAGCCCCACCTGGCAACACCTGAACCCCACCTGATGATAAACCTGAACCCCACTTGATGATACACCTAAACCCCACCTGGCACACCTGAACCCTACCTGAAGATACACCTGAACCATACCGGAAAGTATACCTGAACCTCACCTGAGGATGCACCTGAACCCCACCTGACGATACACCTGAACCCCACCTGACAATACACCTGACCTGAACCCCACCTGGCTGAGCACCGAAGGCGTGGCTTCAGGAAGGACGTTGGCCTTCATTAGCCACACAATGAAGGCTGTGGGGAGGATAATGGGAGGGGAGGGGGAAGGAGGGAGCATGGAGGTGGGGTGAGTGCGATCAGTAGTGGAAGGTGGTGACATTGGGGGAAGGACGTTGGCCTTCATTAGCCACACGATGAAGGCTGTGGGGAGAAAATGGAGAGGGGGAACACGACCAGAATCGCGACCCGAATTGCAACGAGAACTGCGACCAGAAGTGCGTTCCAAATAGCCAAACGCATTGACTCACCGCACATGGCGAATAGTTTGAACGACGCCCCCAGGGATGCGCGCAGGACAGGCGTGTTTACGCCACACGCGGCGAGCAATGCTCCCACTGCTGATGATGATGATGCCGCTGCTGCTGCTCCTACCCCTGCCCCTGCTGTTCCCGCTGCCGCTGGCGCAGCCACGATCCCCCCCACCACCACCGCTGCAGCCGCTGCTGCTGCTGCTGCTGTAATGACGTGGCTAGTCCTGCCGGTTGGAGTGGCGCCAACTGACGGACGGTTAATCCTGTCTGCTGACGTGGCGCTGACTGTCGGACGCCTGACGGACGGGCCATTGGCGGAGGTGTCTTTGCAGCGAAGCGCTCCTGCATTCCCGAGAAACGAACGTCGGAACCAGCTATCCTTGCCAGCAGGGCGTTTGACTAGACGGTTTCTGCAGTGTGTGACGGCGAGAGAACTCAGGCTGATTTTGATTGGTCGAACCGAGATGGCGGAACAGGGAAAAAACCTATTTGAAATTGCATTCTCGGCGGAAGCGACACGTGGCGAGGCGTGAGTGGCTGGACAGGGAGTAGATGTCAGAATGCAGGTTCCTGGAAGCATCTGGACCATGGCGTAATGCAGCTCGATCAGTGCCGCTTTATCAACGAATCGAATCGGATCAAACTAAATCGCCAATTTCCTTTTTACAAACGCTGTAAGGGGCAGTCTGAAGGTCCCGTTCGGATTACAAGCCAAAAGTCGAAAGTCGTTGACGAAGCACGAATTGCGTGCCACGAAAAACCGCAGTGCGGTATCCTAATGTACAGCCGCTGTTGTGATGTACCGGCATGCGAGCTCCTTTCGCCAACAGTCGCCTATAAATTGCGAAGCCAAAGTCTTTGGGATTGTTGTGCAGCGTAGTTTGGCGAATGTAGGTACCTCGGCTCCGTGAGTGAGATCAAGCGGTCCAAAACGATTATTTTCCAGCCGATCAAGCCCTAAGCACGCCGATAAAGCAGTTAGCACCGCTTGGGCGTGTCAGCACTCGCCGAATCGCGACGACGGGATGTCAACGGTCAAATACGACGATCGAATCGCGCAAGAGAGCAAATACGATGTAGGGTGTAAGCGACGGCATATCGCAAAGGGAAACTACGAGGAAGGGAGACGAACGCGAGCAACGAGTGACAGTAATGACAGGTTAGAATGTAGTAAATTCTCGCCGTGAAGCTTCAGGCTAAGGGGCTAGGGCCCGTTAGAAGCACTCGGCCGTTGCTTCAGGAGTGGTGGCGACGCGACGGGACAAGAGATTGCCAGAATTCGTCCAGCGAAACGATAATTTGTGTGCTAGTGTGTGACACTCACTGAGGGCGTGTCCAGCTCGTTCATTTCGGGAAATTTAATACTTCCTCACGATCCGGGGTTCATAACTGATCACTGTACCTATAAACGAATACGACCTGCGTCGAGTCCACCCTTTGTCAATTCTAGCGCGCGGACACATTCCCCCCACACAGACTTCAACAGTGCAGGGGCCGTGTGGAAACGAGGTAACCGATTCCCTCGTCAACCAAAGCGTTGGACTTTTCGCCAAGCCAACACTTCCACTACTGGTTTTGGCGAGTGTCATGCGGCAGTGGCGAAATCGAGCGCGCGATACGATGGGCACTCACTGTAGTGGGCAGGACGCGGCTCTGTACCATTGTTCAATGCGCACGCTGATTTCTGTAACGTGCGTCACACGATTCGAAGTACGTGCAGGGGGTGTGCCGTATCGTGAACGGGAGCTGATCGTGTCTGGCATTTTTGTAAAACTCAGTGTTACAAGACAAAATCTGGTAACTGAAGGGCTTTACGAACAGTAAATGAAGGAGCTGGACACCCCCTGAAGATATCTTGGTGCACACTTCACTGCTGCCCCCATCGATGGCATCTTGATGCTCAGCCAGAAGCAATCGATGGGGGCAGCATTCCACGGTCAGGGGCAACGGAACGGCCCACAGTTCACGGGCCCACGACGAGCCACTCATTTTCTTGACCGCGAGTACGTTACCCCAATTTTACCATGCAAAACACGTCAGGCTACCCAACATTTTGGAACTGTAGTTCAGGTGGTAACCCTCACTACGCTGAGGCCCAATTTGCCCCTACGTGCCACAAAACGTTATGTGACGATGCGTGGTAACCTAGCCTTTCGCATACAATCGCCCTCATGAACCGAAGAAGCGAAGGATTTTGTTTCGCAATCCAGCATCGTGTTTCCGCTGTCAAGAGCAGATATTGAGTACACTTCAGAAACACACAACTTCACACCCTGTAACTCCTTAACATAAAAGACAAAGAACAGCAAATTTACAAGCGAAGGGCAGGAAGATTGGCAAGTCTGCTCTTGAAGAGAAGCATGGTGGTTTGCCAACATTCCTGCCCTGATGCTCACTCCATACTAAGGTACTCTAGAACTTCTACATGAAAGAACCCCAAACACCTGATGGTAAGTTGCTAGCCACACAACAAAACCCTTCCCACAGGCCCTCAGCTACTCTGTATTCAGCAAGAACCAGAATAGCAGTGCAAAGCCAACAGCAGCACCGCCATCACATCAGGCAGCGGTGGAGGGCAATTTGACGCCCATGAGCTGCCCGCCCCACGCCACACCCCCCGCAGTGGTAGTGGCCAACACGGCATATCCACTCACAGTCGCGTTCACCCCGCCCCCCCCCATCATCCCCCCCGCACCCCCAGCGCCTGGGTAACCACCTGAGAAACCACCTGCAGGCGGCTGCGGCGCCCCCTGCTGCTGCCCCCCCTGCTTCGCGCCAGTGACACGCCCCGCTGCGCGCATCAGCAGCTCCCTCCCCATGCGCCTGCTGCCCTTCCCGCTGCGCGCGCCCCCCGCGCCGCTCCCGCCTCCGCTGCCGCTGCCGCGCCCGCCACTGCCGCGCGCCGAAGGGAGCGTCGCGTTGGGGAGGAGCGCGAGGAGCGCGTCGACGGTGGCGGCGTCCGCGTTCTCGAGGAACGCGTCGAGCCGCGCCTCCGCGTGCAGCAGCCACCAGCCGTCGCGCTGCTGCCAGTCGGACGCCGCCAGCGGAAGCGCGAGAATCGCAGCGGCGGATGCGGAAGAGTCGCAGACGGCGCCCTTCACGATCGCGAGGGAGTCGGGCGGCCCGCCCGTTGCGCCCACGAGGAGCGCTTCGACCGCCAGGTTGTAATTGCCGCTCGCGTTCCTGGCGGAGGGGAAGTGGGGAAGCGTGGCGGAAGGGTGAAAGGGGGGAGCAGGGGGGTGAGTGAATGGAGGAAAGATGGTAACGCGTCCCTGGCTGAATGGAAAGAAATGAATGCGGCACAGCATCTGCGACGCCGAAGATAAAATGACAGTGAGTACGCGCGGCGACAATTATAGCCTCACGGAATTTTAGGGTTTCGTGAGAACTCGCGGCGACAATTATAGCCCGAAGCTCACTTGAAGATGGCGAGGTGAAAGTGGCCGTCGAGAAACGTTGGGTCCGCGGAACAGTTAGCCAAACGCGCGCCAACATCCGCCGTCAGATTGCCGACGACCGTCAAGTTGAGCGGAGGACCGCACGGACCAGCAGGCCCGCCAGGACCGCCCGGCCCGCCAGTCCCGCCTGGGCTGGATCCGCCAGGTCCTCCGCGCGCCGCCCCGTGCTGCTGGCCTCCCGGAGGGCCTCTGCCAGGTGGACCACGCTGCGCCAGCGCAGAAGTCGCAAGGAGGAGCGCAATGCAGACGAGAAGAAATCCCCTAACTGCCATGGTTTTCAGAAACGAATAATTCAGGTTCTAAGAGGAGTTTGATCAGAGGTTGTGGGTGAAGGCAGAGCGGAAATTGTGAGATGGGAAGAGCTTGAACATGGGAGCAATTTATGTGCAACAGCTCGCTCACATTCCTCGAGTCGGGGGTTGACTGACGAGAAGGAAAATTCCCGAGACGCGAGATGACTGGTCAACAAGTGGTCGGAGGCAGTCGAGATTCGTGTAGTGAGGCTTGACAGACGTGGTGTGGTATGGTTCCATTTTCGTGGTTGGCCCAACCGACAAGGCGTTGAAATTCTTCAACTGGTTTGGGGAGCTGGGTCAACGTGAAGCACACACCCGAGGTTTGTCAGCTGATGAGCACACGTATAGAACATGTAGATGTATGTTACGAGTGCAATTGAGTGAACGAGCGAGAATTGCACTATCGAAGCAAGAGTACAATGAGCGAAGGCATGAGCGAAGAATATATAGCGAAACTACAGTGGTAACGGTAATGTGTGAAAAGTGGGGTGTGCGACGGGCCTAGTGCCGAGGTTGGGAGATGTCGAGGCGGAGGTCCGGAGCGCGGGTTACCAACCGAACCGTGAGGTTGGGTCGCGTCGTGAACGGTGGCGGGAATGGTGTCGAAGCGAATGTCGCGAGTGGTAACGGATTACTGTTGGGTGCTGCTGGCGGGAACAGTGGTGTACGCGCTGAGTAGGGACGCGAAGTAAGGAAAAAGGATTTTCCTTACACTACCCCCCTCCCCAAGGAGGCCCCTCTTACGAGAGCGCGTGTACATCTCGGAAGTTTCGGCTTCGCAGATACTCAGTGAGGACAGGGTGATTCTCAATTCTATCCAGGGGGACCCAGTTGTCTTCGGTGGGCGTGCGGTCCTTCCAGCGGATCAGGAATTCGATTCTGCGGGCTCCCCGTGGGTCACGTACTCGATGGCTCAGTATTTTCTCAGGCATGATGATTGGCTCAGTCGGTGGTCGTGTCATGCTGGCGGGGCGGTTGCGAGGCAGTTGGCTGGTGGATGGCACGTATGGGCGAAGCAAGCTGACGTGGAATGACGGGCTGACGTACCAGTCAGCAGGGAGGAGGAGATGGGCGGTGACGGGTGTGATCATGTGGCTGATGCGAAATGGCCCGCAATATCGGGGGCGGAGTTTTGGGGTGATGGGCAGGCGGAGGTTTTGAGTGTCGAGTAAAACTAGGTCGTCTGGCTGGTAAGTGACAGGTCGGCGGTGGCGGTCAGCGTTGCGTTTAGCGATGATGTTTGATTTTTTTATTGCTTCTGCTGCTCGGGTCCGTGCTGCTTGCAGTATTTCTGCGAACTGTTGCGCGCGTGGGACTGGGTTGTCGGGGTTCGGGGTCATGGGTACTGTGGGGTCTTGTCCGTAGTTCAGGTAAAATGGTGACTGTTGGGTCGTGGCAGATGGCGAGTTGTTGTACGCGAATTCGATGAGTGGCAGTTGCTGTTCCCACGTGGTCGGGTCGTCGCACGTGGCCCGGATGAGCTGTTCCATGGTCTGATTTGTCCGTTCTGTCTGTCCGTCGGTTTCGGGGTGGTATGATGAACTAAACTGTAGTCGCGTGCCAAACTGCTGCCACAGGTTCCGCCAGAAGTTGCTGGTGAATTTCGTGTCTCTGTCGCTGATGATCGATGCTGGTATCCCGTGCAGTCGAACGACGGTAGAGATGAAGAGGCGGGCTGTTTCTTCGGCTGTGATTGATTTTTTGCAGGCTGCGAAGTGTGCCATTTTCGTCAGTCGATCGACGACGACCAGGATTGCGTCATTCCCACTCGCTCCGGCCGGTAACCCCGTGACGAAGTCCATCGTCACCTGCTGCCAAGCACCCTCTGGGGGTGGTATCGGCTGCAACTGTCCTGCCGGCCGCTTCCGTGATGACTTCATGTTCTGGCAAGTGGGACACGATGCCACGTGTCGTTGAACGTCGGTCAACATTTCGGGCCAGTAATAATACCGCTGCAGCTGCTGCCGTGTTTTTTCTACCCCGAAATGTCCTGAGGTAACTCCGTCGTGTGCCTCCTGTAACAGTAGTTCCCGTAGCAGTGTGTACCCTGGTACCCAGATGCGGTCGGTCCCGGCTTTTACGTAATAGACTCCCTTGGCTGCTGCGAACTGCTGCGAATTTCCTCCTGTAAAGAATGGGTCCGTTTGGTACCCGTGGGTAAATAGTCCTGTCAGTAGCGGGCTGGTCTGGGCGAGTAGTATCGCGTGGATTTGGGCAGTGGGGCGGGTCAGTGCGTCAGCGATGTTGGATGCTCCCTTTTTATAGGTGACCGTGTAGTGGAAGTTTGACTCGAGGAAATCGAGCCAGCGGATCTGTCGTGGGTTGAGGTGGGGCTGTGCGCGGAGGTACTGTAGGGATCGGTGGTCTGTCCGTACTGTCACGTCTGCGCCGGTCAAGTAACAGCGCCAGACCTTGAATGCATGCACGATCGCGAGCATTTCGCGGTCGTGTATCGGGTAATTTTTCTCGGGCGGATGCAGTTTTCGTGACTCGTATGCGATGGGCTGTAAACCTGTAGCAGTATGGCTCCAATGGCGATGTCGCTTGCGTCTGTAACTACTTCGAATGGGCGGTGTGGGTCAGCGATGCGCAGTACGGGTGGTGAGCAGAGAACATGTTTCAGGGCAGAGAAGGCAGCATGCTCTTTCTCCCCCCCACGTAAAAGTGACCCCCTTCCGTAGTAAATCCGTCAGTGGTGCAGTTAACCGTGCCATATCGGGGACGAACCGACGCACATAATTAACGAACCCTAAAAAACTCTGCAGCTCCGTGATGTTCGTCGGGGGGTGCCACGCTTTTACCGTGTCCAGCTTCTTGGGGTCAATTTCAACTCCAGCCGCCGAAATAACGTGCCCCAAAAATTCTAACCTATCCTGGAAGAACTCGCACTTGGAACCCTTGGTCAGTAATCTGTGCTCGTCTAAAACCTTAAATACTGCTTCCAGATCTGCTAAGTGCTGCTGCTTATCCCGACTGTAAACTAGGATGTCGTCGAGGTAAACTATCACGCATTTATCTAAGAGCGGCCTAAACGCCTCGTTCATGGTCATCTGGAAAGTCGCCGGTGCGTTGGTCAGCCCGAATGGCATCACGGTGTACTCGAATGACCCATACCTAGTTCTAAATGCTGTTTTTACGCAGTCCGATGGTTCGACCCGAATCTGGTGGTAACCTCCCCGTAAATCTATTTTCGAAAAAACCCGTGCTGTTCGCAGCTGGTCGATCAGTTCGTCAGCGCGGGGAATGGGGTATCGCGACTTGACTGTTACCCGGTTCAGTGCTCTGTAATCGATGCACATGCGAAACCCCCTGTCTTTTTTCGGTGTGAACAGTATCGGTGCGGCGAACGGTGACGAGCTCGGTCGGATGAATTTTTTCTCTAACAAGTAGTCTAATTGCTTCCTCAGCTCATCGAGCTCGGGTTGTGTCAGTCGGAACTGTCGCTGTACGGTTGGCTGTGCCCCGGGTTCTAACTCTATGCGGTGGTCATGTGCTCGCTGAGGTGGCAGTCCTCCTGGTAAATCGTCCGGAAAAATCCCCGGGTACCGTTTCAACAGTTCCTGTAGTTCGGGCGGTACCGCTGCCAACAGTTTCTGAAAATCGCTCGGCTGCTCTGCTTCTCCTACCAATGCTATATCCACTGCGTACACGTCAGCTCCAGCGGCGACAGCCCGTTTCATCGTGATGGCGTTGACGTGGACCGTTGAAGACTCGGGCGACTGCCAGCGAGGTAGCACGACCCAGTTACCGCTACTTCGCACAGTACAGCTACCCGTCGTCCAGTCAATTCGCGAGTTATACCGTCGCAGCCAATCACGTCCCAGTAAAATGTCGTGCCCATCCAATGTCGTCACGAGCATTTCCTGTGTAATCCCAAAGTTCCCCCCGCAGCGGACTTTTACTCTCTCCACCTTCTCCCGTATGGCCAGCGGCGTTCCGTCCACTAAGCGTGCATCTATTTCCGGTAAACACCGACTAAGTGTCAGTCGTAGCTTCCGTGCGGTTGCGGTATTAACTAAGCTGTGGCTTGCTCCTCCGTCTATAAAGATCTTCACTGCTGCTCCCTATACTTTCCCGTGAATCAGTACTGGGCAATCCGTCGCTGTACCCTCCTTATTCATCCGAGCCTGATCGATAGCGTGAATCGGTACTGTGACTCGGTGAGGGTCGGTGTGGTTGGGCGAGCAGGCAGTCTCGTCAGTAGTTGGCCCGATTCCTACTGACTGCTGGCGTTTCCCTGCCTTAGAGACTCCCTCCCCTGCTCTGCTCCGCGGCGCCTCAGCTCCTCTGGGCACTCACTCTTATGATGGCCCAGCCTATTGCAAGCGAAGCAGCGCCCCTTAAACGGCGCGGCAGCTGCGTTCGTCGCAACAGCGTGTACAGTGGCGTGCTCGATTGGTCCCCGAGGGCGATGTCCGTAGTAGGACCCCGGTCTCGGGCGGCGTAAAATGTCGATTTTCTCGGCGAGCGCGAGAATCTCGTTGAAATTCGAGAGTCCGCGTAGCATGATTTCGTGCGAGATGTCCGGCTTCAACCCTCCGACGTAACGGTCCACCCGCTCCGCTTCGTGCATATAGCCGACTTGCTCGCATAATGCGAGAAAACCGCTCGTGTAGTCTTGGACCGATCCGAGCTGCCGCCAAGTACGCAGTTTCTGACGCGCCGAAATAGAAGCCGCGATCGGCTCGAAGCGCGCCCGAAGCCCTGCGCACCACGCATCCCACGTGCTGTATTGGGCGGTTTCGCAGAATGAACTCCAGGTGACAGCTGGGCCCGTGGGCCCTTCCTCTTGCGACGGTGGCTCGTAGGCGCGTGGCGACGTCACGATGACTCGCCACCAGTCCATGGCGGGGCCCCTCAGCAGCGAGACGGCGTATCTGATCTTCGATGCGTCCGACTCGACGTAGTTCGCGTCGAAGAAGACGTTCATCGTGAAAACCCACGATTGAACCGTCGGACCTCCACGTTGGCTCGGATCGAAACAGGGCGGGCGCTGCGGCTTGAGTGGCATTGGTGCCATGATGTCGTGGTTACCACTTGTTGCTGCAAACTCCACGTGCCGACGAGCTTCGCGAGGCCCACGCGGGCTTGGCGCGGCCCGATTTCTCTCCATGCCAGGCATCGATTGAGCGGCGCCATCACTGGCTGCGCCTGAGCGCTGTCCCACGCTGTCGTTTTGCGTCGGTGTGCCGGATGAGATGACGATTGGTTCTTCGGATTGCGCAGGTGCATTTGCGGGTGCTTGTGATGGAGCTGGTGCATTCACCGTTGATTGCTGGCGGGTGGAGTCACGTTCCGCCGTGAGTGTCGCGATTTCGAGTGCCGAATCTTCGAGTTGACGCACGAGACGGTCGAGCTGTTCCTGCGTCAATGTCGCAAGATTAATGTCGGCCATGGCGGGGGTGTCGGGCAAACTCAGCGGGAGCCTCTGTCGTGGCCGTGCGTGCTTACGAGAGAGCACTTCGAGCGGCGGTGCTTGTTCGCTGAGAGACGTCTACCCCCCCCCCAAAAATTGAGATAGCGGGGAAGCGAAGGTGTGGGTGCGGTCCGAGAAGAGATCGTAGGCTCTGAATACCAAGTGTTACGAGTGCAATTGAGTGAACGAGCGAGAATTGCACTATCGAAGCAAGAGTACAATGAGCAAAGGCATGAGCGAAGAATATATAGCGAAACTATAGTGGTAACGGTAATGTGTGAAAAGTGGGGTGCGCGACGGGCCTAGTGCCGAGGTTGGGAGATGTCGAGGCGGAGGTCCGGAGCGCGGGTTACCAACCGAACCGTGAGGTTGGGTCGCGTCGTGAACGGTGGCGGGAATGGTGTCGAAGCGAATGTCGCGAGTGGTAACGGATTACTGTTGGGTGCTGCTGGCGGGAACAGTGGTGTACGCGCTGAGTAGGGACGCGAAGTAAGGAAAAGGGATTTTCCTTACAATGTACAAAACGTAAAGGATATGCAAAAATAATATGGCTTTATGGAACTTCTGGAAGGTGGATAATCAGATCAACTTTTCAGGTAGAGGAGAAAAAAATAAAGACAAGACAAGGTGGTTATGCACAGGTAAGCGTCTTTCCTTCAAGCATCACAATGTGATTGCCTTAATGGCTGTAACGAGCACAATGATCCAAATGAGCTGCCAAGTCAGCCGCAGAAGTGGCAAGATAACCATGACATACAGGACAGTGCAAAGGAGCAACTCCAACCTCCCCACCACCACTCCCAACAAAACCCCCATCCCCCTCCCCATTACCATGCATATGCATACCATACCCACCCATCATCATCCCTCCCGGCACCATGCCAACAACCATACCATGCACACCTGTTTCTCCCATACCTGCCCACACCCCTCCCGCTACCCCCACTACAACTGCACCACCACCTGCCACACCATCACTCACACCGGACCACATACCCGAACCAACATGCCCTCCCATACGTGCCCAAGGGGCTGCCGAACCTGCATACCCGTCCGGGGAACTCCAGCCAGCTGCAGCTGGAGCTTCCGGACCAAGCACGACAGCCCCGGGCCAGGCTTCCGGACCAGCCAAACCTCCAGGCTGGGAAGGAATACCGGACCACATCTCAGGCACGTCATGGGCTCCAAAAGTAGCTTTGGCGTAATGGACAGAAGCAGCCGCAGCAGCAGAGGGGGCAGGCGCAGCAGCAGCGGCAACAGAAGGAACAGCAGCGACAGCTGTAGCAGTGGCAGGTGCAACTCCCATCTGCCAGGTTGGAAGAGCAACTGGCAGCCCTGACTGTGCTGAGTGTGCTGAGTGTGGGGCAGGGGGGGACCCAACCATGCCATGCCATGCAGCAGGAGGAGACCCGACCATGCCATGCCATGCAGCAGGAGGAGACCCGACCATGCCATGTGCCACCATGCCATGCCATGTGCCATGGGGCCATCCCATGGCACCTGCATGACCACCCATGCCTTGCATCCCGCTGCTACCTGCCATGGCTGCTTCCGAGCCTGCTGCCCCGTTAGGCTCATACACTGCCATGCCTGATTGCATTCCTGCTGAACCACTAGGCTCGTATGCTGCCATGCCTGCCACCATACCTGCTGCCGTACCAGCTGCCATGCCTGCTGCCGTGCCTGCTGCCGTACCTGCTGCCATGGCAGCTGACATCACGTCTGTTCCGCTTCCATACCCCCCACGTCCGTACCCACTGCTGCTGCTCATTCCTGCTCCTGCTGGCACACCAGACACTCCCAGCCCTGCACTCTGCTGCCCCTGCCAGTGAGACGAATTTCGAGGAGCCTCAAAATTAGACTCCCTTGCTGCCAGCGAGCTGCCTCCTGCTGGCTCACCAGATACTCCCAGCCCTGCACTCTGCTGCCCCTGCCACTCCTCCATCCCACCAGAAACCTCTGCTGCTACACTCTGTGATCCCTGCCATTCCTCTGCCCCTGCTCTCAACGATTTGCCAGCTGGACTCGTCCCGTCCTGCTTTGAGATTGAGGGCACCACTGCTGCTGCTGCTGTGGCTGCTGGTGCTGGTGCTGGAGGTGGTGGTGGTGCTGCTGCTGCTGCTGCTGCTGCTGCTGTTCCTGCTGTTGCTGCTGGTGCTGGTGCCGTCGGTGCTCCTGCCTTTGCAGCAGGTGTGTTGGGAGCACTGGTTGAAGCAAAAGGTGCATGTTTTACTGCAGGTGAAGCATTGGCAGAAGCAGAAGTGGCAGTGATAAAAGCAGTTTTGGCCGAAGTGACAGCAGCAGCAGAGGGAGCAGCAGGGAAGGCAGCAGATGGGCGTGTGTGGGGAGGCGGTGGGGAGATGAAGGCAGAGGAAGGAGTGAAAGGAGCGGAATGGAGAGAGAGCTTGGAGGGTGTAAATGCAGGGGAGGTGGAACGGAGAGGGGCGGATGGCACAGTGGTGTGTGAGGAGGAGAGAGTGGAGTGAGAGCAGGAGAGAGAGTAGTGGGAGGAATGGGACGAGGGAAGTGAGGGATGGTTGGAGGGCAGAGAGGAGGCAGAGGAAGGAACAAAGGTGGGAGCAGTAGGGGAGATGAAGCGAGGGGGTATGACAGCCTTGGGGCGAAACGGGACTGCTCCAGCTGCTTTGGCGAGTGAGCTCTTAGAGAGGATAAACGAGGCTGGGTTGCTGCCGCTACTGCTGCTGCTGCTGTTGCTAATGCTTCTGCTGCTGATGCTTCTGCTGCTACCAGTGATGTTATCATGATGGCTACGGTTATGCCTTGCAATGCTCACTCTGGCACTGCTGCTGCTGTTGCTGCTGCTGCTGCTGATGTTGATGCTACTGTTGGTGAAATCCCTGCTGCTGCTGTAGCTATAGCTGCCAGTGCTTCCCCGTGGGCCGTTTCTTGAAAAGGCTGTGCTGCTGTGTGTGCTGCTAAGATCATAATTTTCACCTGCTTGCACCATCCCACCAGTTGGCTTTTGAAATGCCTCAGCATTAGCTGCTGCTGCAGCACCATAGACCACTTGAGTCGTCAACCCCTCGTAATACATAGCTGGTTGCGTTTGCTCCGTTTGCTCCTCCCCTCCTTCCTCCTCTCCTCCCTCCTCCCCTCCCCACTGGCTACTATAGTATACCACACCATCGTTAGAACCAATCTCCATGCCATTCACCGTCCTTGAGTCACCCATGCCCCCTGCATCCCGTGCCATGCCCTCTCCATCCCCAAACAGCCCAACCATGCCCCCTGCTCCCACTCCTCCTGCTCCCATTCCTCCTATACCTCCCACCCCCCCTGCATTCCCTGCCATGCCCTCTCCATCCCCAAACAGCCGCCTCACGGGCCCCTGGCGGGCGGCAGAGAGTGGTGGTGGGGAGTCAAGGGTCATCGGGAGAAACACACCTTCCCCTAAATCATGCCCCACGTCATGCCCCGAGGCTAGACCTTGCCCAGAGACAGATAAGGGAGCGAAGGCAGAGGAACTGGTAGCAACCACAGAGATAGAGGAGGGGACGAAGGCAGAGGCAGTGGCAGCAGATGTGGAGATGGAGGAGGAGGGGGCAGCAGTAGGGGAAGCAGCAGGTGGAGCACCAGGGGCAGCAGCAGGGGTGGCAGAAACACTAGCAGATGTGGCAGGTGAATCGGAGATTGTAGCAGCTGTAGCAAGCAAATCGGAATTCTTAGCAGCTGTAGCAAGGAAAGAGGAAACCCTAGCGGCTGTAGCACGAGAAGCAGAAACCATTCTTGCTGTCGCACGGGAATTAGTAAATGTAGCAGCTGTGGCAGCTGTAGTGGCTGTAGCGGCTGTAGCAGGTGTAGCCGCTACAGCAGCACCAGAAGGCTTGAATTCAGGAGCATTGAGCTTGGGTTTGAATTCCGGGGCTGATATTGCACTGGCTAGGGATGCCGAAGCAGCGAGGGAGGTTCGGAGAGAGTAGGCTGGGGATGGAGAGGTTCGGGAGGGGGATGTGGCACGCTGAGGAAGCTTCCATGAGGCTGCAGCAGTGAGAGAAGCAGCATCAGCAGGAGGAGCAGAGGGGGGAGGTGAGGTGAAGGAAGAAGCAGAGGCGGAGGGGGATTTGAAGAGAGAGGAGGGGGGAAGGGGAGAGGAAGAGCGGGCAGGAGAAGGGGAAGAGGAGCGGATTGAAATGCGGGGAGCAGGGGACAGCGATCGACGAATAGCGCACGGGGTAGCATAGGAAGCTATAGCGGGCGTGACTGTAGAGAGGGATGCTGATGCTGGTGTGGCAGGCAGTGACGGGATGAACTCGCCAGCTGTCGCCGAGAGAGTGGTGGCACGGATTGCTGCTGACGTGGCAGACGGGCCTCCGGGAGGGAGTGAGGAGGATGAGAGGGAGGGGGTGGTATGGTGAGATTTGGAGGAGGGGAGCGTGGTAATGGAGAGGGAGGAGGAGGAGGAGGAGGAGGAGGAGGAGGAGGAGGAGGAGGAGGAGGAGGAGGAGGAGGAGGAGGAGGAGTGGGAGGAGGAACGGCCAGGGAGGGAGATGGAAGTGGGAAGAGAAGGTCGAAGGGAACGGAAGGAAGGGAGAAATGAGGGGGAGTGAGAAGACTGTGGGGGAGGGGAGTTGGGAAGGCTGTGAGCCATCTTAGGCACATGACTCTCCCTGCTGCTGCCTAGACTGCTGCTGCTGGCCTGTTTTTGAGTCGACTCAAAAACAGACTGAGGAGGAGGGGAGTTGGGAAGGCTGTGAGCCATCTTAGGCACATGACTCTCCCTGCTGCCCACCTGTCCACTTTCGACAGCTCCTGCCATCTTAGGCACATGACTCTCCCTGCTTCTGCCGAGACTGTTGCTGTTGAAACTGTTGCTCTTAGTGCCATTACTGCTGTCACTGGTGGTGCCACTGTCACTGCTGCTGCTGTTCCTGCTGTTATTGGTTTTGCTGTTGGAACCACTGATGCTGGGCTTGATGCAACTGTTGCTACCAGTGATGGTGCTCCAGCTGCTGTTATTGCCAGTACAGCTGCTTGTGGTGGGTTTGCTATCAGTGCTGCTGCTGCTGCTGCTGCTGCTGGTATTGGTGGCACCACTGATTGTGCTGGGTTTGAAATCATTGTTATTCAAGGCAGCACCAGTCAGCTTATTCTCAGGCGCATCGGAATTGGGCTTTGCCGGTGCTGATATACACACAGACAGCAGGGCACACAGACGGAAACTTGTTTGAAGGTCAGAGCAGAGATTACATTAATCAAGGAAAAAACAAGCAGCAGCAGTGCAGCAGAAGGATAACAGTTGGCAAAGAGGAGAATAGAATAGCTGTACTGTGTTGGTGTTGCTTTTGAGAAATCTCAAATGAAACAGCAACAATGCAGCACAAGGAAAACAGCTGGCAAGCAAGGAGGAGTATAATAACTGCAAGGATGAAAGGGATGAATGAAACTGTGTCCTCCTTGTCAGTGCAGCCGAGGGAGAGGGGGTTCATGGGAGCGAGATGCTGACATGGATGGAGGGGAGGCCGCATTACATGAACCAACCAACCAACAGCACTAGACTCAGTGTTTTAACCACTGCTTAGTGAAGAGCTCCGTTCTTACTAAACCCTACGCGAATTAGCTAGGCTTTTACTACAACACCTGTTTTCTCCTTTGCTAAACTTTCTCCTCCACTGCTGCTCGCTGGATCATGTCTAATAGTCTGCTACCAACCAACAGCACTAGACTCACCAGCAAGTGCCGTCCCGTCACCACAGGTGTTTCACTGTTCCCCGCAGCAGTGCCGCTGTTTGCTGCTGGTTTCACTCTTCACAAATTGCTCGTTAAAGACGTTTCAAAGATATTGGGAGGGAGGGAGGGAGGGAGGCCCTGTATGAACCAGCAACCACAGGCTCGCTCACCTGCAAGTGCAGTCGCTACAGGTGTTTCCCTGTTCGCCACAGAGTCAGCATCTGCTACTGGTCGCTCCTCTGCACTGCCTTCCCCAAATAACACCTCCCCTCCACCTTCCCCAGATAACAATTTCCTTCCACCTTCCCCAGATAACAATTTCCTTCCACCTTCCCCAGATAACAATTTCCTTCCACCTTCCCCAGATAGTACCTCCCCCCCACGCCTCCATGGCCACAGCCACTGCTTCTGAGACGTGGGTTCAATACTTTCTGCAGCCAATCTAGGCGGAGAGGTAAGAGGGCTCCAGATGGAAGTTGAGGAGGAGAGGAGAGGGAGAGCAGAGGCAGAGAAGGCACGGGCAACATGTGTGTGCTGATGCTGGTGGAGCCACCTGGGAAGATGGTTGCTCAGTCCAGAAGGAGGGGCAGAAGCAGAGGCAGCTACAGCAGCAGGGGCTTCAGCAGTGGTTGCAGCAGGGGCATTAGCAGTGTCACCAGCAGTGGCAGCAGCAGTGGCAGAAGTGGGGGCAGAGGAGAGATTATGGGTGGAGAGTAGAGAGGAGAAGGAGGCGGCATGAGGCACTGGCGCATCCCCTGCTATCCATGCCCACACTGCCTCGTGGTCGATTGCATGCCGCTCAGATGAATCACCAGCACCACCACCACTAGCACCGCCACCACTAGCACCACCACCACCAGTACCGCCACCACTAGCACCACCACCACCGGTATCATTATCACTAGCCCCAGCAGGTACAGAACGAACAGCACCAGCACTGGTAGCGGCAGCAGCATGAGCACTAACAGCACCTGCACTACCACCTTCATCATCAGCAACAGCCACAGCCACAGCAGCAGCAGGGTCATCCGTGCACCCACCACCAACATCTTTCCTGATACTGCTGCCCCCCTCACCAGCAACAGCCACAGCCACAGCAGCAGCAGGGTCATCCGTGCACCCACCACCAACATCTTTCCTGATACTGCTGCCCCCCTCACCAGCAACAGCCACAGCCACAGCAGCAGCAGGGTCATCCGTGCACCCACCACCAACATCTTTCCTGATACTGCTGCCCCCCTCACCAGCAACAGCCACAGCCACAGCAGCAGCAGGATCATCCGTGCACCCACCACCAACATCTTTCCTGATACTGCTGCCCCCCTCACCAGCAGCAGCACTAGCACCGCCACCATCATCACCAACAGCAGCAGCGCCAGCATTTCTACACCCAGAATCCTTACAAGGCCCAGCATCCCCAGCAGCACAGCCCGAGGCAGCAAAGAGGGAGGTGAATCTGCTCTGAGTGCGCCTGGCAGCCGCCACAATCTCCCCTGCTCGCTTCATCTCATCTTCTGTCCACCCCACCCCCACCCCCGCCACCAACCCTGCCGCCGCCGCCGCCGCTGCTGCTGCTGCCACTGCTGCTGCTGCCGCTGCCGCTGCTGCTGCCGCTGCTTGCTGTTGCTGCAGCAGCTGCTGTGAAGCCCCCGCCTTCTCCTGTGGTTGGTCCGCCTGCTGCTGTGTGCCGGTCTGCAGATCTGGCTCTGTGTTTGTGTGTGTCTCTGATTGTGCCTGTGTGCTGCCCGCCCTTCGAAGCGTAGCACTCTCTTCACTGCAGCCTTTGGTACTGCTGCTGCTGCTGATGGGGCTGCTTCCGCTGCTGCTGCTGCTGCTGCTGCTGGTCGTGGTGCTGGTGCTGCTGCTGCTGCTGCTGCTGCTGCTGCTAGTACTGCTGTCACTGGTAGCGGTGCCACTGTTGGGAGTTGTGATGCTGGTGCTGCTGCTGGCGTTCGCAGTGCTATTAACGTATGGACTGCCCACAACACACATGGGGATGGAAGCTGGGGGAGAGGAGGAGGAGGAGGAGGAGGAGGAGAAGGAGGAGGAGGAGGAGGAGGAGGAGGAGGAGGAGGAGGAGGAGGAGGAGGAGGAGGAGGAGGAGGAGGAGGAAGAGGAGGATGAAGACAAAGAGGTAACCGAGCCCGACCCAGAGGTCCCAGCGGTCCCAGCGGTCCCAGCAGTCCCAGCAGCCCCAACTGTTCCCGCAGGCCCAGTTATAACCACAACAGCTCCAGTAGCTGCTGCAGGAGTGCCTGAAGCAAACACACGCATTGCAGCAGCCCCAACCGTCCCAGCAGTCCCAGCAGCAGCCGCAGCACTTGCAGCACTAGCAGCAGTCCCAGCCGTCCCAGAAGCCCCAGCAGCAGCAACAACAGCACCAGTGGCTGCTGCGGCAGTGCCTGAACCTGACAAGCTTATGGCAGCAGTCCCAGCAGCAGCCACAATAGCTCCCAGACCAACTCCAGCTTTGTCAGGACCACCAATCAGGGCACTTCTGCTACCTGCCACGCCAGCACCAGCAGCAGAACTCACTGAACCACCACCAACCACACCAGTACCAGCAGCCAAGCTCATCAACCCAGTTGCTCCCCTCCTTGCAGCCGGCCCTAGAAGGAGTGTCGCCCCTCCTGGCCCTAACGCACCAACGGACCCTGCCAGTATCCCACCACCACTGCTGATATTCCCACCACCACCACTGACACTCCCGCCACCACCACCACTAGCACTCCCACCAGTGCCACCGCCAGCGCCACCTGCAACCCCACTGCGGCCTACCAGTCCCACTCCTCCCAGCCCCGCTCCACCTCCCAGCACCACTCCGCTTCCCAGTCCCACTCCTCCCAACCCCACTCCACCTCCCAGCAGCGGCCAGGGAGCGGCCAGCACGCCATCTCCTGTCACTCTGATGCGGGCGGGCAGGGAAGCCACCAGGCTCGCCCCGCGCAGCCCCGGCTGCAGCATTACAGGGCCCATCTGTGCGAAACTCGCACCTCCCTGTGCGAAACTCGCCCCTCCCTGCACTTGCACCGCACCCTGCGCCTGCCCTTGTGATCCTTGCCCCTGGCCGTGCCCTCCCTGACCCTGCCCCTGCTCTTGAGTCTGCCCCTGCCCCTGTGCCAGCACCTGACCGTGCACCTGACCGTTCACCTGACCTGGGCGCCTGGCTTGCCCTGTAGATACAGATGCTAGAGCGCGCTCGACTGCAGCGGTTGTAGCAGCGGGGACTGTAGCAGCGGGGGGGGATGTAGCAGTAAGAATTCCGGCTGGTGGTGGGGGAACGTGGCTAGGGGCTGAGGGTGAGAGAGAATAGGTCGCGGAGGTGGTAGAAGAGGAAGAAGCAGAAGATATAGAAGGAGCGGTAACAGGAGTAGAGGCAGCTGAAGGGTCAGAGGCCCTGGTCATTGAAGTTACAGGATTTATTGGTACTAAAGAGGCTGATGCAGTTGAGGGTGTTAGAGAAGAAATGGAGGAGGAGGAGGAGGAGGAGGAGGAGGAGGAGGAGGAGGAGGAGGAGGAGGAGGAGGAGGAGGAGGAGGAGGAGGACAGGGAGGGCGTATGGTGCAGTAGGGGGTTGAAAGGTGCATGAGGCCCCAACAGGGATGACGTGGATCCCAGCAGGGATGACGTGGATCCCAATAGGGATGACGTGGAAACCCAGGAGAGAGGTGAGTGGCTGAGATACGATGGTCTTTCCCACACGGACTTATGTGATGCTGCAGTGCACGCGCACAAGAGAGAGAAGGGATGAGAGGGGGAGATATGGAGAGAGCAGGGCCCATGGGAGGGAAGAGGAACGGGGGAGGGAGGAGGGGAAGGGTGGGTTGGCTGGTTGGACAGTAAGTGTGCAAGAGCAAGTTGGTGTGATGTGATTTGATTCTCGGCAGGTCAACCTGCAACCTCAGGGTCAGACTTATTTCACTATCAGCAGGTTCGTTTTCCAGTGAAAACAGCCACTGGAAAGACTGGAGGTGTTGAGACGCATGAAAACAAGAGAAGCAGCTTCATATGGCCCCATGATGGGGAGAACAGAAAAGAACGGCCATCAAACGAATGGATGTGCAGATGGGGGGAGAAGGGGGTACAGTGGAGGGGGCGCAGAGAAGGGAGGTGCAGAGAAGGAGGGGGTGGGAGGCAGAGCGGGTGGGATGCAGACAGAACGGGTGGGATGCAGAGTGGTGGGATGCAGAGCGGTGGGATGCAGAGAGGTGGGATGCAGAGCGGTGGGATGCATACCAGTGAGTGGCGCGGAGGGCGAGAGCTGCATGAGAGGCGAAGACGCCATGGCTGAAATCGGCGGGTTGAACCCCCTCATTCCTCCCATCATCCCACCAAACCCACTGCCGATACCACCGAAACCAGCACCACCAGCCCCAGCCCCAGCCCCACCACTACCAGCAGCAGCAGCAGAGGCAGCAGCGACGCCGTTAGCAGAGCCAGCGAGGATATCAGCCCTGCCAGTCCCACCACTCGCAGCCAGCCTGCCAGTCGTTCGCACTACCACCACCCCCCCGGCTCCTCCCCAGCCGTCTCCACCCCCATACCCCACAACTACACTCCCCCCTCCTCCCCGACCCCTCTCCGCCGCTTTCCCGCTGCTCTCCAGCCCTCCGCTGCCACCTGTCACTCGCCCATTGGCCGCACCCTTCACTTTCTTTCCAGTCGCGGCTCTTGCTGTTGCGGCTGGCATATCAGCAGCGGATGGGGAGGGAGGTTGGGGGACGCCGTAGGGGGTGCGGCAGCTGGGACAGAGGCTGTTTAGTTCGAGCTTGATACGCTCGTAGCAGAAGAGACACACGCGGTACCTGACGGCCAGGAGAAGAGGGTGAGGAGGTGGGGGGAGGGAAGGGGAGCATGGGAAGACAAGATAGAGCTGCCGAGGACGCTTTTTGCCGAGAGGACACGAGAAAGGAAGAACGCAGGCGAAAGGACCGTTCAAAAAATGAAAGGGAGGGAAACAAGACAATTGTCGCAACCACGAAACGTTAGGGATGACCAGACGAGGGGTCTACATATCTTCAGTCCTCGCTTCACCTGGTAGACTTGCAAAGAGAAAACTGCGCTTACCAGGGCTGCACGGGTCCGAGGGCTCTGTGGCCTTGCAATGTCAGCAGCCAGGCTCAAAATCCCCGCCAAGAACTGCTTCGCGCAGCTCATTTCGCGCTCCTCATACACTCTGCTCTGTAGCATACAAGCATTTTCTCTTCAAGAAGAAGAAAAGGAGAAAGCGCTGACGGAGATTTACCCGCACGGGCAGGGTCGAAATCGGACTTCGGTTTCGTCGAGATGCTCGATGCAGAGAGGACACACGGGATCCTCTTCCTCTTCCTCATCCTCCTCCCCCTCCTCCTGTGGCTTCCCGTCCGCTTCCAATATTTCCTTCCAGTTCTCCCTCTCATGCCGTCCGTCCCTGTGAATCCAATCGCGATCAACCCCCGACCACTCCACGCCGTACGATGTTGATATCCGGGACATAGACGCTCCAGGTTTCGCGGCGGCTGGTACGGTGACCCGTTTTGGGCCGAAGATTTTGGACATTGTCTAGAGTGTGCATGAATAGGATACTAAGGAGCAGTCAATTTTCTAGTCGACTCAAAAGCCGGAAACTTTCGGCATGGTCTTGAGCGTGCATGGACAGGGTTGGAAGCGGTTGAGTCGGGTGCCAGTCTGGGGATAAGAAAGAGGCAACGTCATTTGTATTATCAGGCAGTATTAATGAAAATCAGGAAGCTGCGGTGGTCAGAAGGGTGTTATTCATGAACTCTCTTAGCGAACTTGGAAACTCATGGACAGGAAGGAGGTAGCGGAAAAGATTTCAGCTAGTAAGGGGTTGCGAAGTATATAAAGTCTTGAAACATGGAATGTGGATGAAAGCAGAGAAGGGTTACAGGCCAATGACGAATGGGAGCTCGTGGATGCGGAATGGCGGAACCCGAGGATGCTAATAACGCGGAAACGTGACAGGTACTGCGTGAAGACGAACGGGAAGTGCTATTTACAAGCTTTTCCACGTCGTCAGCCTGGCAAGCCCACCGAAAAGCTAGTACCTTCAATATACGCCACGACAGTCGCGAGTCTAAGGTATGAAATGCACGTGGTAAAGCCCCAGCCAAGAATGTAACCAATGGGGTGAGGACAGGCCAACCCGCTGCGAGGACATGGGGCCCCTGTGATAGGCGTCCATGAAAGACCGTTAGAGCCTCGGCGCAACTGATTGGTAGTCAAGATACTAACGGAAGGTGAACTGCAGTGGTAATGGTGAAATGTTGTGGATTGAACAAGACAGACACTTCTCCCTTCTCCACCTTGGCATAGGAGTCAGGTACGGAGGTGATAGAAGTATATTTTCGTTTCGTGCTGCGGTTGAGTACGTTGGTGTGCACTCTAGAGCGGTAACTCGGCTTCACCGCTTTGAACCGCGCTAGTCATGCCTGAACAGGGATACATGAACTAACATGCAAACTGTGACCCGCCCTTATCACAGGATGTTCTGAGCGTTCGTCCGCTGATGGTACATTGCGGTTTCGATTAGTCACTGCTTTATACCGTAACGCACCAGACAAAACCGTGCTGCATGGTTTGAAAATGAATGGGGGCAGGGCAGGATAGCCTCTACCGCCGCACCACCCGCCACCACCACCACACTGCCTCCCTCAACTGTTCGGCTCCGCCGTCCCGCCAGCACTGGCACGACGCCCCGCAAAAACCAATCTCAAGGTTGCGTGACGGAAATTGTCCGCCCATCAAATATAGCGGAGTTTCAGCCAATCAGCTCTCTGTCTGCTCCGCCCTCGTGTATTTGACGGCATTATCAAAAGTCCCACTGACACCCTCGAGCTTGGAGATTTGAGAGGAGGAATGAGTGATGGAGAACCGTTGCGGACTCGTGGTCGGGGCAGGCCTCTGTTCGCTGGCTCTTGCGATTGGCGGACGACGAGCTCGATGAAATCGCTGATACCGCAGGCGAAGAATTATGTGGAGTTGTAGCATGCCCTGATTGGCCGCGATCGGACGCGTCACCATCAATGGATGAGCCAGCGCAAGCTCAGAAGCCAATCAGCCAACCAGAACGAATGCGCAGCGCACCAAGGCACCGGGAAAACATTGTGAAGGGTGGTGCACAGTGAAACTACTTTCATAAATGCATACACATTCCTCTAGTTCCAAGCAGAATTGGCTTGCTTTGTCTCCCATCCTATAGAGCACAGCCATAGAAAAACTGCAGCATAACACTTTTTACATATGGCCTACAATTAGTCACGTGCACTCATACTGCATTATTTTTTTACATTAGAAACAACCACCCTCTTCGCGCATGCCACTACCTACTATCCTCCACCACACACACCATTAGGTGCATATCAGAATTCACTCGTGTACACTACACCCCCCCAACATGTACACCATCAATGTATCCACTCGTCATCTCCCCCACTCCCTCACTCCTTCACACCTCACACATCCGGCCCACTGCCTAACATACGTTATCCACCACCCCTCCTGTATCCACTCATCATCTCCCCCACTCCCTCACTCCTTCACTCCCTCACACCTCACACATCTGGTCCGCTGCCGAACATATCCACCATCCCTCGGAACACCTGCGCTGACAGCTCACTCGCCTCCACCAGTTCACCGTCCACATTCCAGAAGCCCTGCTCCCCCATGGCTTTGAACGTGAACGCTGGGGTCTGGGGGTGGGAAGTGGGGATGATGGAGGGAAAGGGGGTGAGAGGAAACAGCTGGGCTGACAGCTCACTCGCCTCCACCAGTTCACCATCCACATTCCAGAAGCCTTGTTCTCCCATGGCTTTGAACATGAATGCTGGGGTCTGCGAGATGGGGGGTGGGGACAGAGGGTAGGTGAGGAGAGGGTTGGGGGGAAGAAACTGAGCTGACAGCTCACTCGCCTCCACCAGTTCGCCATCCACATTCCAGAAGCCCTGCTCCCCCATGGCTTTGAACGTGAACGCTGGGGTCTGTAGGTGTGGGGAGAGAAGGAGTATGGGAGGGGAATAGTGGGGATGATGGAGTAGAGGGAGTGAGGGGGAAACAACTGAGATGGTTTGAGATGGCGTGAGAAGTTTGGGAATCTTTCCACCTAATATAGTGACTGAGCGGCTTTGCGCACAGCAAAACATCCGTCTGTGAGGATAGGTACGATGCAAAATGGTGTGGGACGGTGTGAAACGGTGCAAAGCGGTGGAGCAAGTGAGTGAGAACCAAGCCCACCTTGTGATGCTGGACGAAGGGGAAGTGGAGGGGAACTGACCCCTTGACGGCCAGACAAAGCAGCTGTGAAACAGTGTGAGTCGGTGTGAAACAGCGTGAGGAGACGTGATCTGGTGTGAGTGGGTGTGAAGCGGTGCTGTGCGTTACCCACCTTGTGGTGCTGGACGAAGTGGAAGTCGAGGGGATCTGCGCCCTTGATGGCCAGACACAGGAGTTGCCTGGGAGTGGGTGGATGGACAGATGGAAAACACATGGTTGCTTAATACTTAAGTATTTAAGGGGGAATTTTTTTTGGGTTCTCTCAAGATTTAATCTGCACCGTTGATGGCCAAACACAGCAGCTGCCTGGAGTGGATGCATAGCCAGATGGATACACAGGGATATGATATATTCTACTCACTGGAGGTATTCGGCCCGTGAGCACTCGCAGATCATGATGAGGTTCAGATTCCCATCCGCCAGGTGGGCGTGTGCCGCGACGCCATCTGGCGCCTTGTCGTTGCGGCACGAGATCACCGCGCCGCCCACGCTGTGAAACCGGCCTCTCACGGTGCGCCAGCCTGGCGTCGCCTCGTCCCACGTCAGCGGCTGCGGCGAATCCGCCGCTGCCACGTCAGCATCAGCAGCTTCTAGGGGAGGAGGTGAGGGCAGCATGTGCTTATCGGCTTCTGCGGCTCTAGCAGCAGCAGCGTCGGGAGCGGCAGGAGGAGGTTGGTAGGATGGCGAAACAGCAGCAGCATCAGCAGCAGCAGTGTCAGCAGCAGCAGTGTCAGCAACAGTGCAGTTGAGAGGGGTGAGAAGGGAGGCCAGACCAACAGCTGACTGCGAGGGACCTATGGCCTCGAATCCCAGGGCTGATCGTGCCAGCAGCGAAAGATCCTGGCCGTTGGCGCACACCGAGCATCCAGCGGTGCAAATTTCTGGGCGGGTCGTGGTGCTGATGGGACGGGGCAGGCCGCAAGGGAATGATAGGGATAGGTGAAGGGAGGATGCAGGAAAGGAGAAGTGAAGGGTATTTTAAAAGAATGTGACATTAGGAGGGTTTTGGATGATAGCGAAGATGGGGCGATGGAAAGGGGGATTTAAGGTATGTGATATTAAAGACATAAAAATTGGTGGAGTCGGAAATTGGTATTCGATGCAATTCTGTCGCGCCTAAAATAATCGGTGGTTGGAGATTGGTATTTGAGGCGAGGGAGGAGGAGCCAAAGTGGAGAGGGGAGCGGGAAGAAGGGAAGGCTATGGCAGAAGCAGCAAGCATGGGGGCGGAATGACAGACGAGCTGTGATGGGAGTGGTGAGATGGAGTGGCGGGGCGAGATGGGCAGGAGCATGAGGGGGTTGGGCAGGCAATGAGAGAGGCAGTTACCTTCTCCTGTGCATGGATGGTTGGTCAGGCTCAGGCACGTGGAAGAATGACACCTCTGCTTCGTACGACCTGGTTGGTGGGGAGGGGCGGACAGAAGGAGAGAGAAGGGCAGAAGGAGATTGGTGATGGCAGGACGGAGGGTTGCTTGGAAGGTCAGTTTGAAGGGTGGTCTGGCTCAGGCACGTGGAAGAATGACACCTCTGCTTCGTACGACCTGGTTGGTGGGGAGAGAAGGGGAAGGAGGGACAAGGCGAGAGGAGAGAGAGGAGAAGAGAGTGGAGACGAGAGGGGAGGAGGAGGGATTGGCCATGGAAGGCTGGATAGCAGGCTGGTGGGGATTGGGCACGTCGAAGAATGACACCTCTGCTTCGTACGACCTGGTTGGTGGGGGGCGGGAGAGAGAAGGAAAGGGTAGAGGAGGACAGGAGATGAGGAGAGGAAGGAGGAAAGTGGAGGGGGAGAGGGGAGAGGAGGAGAAAAGATGCAGGGAGAGGAGAGGGAAGGGGGGTTAATGAGGGAGACGAGGAGCATGTGACGGAGAGGACAAACTCTCACGAGGTACCCTCACGGGGAAAAGTATTAGGTCCCCTGCTTTTCGCCCAACCGCGTTTCACACCCACCTGTGCCGCATGCACTATTTGACCCCCCACAGCCACCCACCTGTGGCGCATGTATGTCATGAACCCCGCATAGTCCTATCTTGCAGGCCCCACCCCATCCCCCCATGCATTTGATCCCCCCCACCCACCCACCCACCCACCCACCCACCCACCCACCCACCCACCCACCCACCCACCCACCCACCCACCCACCCACCCACCCACCCACCCACCCACCCACCCACCCACCCACCCACCCACCTGTCACGCCCACCCACCCACCTGTGGCGCATGTACGTCATGAACCCCGCATAGTCGTACCATGCAGATCCCATCCACCTCAGCGCGAATGCATGCATAGAATGTTTCGCGCCCTCCAGTCATACCCTCCACCCACCCACCGTGGTGCATGTACATCATGAACCCCACATAATCATAATGAGCGGGTCCACCCCATCCAGCTGGGCGCGAATCGAATGCATGCATGCATCTGATGTTTCGAAACCAGCATGCATTTATGCCCCTCCACCCACCCACCCACCCACCCACCGTGGTGCATGTACATCATGACCCCCACATAATCATAATGAGCGGCTGCCATCCACCTGTGATGTGAGCGGGCCCTTTACATTGACCCCCCCACTTTCACTCATCTGTCACGCCCACCCACCTGTGGCGCATGTAAGTCATGAACCCCGCATAGTCGTATCTGGCAGGCCCCATCCATCCATGCTGCATGCATTAGTACTTGACACCCCCCCCCCCACCCACCCACCCACCTGTGGCGCATGTATGTCATGAAACCCGCATAGTCGTATCTGGCCGGCCCCATGCACCTCAGTGCCAATGCACCTCAGCGCCAATGCACCTCAGCGCCAATGCACCTCAGTGCCAATGCACCTCAGTGCCAATGCACCTCAGTGCCAATGCACCTCAGTGCCAATGCACCTCAGTGCCAATGCACCTCAGTGCCAATGCACCTCAGTGCCAATGCACCTCAGTGCCAATGCACCTCAGTGCCAATGCACCTCAGTGCCAATGCACCTCAGTGCCAATGCACCTCAGTGCCAATGCACCTCAGTGCCAATGCACCTCAGTGCCAATGCACCTCAGTGCCAATGCACCTCAGTGCCAATGCACCTCAGTGCCAATGCACCTCAGTGCCAATGCACCTCAGTGCCAATGCACCTCAGTGCCAATGCACCTCAGTGCCAATGCACCTCCGTACCAATGCACCTCAGTGCCAATGCACCTCAGTGCCAATGCACCTCAGTGCCAATGCACCTCAGTGCCAATGCACCTCAGTGCCAATGCACCTCAGTGCCAATGCACCTCAGTGCCAATGCACCTCAGTGCCAATGCACCTCAGTGCCAATGCACCTCAGTGCCAATGCACCTCAGTGCCAATGCACCTCAGTGCCAATGCACCTCAGTGCCAATGCACCTCAGTGCCAATGCACCTCAGTGCCAATGCACCTCAGGGCCAATGCACCTCAGCGCCAATGCACCTCAGCGCCAATGCACCTCAGCGCCAATGCACCTCAGCGCCAATGCACCTCAGCGCCAATGCACCTCAGGGCCAATGCACCTCAGTGCCAATGCACCTCAGTGCCAATGCACCTCAGTGCCAATGCACCTCAGTGCCAATGCACCTCAGTGCCAATGCACCTCAGTGCCAATGCACCTCAGTGCCAATGCACCTCAGTGCCAATGCACCTCAGTGCCAATGCACCTCAGTGCCAATGCACCTCAGTGCCAATGCACCTCAGTGCCAATGCACCTCAGTGCCAATGCACCTCAGTGCCAATGCACCTCAGTGCCAATGCACCTCAGTGCCAATGCACCTCAGTGCCAATGCACCTCAGTGCCAATGCACCTCGGTGCCAATGCACCTCGGTGCCAATGCACCTCGGTGCCAATGCACCTCGGTGCCAATGCACCTCGGTGCCAATGCACCTCGGTGCCAATGCACCTCGGTGCCAATGCACCTCGGTGCCAATGCACCTCGGTGCCAATGCACCTCGGTGCCAATGCACCTCGGTGCCAATGCACCTCGGTGCCAATGCACCTCGGTGCCAATGCACCTCAGTGCCAATGCACCTCAGTGCCAATGCACCTCAGTGCCAATGCACCTCAGTGCCAATGCACCTCAGTGCCAATGCACCTCAGTGCCAATGCACCTCAGTGCCAATGCACCTCAGTGCCAATGCACCTCAGTGCCAATGCACCTCAGTGCCAATGCACGCATCTGCTGTTTCCCCCACATCCACCCACCTGAGATTCGCACCCACCTGTGCTGCCCACCCACCTGTGCCACCCACCCACCTGTGGCGCATGTAAGTCATGAACCCCGCATAGTCGTATCTGGCCGGCCCCATCCATCTGAGTGCTTCACTCTCCTTGGTCACTGCGCCATAGAAGCCGTACCTGGGGAGGGGGGGGGGGGGGGAAGAGGGAGAGGGGGGCGATTGGGGGTTTGGAGGCGTCCCAAAACTTGACCACCAGGGGGAAAGCGGGGCAGGGGTAAGAGACGGAGGGGGGTTTGAGTCGACTCAGAAGAGGGACAAAAGAAGGAGGCCGTAGGAAAGAATGAAGAAGAGAGCGGCTTTGGGATTGGGGTAGATTAGTTTGTGTTGATGTTCTACGTGTGTACACAACAGAGGACGGGGTAATTTACCCGAAGAATGATGCAGCGTATCGGACATCACACTCCATCTGCTGCGCCGCGTCCACCTTCCTGGAACCTTCCGCTGCTCCTTCCTTTGCTGCATCTATCTCTCTTCTCTCCACCCACCCTCCCGCATCTCCTCCTCTTTCCTCTGCTTTTGCCGGTTGTGCTGACTCAGCAACCTCGGCTGCTGAGTCAGCGCCAACCTGGAACCGAGTCATCGACGATTCGGATAGGGCCGAAGGGGAGGAGGACAGGGAGGAGGGGGAAGCGGGGGCGGAAGAGGAGAAATCGGGGGAGGAGGAGAGGGGAGATGCCGAAGCAAGGACGGTGGCTTGGCCGGAAGCCAGGTCTGTAGGTTCGGATGAGAGGTTCGGCAAGAATGTAGGCTCGGACGGGGTGTGTGACGTTTGGTTTGAGGAGGTAGCAGGAGGGTTGAAGGAGGAGGTGGGGGAGGACGGGGAGGATGAGGAGGAGGAGGAGGTGGGGGAGGAGGAGGCGGGTTTCCAGGAAGTTACCCGCACGACATCCATGGGAGTGCGTCGGCCAATCACAACGTTCAGTGCTGACGTGGCAGGGTCTCGGGAACCAACGAGGCTGCAGGAGGAAAAGACAAGGGTGCAAAGCAGTGACACGGGGTGAGAGGGAAGAAGGGGTTGAGGCCGGTGACAAGGGGTGGGCGACGGCAATGAGAGGAACGATTTTGGGAGGGAAGTGGGGGGAGGAGGCAGGGTAGAGTGAGGTGGTAGGGAGTGCTTATGGTTCATCACACATATGTGTGTCAATGCATGTCAATCCATCCTCCGCCTCCTGGACACATATATGTGTCCATCAAAGCTCACGCTCTCCCTCACCTCATGGCAATGCAATCTGTGGATCCAGCAGGGATGATGCCAATCCTCAGCCTCCTAGGTAGACACAGACCCACTCCGCCATCCTCTCCCACTCCTCCCTCCCCCCACTCCTCCACTCCTCCCTCCTCCACCCCCTCTCCCCCTTCCTCCTCCTCCCCCTCCTCCCCCTCCCGCACCGTCCCCCAGTCACTCAAAAACGTCGCATTTCTAACCCCCGGACCAAAACTGGTTCGGCCGAAGCTGCGCCGAGCCTGCTGCCCCTTGGGCGTTTCGTAAAATCCCTTCACCCCGCCGCCCCCCTCCTTAGGAGTAGGGAAATAATATCCACCCGAGCCGCCATTACCAGGCTTAGGAGTCTCATAGTACGATCCGGCCTTAGGAGTCGCATAGTAGCCTTTAGGAGTGTCATACCCATACCCAGCTGGCGCCTCACTGTTAGAGCATACGTCCGGTTTTCTTCCTGCCCCTGGGGAGTCAGCTGATCGTGTAGTTCGTTCTCAAGAGCTCACGCGCGATGCTTCCGCCCACCTTTCTGTCCGCAACGCCCTCCCGCTAGATGAGAGGGTCCATTTTGGCCAGCTTAGGACGGCCAAGGAGCTCTATGACGCCGTAGTCGCTCGCTACTCCTCCCCCTCTACTGCTGCCCTAGGCCGTCTCATGCTGCCGCATCTCTTTCCTGAGCTGCCGGATTTCCACATTGTCGCTGATCTCATGACCCACCTTCGCTCTAGTGACACTCGCTACCGCGCCGCTCTAAAAAACGACCAGAAAGCGACCCTGCGCGTCATCAAGTTGCCACGCACAAAAACCTCGCGCCGAAACCACACCCCTGCCCGGCGGTTGAAGAAACGGGTGTACTGCCGTTTGTGTCACCCAATCAGATGCGCACAAGTGTATGTCAAATCATATATACCGCCCGGGGTATTAAAGCCGGCAGGAGTCTCTAATCCAGGAGTATTTAACCCTCCAGAAGTATCCAGACTAAAAAGATTGACGCCTCCTCTCGGCGAATCATCACCGTCCACGTCAGCGTGCCGCCCGCCGTTTTGTTCGCATGTGTCAGTGCCCTTGTCACTATCACGCCGCCAGTTGGTCAACTTCAACCCTGCAGCAGCCAACCATCCCTTGCTCCCCACTCGCTTCCTCCCCTCCCTCCCCCCCTCCTCCTCCCCCTCCTCCTCCCCTCCTCTCTCCTCCCCATTCCTCTCCCCGTCTCCTCCCTTTTTCACCCCACCTGCCTGCCCTGCACTGCCCATGTCCAGATTCACTGCACCTGCCGCCACCAACTCGCTCTCCTGCCTGCAGAACCTGCCGAGCGTCAGCTTTCTCGCCAAACCTGGAGCGCAGGGCTGGGCCGAGCCTGTTGGCTTAGCAGCAGCACCATCAGCAGCATACACAGTATCGCCATCTGAAACAACTACAAACTCCTGGACTGCCTTCTCCTCCTCCCCCTCCTCCTCCTCTTCCTCCTCCCTCTCCTCCTCCTCTTCTTTCTCTGCTCTTGTCACACCCTGCCAGGCTGGCAGCTGCTCCAAATCTGATCCCAAATCAGCTCCTAAACCGCCTCCTAATCTTAAATCCCCTGCGCCTACTCCACTGCCCTTAACCAACGTAGCTCCATTCGATCCAAGTTCCTCCTTCCCTACACTCCCTAACATGTCCCCCACTGCCTTCCCCTCTGCACTCCCGCTTCCCCCCCCGCAGGCGCCGCTTCTGCTGGCACCGCGAGGGGCGGAAGTGGAGGGCGGGGGGAGGCGCAGGCGAGCGGGGCGCACGCACGGGAAGGCGCGATGGCGCCGCCTCGCCAGCCCGTTGAGCGCCTCGTTGAACAGCCCGTCGCCGCCCTGAGGGTGGTCGCGAGAGGGGTGGGAGGGAGGAAGGGGATGGAGCTGGGATGGAGTGGGTACAACAAGGCATCGCCGCCTCGCCAGCCCGTTGAGCGCCTCGTTGAACAGCCCGTCGCCGCCCTGAGGGTGTGGGGGGGGGGGAATGGGAAGGAGGGTAGGAGGAAATGGAGTTGGGATGGGTTGAGATGGGGTACAACACAGCATCGCCGCCTCGCGAGCCCGTTGAGCGCCTCGTTGAACAGCCCGTCGCCGCCCTGAGGGTGGGGGGGAGGGGGAAGGGAGGGGAATGGGAGTTGGGATGAATTGCGATGGGATGAGAGGGGCACAACACTTGAGCGCCTCGCGAGCCCGTTGAGCGCCTCGTTGAACAGCCCGTCGCCGCCCTGATGGGTGGGGGAAGGAGGGAAGGAGAAAATGGAGTTGGGATGGGTTCGGAGGGGCACAACGCAGAATGAGTACTGGGCGAGGGGAAAGCGCGTTATTGAAAGCGTCGACTCCGCCCGGAAATGCGGCGAGGGGACGACGGGGGGGCGAGGGAAGGGGAGTTCATCACGTCATGCTGCCGCTCGCCCTTGTGCGCCTGTGTGGCTGTGCGAATGTGTGTGCGACGCTGCGTGCGGCTGGTGTGCGACGATATGAGTGCGACTGAGTGTGCGACTCCGCGTGCGACACTGATGTGTGCGACTCACCACGACGATGATCCCGTCCAGCTGGCAAAGCTCCTTGTCCGACGCGTTCTGCAGCATGTCGCGCGCGTGGTTGCGACGGCTGGTTACCACCACCTGCGACCAACGAAACAGGTTGTGAAAAATAACATTACTAATGTTCGTAAACGTGCAAGCCTACGACCGCAGCGAAACTCGCGAAATTCCACTACGCGGAGAAGAACGTAGGTTTGGTGCTTGCTGCTGCTACTGTTCGCCATAAAAAATCGCGAACTCTGTGGTAACCACCGTCGCACCTGCACGGCGACTCCTGCGCGATCGAACACGGGTCGCACCGCCTCCCATGTCTTTAATCCCTTCTTCCGCCCGCCTATTGGGTTCACGAACACTAGGAGGCTCCTAGGGCGCTCCGGGTCGACGCGCAGCAGCGAGAGGATGCGGTCCGACCACTGCTGGCACACGTCAGCGCTGACGTGGCAGAAGACGAGCTTGAGCGGCATCCAACGGTCGGCGGAGCGGCGGAACGTGTGCACCGCGAACTGATGCATCTGCGCGCGCGCGGAGGTGGGAAGGCGGGGGGAGTGCGGGGGGAGAGGAGCGGATGGGAGGCGGAGGAGGGGTTGGAGGGCAGGGAAGGGGAGGGGTTGAATGGGAAAGCAAGGGGAAGATATGCGGGAAGGGGCGAGGTGAGGGGGGAGGAGGAAGCGGGGGGGAGGAGGAAGCGGGGGGGAGGAGGAAGCGGGGGGGAGGGGGGAGGACGAGGTCCAGAGTGAATGGGGGCGAAGATAGCAGCGGATGAGGACAAGTAGCGCCGGCCGCGCAATTTTCACGCGCTCCCCTCGCGCCTATCTCTCATTCGCTTGTCAGCGTTACCGTCGAACACGGGGGGTCCTTTCGCCTATCTCCTTCCGGGGGAAGCCCTTCTCGTCAGAGGCTATCTGGTCGCGAGTCCGTCAATTAAAAAAAAAAAAAAAAATCACCAAAATCCTTACTACGATGTAGTATCACCAGGGGAGTGTACCTTAACGGGAGTCGCAAAGAAGCTGCTCTTAACGGATGCCTCTGGGAGCATTTCGACGGCGTAGATTTCGCTGATGGGTGCTGAGCTGGCATTCGGCTGTCCCAGGCCGCAGTCGTGGCACGGATTGGTTGCAGGACACCCCTGAGCGGAGAACACGGAAAGAGATATGGAAAGGTAAAAGAAACATCTAGAGTGTTTGGGAAAGGGGTAAGGAGGGGGGTAGGAATAAGGAGGAAGGACACAGCAGGAGGTAGTTGAGTCGACTAAAAAGTCACCCCCGAGAGGTAGGAATAAGGAAGAGGGATAAAGGTGGTCTATGTACCGGACGGGGGAGAATAGACGGACGAGAATCGACGGAGAGAATTGACGGAGGAGGAAATGACGAACGAAGACATGGCAAACGAGAATTGACGGCAATGAGACGAAATGCTCCTGCGCCGCAAGCGACGGAGACCTCGAAGCATTTCCCATTCTAAACACGAAGCGCTCGCGAAGCTAACGGGTACTGCGAGTGGCAAAGGACAAGACGCAGCGTGTCGAAGCTGACCTGTCATTCCTGGATTGACCCACAGTACCATTAAACTGATACAGCACTTGCTGACCACCTGTAAATTCATTATAAGCTCGTCTAAAGTCGACTCGAAACACACCTTTTCTTATTAACTACCTGACTCGCGGATTCGTCCACTCTGTGCCACACAATCCCGTCGACCATGAGCGCGGCGCGGACGTGGCCGGAATTCGGAATTAAGAACGACTCTTCCAGCAGCGTGTCTCGAGCCGCTCCGCCATTCTTGCCGCCTGCCGTCCCGCCATGCCATCCGGCCCTTCCGCGCCGTCCGTCCGCGTCACTAGCGCTTCGCGACATTACCGCAATATCCGGGGCGTGCTTGAATCCCAGGTCTACGTCTACCATTCCCCCATCGCACTCTCTAGTCATGGAAATGAAAATGGAAAGATAAACGCCTAATCTGTCAGACGGAAGGCGCAACACGAGCTACAGTATCGTACCCCTCTCAGAGACAGCTGTCAGGCTGCCAGAAATGCGAGTCAGAATTTGCCTGCTCGCGCAGCAACCAGCCCAATCGCAACTGGCTTAGGGAATCGCGAATGGGAAGGAATGGGTGGAAGAGCGGTCCTGACGCCAAAATCCGTGAGGGGGGTGAAGCAGACATGCGTGCTTTTGGCCGCGAAATTCGTTTCAAGTTCCAAGCGAGCAGGGAGGGAAAGCACGAAGAGAGCAGAGGGGAGGGGAGGGCGCGAGCAAGCGAGCGAGGTGCCGCGGAGGTGCTGCTGGTTTGGGGGCGGTGTGGAGCTGGGTGGGGAGGAGTGGAGTGCAGCGGGACGGGGCGTGGCGGAACGGATAAGTGGCGCGAGAGGGGGTTCGACGAGCTGGGGGAAAGGGCGCAACGGGTGGGGGAAATGGCGCAAGGGGTGGGGAGATGGCGCGATTTTTTCAATGCAAGGTTGGGGAATAGGGGCGAGCGGATTCCCTGGTGGGACAACAGCGGGGCGAGTTTGGTTGGGTTGGGTGAGGGAAATCCGCAGCGTGAGGGGGAAAGTTCGCTCTGTGGAAGAAATTCACTTTTGGGCAAGCGCGGCCACCGAGACTTGCGACAGGCGTAAAATTGGGACAGGGGTCGGCTTGCAGTGAAATTGACGCCTGATTCGTTTGTGAGTTGTGACGCGTTACATGCCACCAGTCATATGACACGAGTCACATGACATGACCTTCACACATGTGTGACGGGACAGAGGTGCGGGCACTGGGGTTGGGGGAAGGTGAGGGCTGGGGAAAGTGACGTAGCCCACTTCGCGCTGAACACGGTGGGCGTAGGAGAGAAAATGGCGGGAAATGGGAGGGTAGCGGTTGCCGCCGACAGGCCTAGGTAGAGGGCAGGCCTGGAAAAGGAAAGAAAGGGGCGAAATGACGCGCATCGGCGGTAATCGCGTTTTTCTCAATTGCATCGACCTAAATTACTCCGACCTCGCCACGTGGTCGTTTCCCTTAATTGGATGGACCGCGTTTGCGCCCGCCCTTTCCGCGCGATTTTCCCGCCCTTCCCATCCGAAACCGGGCACCCGCTCGAATTTCGTGGAATCACAAGCAGTCACGAATACATGCTTTTTCGTAACGCTAAGATTTCAACATGCGAGCGACGTCTGATTGGACAGAGTTTTGGTGATTTGATTCACGCGCCAAAGTGACATGCAAGCGGCGATTTTTGATTCTTCAATGTTGAATGACGTGCACGAGCAGTTGTGCCAGGAGCCGTTGGGGAACGCACAGTTAAAGTTTAACTTCGTACCTTTACTTAAGTTCTCAATGCATATAAAATATAATCAGTCGCTAAAATCTTATTTGTTTTGTAATCAGTAATAGGTTGAGCATAACAATTAAAAAAAACTTGATTGTAATGATATTCTTAACAGTAATATCGGTTGTATGCCACTGCATTAACATATTTTCTACAATCTCTGTAATCGGAGGGTAATATTTCTATTCTAAATAATATAAATCAGTATAGTCAAATAAAATCTCTACCTAATTTAAAATCGTGACTGTTTGTGATTTCACGCGAGTATACACGGCTGCCCGAATTCGGAGGGGAAGGGCGGGAAAATCGGGTTGGGGGGGCGGGCGCAAACGCGGTCCATCCAATTATGGGAAACGCCCACGTGGCGAGGTCGGAGTAATTTAGGTCGATGCAATTGAGAGAAACGCGCTTTCCGCCGATGCGTGTCATTTCGCCAAAGAAAGGTCGCTATGGTAGCTACATCACATCCATGATGCATCCCTACTTGCAGGTTGGGCTGTGGGACGGTGGATGGATGTTGCACAGTTCATCTGATCACCGTTCATCTTACCGTTTTACACATCCACTGTTGTTTGGCAGCACACCATCACTTGCATGGTTGTCGTCGTCGCTTCAGCATGCCCGAAATTGGTTGGGAAGGACGGGCAGAGAGAAATAGCCGTTGTGGGGGAATTTCGCCCGCCGTTACTGAGACGAACGGTCCGCGGTCAAGGTTCCCAACCTCACCAACAGCAGAACACACCTGCGAAGCGAGTTTTGTTCCGCCGCAAGTCGGTAGCGTAATCTGCATGCAAGTTTTGCTTTTCAAAAAGCACTTCCCGTAAACCGCGGAGAGCCCAGTGTTTTCCAGAAAACCCGGCACCTGGATTAGGACGCGTCACCTTTGTTCAATCCCAGGTCCGATCCTACGCAGGATCGTTTAATAGCGGGAATAAAACGGGAAAAAACGAAGGGTTTCTCTTGCCCGCAATCCCAGCGCCACCCTCGTCGAGGGTGAACGACGGAGCTGTTACAGGATACCAATTATATATCCATATAACCCACATAAATTATGTATGGAAGCCTAATAGACAGAAATACTGCTCGTCAATTATCTTTGGGTATTATACACTGACTTTACACAGCCCTAATAGTTGACAATTTGCCACATGTATTTGACAAACTGGAATTTCAGCCTGCAAAACATACAAAAGCTGTTCTGTATGAATCAAGCAACCCAAAATGGTGTGCGATACAAGAGGACACGACCCAGATGAGCGAAAGGCATGGAGCAGAAGAGATTACTCAAGTAGCAGCACAAAAGAGAGCATTAAGTCTCAGCATGGCAACTGGTGACAGTGGTGCCGAAAGCTGGTTCCTGGTCCAGTGCGGTGGAAAGCGGTGCAGAGTGCTGCAGGCATCTTATTTGCTGGAGGGAGGCGGCCCAGCAGCCACAGCAGCAACAGCAGCCGCCGCAGCAGCCTCGGCCACAAGATCCTTCCTGGAAGCATCCCACATCTGCTGCTCCAGGTTCAGCTTGCGGACCTCCATCAGCCCGCGCTCCGCTGGTGACATCAGCATGACATCATTGTGAAATCAGCATTGGTAGGAAAAGAGGGACGAACAGGGGGGGGGCGGAGGAGCGCAGAGGAAGAAGGGGAGGGGAATGTGGGGGGAAGGGAGGGGGGCAGGCGGGGGAGAAAGAAGGGGTGGGTGGCGGAGGAAAGGGGAAAAGGGAAGGCGTTCAGTGGGTGTCAGAAGTTGCTGCATGTGTGCACAATCCTTGTTGTGCGTGTGTGCGCTGTGCATGCATGCGGCACATTGCAAACATATGTGTGTTGGGGGGGGGGGGATGCATGCGTGCAAAATCACTCATCGTGCATGTGTGCGCTGTGCATGCGGCACATACAAACATGCGTGAGTGATCCTGAACTCCTTGACTCCCTTGACCTCCTTAAAGCCCTCCATCTCACCATCCACAGCATCATGCGCAGTGGGCTTGACAGTGCTCCTGGAGATCCAGTACGCCAGCCTCTCATCTCTACCTTGACTCCCGTTGACTCACCATCCACAGCATCATGTGCAGTAGGCTTGACAGTGCTCCGGGAGATCCAGTACGCCAGCCGCTCCGCTGCAATGTCCGGCTCCACCTTGTGGTCCCTCTTCCACCTCCCTCCCATGATACCTGATTGACTCCCTAGACACTCTTCCATACAAGAACAACCATACGGCCCTCCATCTCACCATCCACAGCATCATGCGCCGTGGGCTTGACAGTGCTCCAGGAGATCCAGTACGCCAGCCACTCATCTCGTATACTGACTATAGTGACTGCCTGTTGACTCCATTGACTTCCTTTGACTCACCATCCACAGCATCGTGTGCAGTAGGCTTCACAGTGCTCCTGGAGATCCAGTACGCCAGCCGCTCTGCTGCAATGTCCGGCTCCACCTTGTGATCCCGCGCCCGCCGCCACCAGTACACCAGCCAGTTCTGCTTGAACCTCACGTCCTCCACCTCCTCGTCGCTCAGGTCTGGATGGGAGGGAAGGAGAGAGGCAAAAGAGAGGGCGGAAACGGGAAGGGATGGAGTGGGTTTGAACACCTTGTGGTCGCGTGCTCGCCGCCACCAGTACACCAGCCAGTTCTGCTTGAACCTCACATCCTCCACTTCTTCATCGCTCAGGTCTGGAAGAAAGAGGAGAGATGGATGGGAAGCAAGTTGGATCGAAATCGAGCTAAAAGAACGAGAGAAAGGTGATAAAAGGATAGGATGAAAAGTGATAAAGATGAGCTAGGATGGATGGGCGGGGGGGGAGAAGAGAGGCCCCCCAACGCTATTGAGGGGCCGCAGAGCATAGGCAAGGGGACAAAGGATGGGGGGAGGGAGCCAAGGCAGAAAGTGAGGAGAGAAGGTAACGGGACGAGGGATGGATGGAGCAAGGGAGAAAGGGAGGGAGGTAGGAGGAGAGGGAGGGAGGTAGGGCAGGGAAACTCACCCATAGACTCGACCATCCTTGGACCCTCTTCAGCAGCTGCACACACACACAGAGGGAGACAGAGGGAGAGGGGATTAACAGGTTTCACCGTATAATTCTGCATGTTTGTACCCTGCCTGAATCAATACAAAGGACCGTTTGAGGGAGAGGAGAAAGTGGTGGTGGTTAGGCTGGAGGCGAATGAAAGGATAAAGCAGAGGTGGTTGGGCTCAGGAGAGAGTTGCTGGCGAGCAGTTGCAAACCATGGAAAAGGGACATCATGGAGTGCACTTTAAGCAGAGCAGGGTGGCGGTGCTGGGCCATGGCCAGTAGCACTCCTTTCTCCACCTTCACTTGAGAGCTGCCAGGGCTCCCATAGAACCCGATTGCATCTCCAACTGCATCACTCACTAGCCTCACCCGACGGTGCGGAGTGGACTTTCAGCAGAGCAGGGCGGCGGTGCTGGGCCATGGCGAGCAGCACCCCCTCCTCCACCTTGAGAGCTGATAACTGCAGGTGAGTGAGTTTACCATCCCCCCCCAAAGAGCCCCTTCGTATTCGCAACTGCAGGTCAACCCCAGACCAGATTACCTGAAGGAGCGGAGTGCACTTTGAGCAGCGCGGGGCGGCGGTGCTGGGCCATGGCGAGCAGCACCCCCTCCTCCACCTTGAGAGCCGCCAGGTCTCTGAGTGCCTTCTCCACCTGAAACATGCTCTCTATGTTGCTCTCCGTGCCCACCGTCGCTGGCTTGTCCTCTGTGTGTGGGGGGTGAGGAAGTGTGGATCAGAGAGACAGAGGGACAGAGGGACAGAAGAGCAATCACCACTTTGAACGGCAGAACGGCACAAGCCCCCACTCCCTTACCATTTTCCCTCACCCGCCTACCAGAAACCCTTTATTCCACATCAATCTCCACCTCAAAGGGCAGACCAGCACAATCCCCCCCCCTTACCTTTCTCTTCCCCACCCGCACACAACCGCGCCTCACCTTTCTCGCCACCGTCAGGCTCCTCCTTGGCCTTTCTTTCCGCATCAATCACCACCTCAAAGGGCACACCAGCACAAGCCGCCATCCCTTACCTTTCTCTCCTCCAACCCCACACAACCTTTTTTCTCCCCACCGTCGGGCTCCTCCCTGGCCTTCCTCCGCGCATCAGTCACCAACTCGAAGGGTCAACAGAGAAAAATACCTCCCCGCACTCCTTTCCTTCCCTCCTCCTTCTCGCCCCACCGGAGCCTCACCTTTCTCGCCACCATCAGGCTCCTCCCGGGCCTTCCTGCCCGCATCAATGACTACCTCGACGGGCAGAGAAGCCCAAGCACCCCCACCTCGCCTTCCCTCCCCCTCTCTCTCTCTCACCTTTCTCCCCGCCGTCGGGCTCCTCCCGGGCCTTCCTGCCCGCGTCAATGACCACCTCGAAGGGCAGAGGCGAGTACTTCTGCCAGTGGTCGCTGCGCGAGCTGGCGATCTCAGCATGCACACCTGAAGCAGAGGAAGGGACGAAAGAGGATGGGAAGACAAATAAGTAACTGAAATAACAATAGTGCGTAAGCGCTGCTGGCTTGAAGACAAAAGTCGTGTCTTCAAGGCTGCACTATAAATATGATAGGAGGATGATAACAACAACGAAAAAATAACAGCGTTAGATGATTATATTGTCTGTCATCAAGCAACTAAACCCACCGTGGCGGGAAGCAAGGGCCCAATAGCGCGCGAGCCAGCAGCGCTTGAGCACCACCACCTCCTCCTCCTCCTTCTCGGGGGGCAGCAGAATGCTCTCTCATGCCCCTTGTGAGACATTCTTTTGGGCCACACCACACACCACATATCAGGACGCATGCCCCTACCATGACGGGAAGCAAGGGCCCAGTAGCGGGCCAGCCAGCAGCGTTTCAGCACCACCTCCTCCTTCTCCTCGGGGGTCAGCAGAATGCGCGCTGTGATGCCTGTTGCGGGACATTTCCTTTCAGCCACACACCACATACCAAGTCACACGAACCTACCGTGACGGGACGCCAGCGCCCAGTAGCGGGCGAGCCAGCAGCGCTTGAGCACCACCTCCTCCTTCTCCTCGGGGGTGAGCAGAATGCAGCTCCTTAGCACGCTCACCTCCTCGCTCACATTGAGCCACTCACGTCACAGAGCCTGACACACAGACACGTACCATGACGGGAAGCAAGTGCCCAGTAGCGGGCGAGCCAGCAACGCTTGAATACCGCCTCCTCCTTCTCCTCGGGGATGGGTCAGCAGAATGCTCTCATGCACCTCGTGAAGCATTCCTTCTTTTGGGCCACTCGCACACCACATACCATCAATTCACATGCACATACCATGACGGGACGCCAGCGCCCAGTAGCGCGCGAGCCAGCAGCGCTTGAGCACCACCTCCTCCTTCTCCTCGGGGGTCAGCAGAATGCTCTCTCATGCACCTTGTGGTGTGGGTCGTTTTTTTGAGCCACACACCACCACACATACCTCCCAACCAGGTGTCACATTCATAAGCTTACCATGACGGGAGGCCAGGGCCCAGTAGCGGGCGAGCCAGCAGCGCTTGAGCACCACCTCCTCCTTCTCCTCGGGGGTTGGGACAGCAGAATGCTTCAATGCACGGTATGAGGCATTGCTTTGAGCCACACACCACACATCAAATCACATGCGCGTACCATGACGGGAGGCGAGGGCCCAGTACCGAGCGAGCCAGCAGCGCTTGAGCACCACCTCCTCCTTCTCCTCGGGGGTCAGCAGAATGCTCGCATGCACCTCGTGAGGCATTCCTTCTTTTGGGCCACTCGCACACCACATACCATCAATTCACCTGCACATACCATGACGGGACGCCAGCGCCCAGTAGCGCGCGAGCCAGCAGCGCTTGAGCACCACCTCCTCCTTCTCCTCGGGGGTCAGCAGAATGCTCTCTCATGCACCTTGTGGTGTGGGTCGTTCCTTTGAGCCACACACCACCACACATACCTCCCAACCAGGTGTCACATTCATAAGCTTACCATGACGGGAGGCCAGGGCCCAGTAGCGGGCGAGCCAGCAGCGCTTGAGCACCACCTCCTCCTTCTCCTCGGGGGTGGGTCAGCAGAATGCTTCAATGCACGGTATGAGGCATTGCTTTGAGCCACACACCACACATCAAATCACATGCGCGTACCATGACGGGAGGCGAGGGCCCAGTACCGAGCGAGCCAGCAGCGCTTGAGCACCACCTCCTCCTTCTCCTCGGGGGTGAGCAGAATGCGCGCTGTGAGGCTCCTCAGCGCCCTCACCTCCTCGCTTGCCTGCCTCGCCTCCTCCAACGCTGCTGCCGCCTCCTCCCTCTGAGACTGTGGGTAGGAAACACACACGGAAATACACATGGGAAGCACATGTATCAGCATCATGTGACAGGTGAAGTGAGGCTCCTCCTCCTGAGAGCTCTCACCTCCTCGCTCGCCTGCCTCGCCTCCTCCAACGCTGCTGCCGCCTCCTCCCGCTGAGACAGAAACTGAAACTTCATGCGAAGCGTTGCAATCTTCCACCCACTCCCACCAATTTGCACTCCCCTTCACTCCCCTTCACTCCCCTTCACTCCCACCCACCCCATCCACCCCCTCACCTCCAGCTCCATCCTGAGAGTGGTGATCTCACCTCCTTCACGTCCTTGGACTTGGCTTGTCCCTCATATCATAACTACACAAATACAACGAAACACTCCCACTCTCACTGAACTCCACCTTCTCCCGTCCCTTCCCACCAATTTGCACTCCCACCCACCCCATCCAACCGCTTACCTCGAGCTCCATCCTAAGCGTGGTGATCTCCACCTCCTTCACGTCCTTGCTCTTGTCCTTCATCTCCTTCAGACTCGCCTGCCATGCCCCCCACCACAAGCATCCACGCACACAGGCAGAGGTGGCACAGGCAGCACAACAGCAAGGGCGCACAGGCAATTGAGAAGGGGGCATGGCAATCGAAGCAGGGTATCAAAGGCAATGCATGAAGGCATGGGCAGGGCAGGGCTGTAAATCACGAGCATAAGCAGGCAAGAATGTGTATATGAGAGCTGGATGGGTAATCCATAGGCGTCGGCAAGAGTCAGCATGCAAGCAGTAGTAGTGCAAGTATTAGTGAGCGGGAAGATCACCTCACGCTGCTTGAGAACCGCTTCTTTCCTGCCAGGGGGGATGAGAAGGGGCGAGGAAGGGGGGATTATCGCCTGTATGTCAACACCTTCACGAGATTGGAGATGGTCTTGAGCTCACGGAAAGAGAAACTCAATAAATACGTGCAGCAAACAAGTTGGGTGAGTAGCAAAGTGGGGCGGAGGATGGGTGGGGAGCAGCAGCAAAAGAACGAAAGGCAAGGGGAGAAGAAGCTTCGGGAAAAGGAACGAGGGAGGAAGGGGAGTGCGGGAATGCTGGGGTTCAGGAAAAGGCGAAAGGTACGGATTGATTCCAGGAATCCAGTTTTGGAAGGCCTTATCTGTTTTTGAAGCGCCTCATACACAGAATCGGAAAAGGTGACGGGTGCGGATTGGAACCCAGGCATCCAGTTTTGAAAAGCCTTTTCTGTTTTGCTCACTTGTTGAGAAGGCGGGCCTCCAGGCTGAGTCCTTCGCCCATCTTGGCGACCTGCAGGGCGACAGAGAGAGAGAGAGGGATAAAATAGAGAGCCACGTGATAAAAGTTGGGTTTTGATTTTGAGACGTCTCAAAACGGGCCTCCAGGCTGAGTCCTTCGCCCATCTTGGCGACCTGCAGGGCGACAGAGAGAGAGAGAGGGATAAAATAGAGAGCCACGTGATAAAAGTCGGGTTTTGATTTTGAGACGTCTCAAAACGGGCCTCCAGGCTGAGTCCTTCGCCCATCTTGGCGACCTGCAGGGCGAGAGAGAGAACGATAGAGTAGAGAAGTGCAACAGAAAGTGGTGAAGTGCAGATGAAGGGTAGGTAGGTAGGGAGGAACGAGACGTTGGATGGAAGCCCGTGTTTTGAGTCGACTCAAAACACCACACAAAGGCAGTGTTGATGACTTTTCTCGACTCTACTCAGCTTGGCCCAACCGGGCCCAACCGGACCCAGCCCAACCAAACCAGACCAGATTCGACCCAACCCAACCCAACACCCGACTCAGCTTGGCCTGACCCGGCTTGACTTGAACTGTTTTGACCTTGGCTTGCCTCTCCTTCCACCCTCCTCACTCCCCCACCTGTGTGGCTCAGTCACCCCTCTCACTCCCCTCTTACTCCACCCACTCCCCCCCACCTGCTTCTCCTTGAATCAAGTCTGCGGGCTCTCCCACCCATCTCAATCACCCCCTCCAACCCTAGCTCTCCCCCCCTCTCCGTTTTCCCCACCTGCTTCTCGAGCTCCTGCACGCGCGCCTGCTTCTCCTTGAGGTCCTCCTCTGCCATGCGCAACTGGGGAGGGGAGGGGGGGCGAGAGAGGGAAAACACAGAAGGGGAAGCGGGGAGAAGGTGGTGTGGTGGGGGGGGGGGGGGAATGAGGGATAGCCCTGCACGCGCGCCTGCTTCTCCTTGAGGTCCTCCTCTGCCATGCGCAGCTGGGGGGGGGGAGGGGAGGGGAAGGGGAGAGGAAGGGGAGGAGGCGCGAGAGGGAAAACAGAGGGTGGAGGGGTGGGGGGGAACGAGTGAGGGAGCTTTGCACGCACGCCTGCTTATCCTTGAGGTCCTCCTCTGCCACGCGCAGCTGGGGGGGGGAGGAGATGGGGAGGGGAGGAGAGGTAAGGGTCAGCAGGGGGGAAAGCAAGGGATAGCCCTGAGGTCCTCCTCTGCCATGCGCAGCTGCAGGAGGGGAGGAGAACAGAGAAAACAGGGGTTGGACTGGAGGGAAAGGGGAGGGGGGGGAGGGAGGGGGGAAGTGAGGGATAGCCCTGCACGCGCGCCCGCGTCTCCTGGAGGTCCTCCTCTGCCATGCGCAGCTGCAGGGGGGGAGAAGATGGGGAGGGGGATGCGGGAGGCGGACAGAATTAGAGCGGGGGGGAGGGAAAAGGCGGACGCAGAGAGCTCCTGCACGCCTGCCTGCTTCTCCTTGAGGTCCTCCTCTGCCATGCGCAGCTGCAGGGGGGGAAGGAAAAGAGGGGGAAGAGGGGGGAAAGTTTTGAGAAGAGTTGAAAAAGGAGAGGAGGAAGAAGGGGGAGAGCGAGTGGAGGAGGAAGCTTGGGAATGAGAAATAGCCCTCTGAGCCTCCTCCCTGACATGCGCAGCTGCACAAGGGGGTGAGGGGACTTTTTAGTCGACTCAAAATAGCCCTCTGAGCCTCCCCGCTGACATGCGCAGCTGCACAAGGGGGTGAGGGGGAGGGCGGCCCTTGCAACCTCAGCTCGAACCTATTCACAGCTGCTAGCACATTGTAACTAGTCATCTTCAAGAATTTTCAAAAGTTGAACATATAAACAGTTGACTCACCTCAATAACCACCTCTCATCACACGGTTTCCTTGGTATAGCAGCACCACTGCCTTCAATGGAACCTCACCCAACTACCCTACCTCCCTTTCTCCTCCAAAATTGCCAGCTGGCTGTAGAGAAAATGAAAAAGAGGCTTCTTAGCCGACCCTGAACCCGTGCAAGCTCACCTTATCCACCAGGAACTCGTTCTCCTCTGTGAGAACATCCAGCTGCGGGGAACAGACCTATGGGGGAACAGACATTTGAAGTGCCTTGAACGCCCAATGCCCTCCTACTGATTCACCCCTACCACCAGCTCACCTTATCCACCAGGAACTCGTTCTCCTCTGTCAATACACCCAGAAACGAGACCTCAAATGCCCATGCACTGCACGCTCACCTTATCCACCAGGAACTCGTTCTCCTCTGTGAGCATATCCAGCTGCGGGGAACAGACCTTTGAAGCGCCTCAAAAGCCCACTGCCCCCCTACCAGTTCGCTCACTGCCCCCCCTACCAGCTCACCTTATCCACCAGAAACTCGTTCTCCTCTGTCAGAACATCCAGCTGCGGGGAACGGGCGGGAAGAGGGGCATGGGAAGCACAGTGGGGAGCACAGAGCACAGTGGGGAGCACAGAGCACAGTGGGGAGCACAGAGCACAGTGGGGAGCACAGAGCACAGTGGGGAGCACAGAGCACAGTGGGGAGCACAGAGCACAGTGGGGAGCACAGAGCACAGTGGGGAGCACAGAGCACAGTGGGGAGCACAGAGCACAGTGGGGAGCACAGAGCACAGTGGGGAGCACAGAGCACAGTGGGGAGCACAGAGCACAGTGGGGAGCACAGAGCACAGTGGGGAGCACAGAGCACAGTGGGGAGCACAGAGCACAGTGGGGAGCACAGAGCACAGTGGGGAGCACAGAGCACAGTGGGGAGCACAGAGCACAGTGGGGAGCACAGAGCACAGTGGGGAGCACAGAGCACAGTGGGGAGCACAGAGCACAGTGGGGAGCACAGAGCACAGTGGGGAGCACAGAGCACAGTGGGGAGCACAGAGCACAGTGGGGAGCACAGAGCACAGTGGGGAGCACAGAGCACAGTGGGGAGCACAGAGCACAGTGGGGAGCACAGAGCACAGTGGGGAGCACAGAGCACAGTGGGGAGCACAGAGCACAGTGGGGAGCACAGAGCACAGTGGGGAGCACAGAGCACAGTGGGGAGCACAGAGCACAGTGGGGAGCACAGAGCACAGTGGGGAGCACAGAGCACAGTGGGGAGCACAGAGCACAGTGGGGAGCACAGAGCACAGTGGGGAGCACAGAGCACAGTGGGGAGCACAGAGCACAGTGGGGAGCACAGAGCACAGTGGGGAGCACAGAGCACAGTGGGGAGCACAGAGCACAGTGGGGAGCACAGAGCACAGTGGGGAGCACAGAGCACAGTGGGGAGCACAGAGCACAGTGGGGAGCACAGAGCACAGTGGGGAGCACAGAGCACAGTGGGGAGCACAGAGCACAGTGGGGAGCACAGAGCACAGTGGGGAGCACAGAGCACAGTGGGGAGCACAGAGCACAGTGGGGAGCACAGAGCACAGTGGGGAGCACAGAGCACAGTGGGGAGCACAGAGCACAGTGGGGAGCACAGAGCACAGTGGGGAGCACAGAGCACAGTGGGGAGCACAGAGCACAGTGGGGAGCACAGAGCACAGTGGGGAGCACAGAGCACAGTGGGGAGCACAGAGCACAGTGGGGAGCACAGAGCACAGTGGGGAGCACAGAGCACAGTGGGGAGCACAGAGCACAGTGGGGAGCACAGAGCACAGTGGGGAGCACAAGCACAGTGGGAGCACAAAGCACAGTGGGGAGCACAGAGCACAGTGGGGAGCACAGAGCACAGTGGGGAGCACAGAGCACAGTGGGGAGCACAGAAGCACAGTGGGGAGCACAGAGCACAGTGGGGAGCACAGAGCACAGTGGGGAGCACAGAGCACAGTGGGGAGCACAGAGCACAGTGGGGAGCACAGAGCACAGTGGGGAGCACAGAGCACAGTGGGGAGCACAGAGCACAGTGGGGAGCACAGAGCACAGTGGGGAGCACAGAGCACAGTGGGGAGCACAGAGCACAGTGGGGAGCACAGAGCACAGTGGGGAGCACAGAGCACAGTGGGGAGCACAGAGCACAGTGGGGAGCACAGAGCACAGTGGGGAGCACAGAGCACAGTGGGGAGCACAGAGCACAGTGGGGAGCACAGAGCACAGTGGGGAGCACAGAGCACAGTGGGGAGCACAGAGCACAGTGGGGAGCACAGAGCACAGTGGGGAGCACAGAGCACAGTGGGGAGCACAGAGCACAGTGGGGAGCACAGAGCACAGTGGGGAGCACAGAGCACAGTGGGGAGCACAGAGCACAGTGGGGAGCACAGAGCACAGTGGGGAGCACAGAGCACAGTGGGGAGCACAGAGCACAGTGGGGAGCACAGAGCACAGTGGGGAGCACAGAGCACAGTGGGGAGCACAGAGCACAGTGGGGAGCACAGAGCACAGTGGGGAGCACAGAGCACAGTGGGGAGCACAGAGCACAGTGGGGAGCACAGAGCACAGTGGGGAGCACAGAGCACAGTGGGGAGCACAGAGCACAGTGGGGAGCACAGAGCACAGTGGGGAGCACAGAGCACAGTGGGGAGCACAGAGCACAGTGGGGAGCACAGAGCACAGTGGGGAGCACAGAGCACAGTGGGGAGCACAGAGCACAGTGGGGAGCACAGAGCACAGTGGGGAGCACAGAGCACAGTGGGGAGCACAGAGCACAGTGGGGAGCACAGAGCACAGTGGGGAGCACAGAGCACAGTGGGGAGCACAGAGCACAGTGGGGAGCACAGAGCACAGTGGGGAGCACAGAGCACAGTGGGGAGCACAGAGCACAGTGGGGAGCACAGAGCACAGTGGGGAGCACAGAGCACAGTGGGGAGCACAGAGCACAGTGGGGAGCACAGAGCACAGTGGGGAGCACAGAGCACAGTGGGGAGCACAGAGCACAGTGGGGAGCACAGAGCACAGTGGGGAGCACAGAGCACAGTGGGGAGCACAGAGCACAGTGGGGAGCACAGAGCACAGTGGGGAGCACAGAGCACAGTGGGGAGCACAGAGCACAGTGGGGAGCACAGAGCACAGTGGGGAGCACAGAGCACAGTGGGGAGCACAGAGCACAGTGGGGAGCACAGAGCACAGTGGGGAGCACAGAGCACAGTGGGGAGCACAGAGCACAGTGGGGAGCACAGAGCACAGTGGGGAGCACAGAGCACAGTGGGGAGCACAGAGCACAGTGGGGAGCACAGAGCACAGTGGGGAGCACAGAGCACAGTGGGGAGCACAGAGCACAGTGGGGAGCACAGAGCACAGTGGGGAGCACAGAGCACAGTGGGGAGCACAGAGCACAGTGGGGAGCACAGAGCACAGTGGGGAGCACAGAGCACAGTGGGGAGCACAGAGCACAGTGGGGAGCACAGAGCACAGTGGGGAGCACAGAGCACAGTGGGGAGCACAGAGCACAGTGGGGAGCACAGAGCACAGTGGGGAGCACAGAGCACAGTGGGGAGCACAGAGCACAGTGGGGAGCACAGAGCACAGTGGGGAGCACAGAGCACAGTGGGGAGCACAGAGCACAGTGGGGAGCACAGAGCACAGTGGGGAGCACAGAGCACAGTGGGGAGCACAGAGCACAGTGGGGAGCACAGAGCACAGTGGGGAGCACAGAGCACAGTGGGGAGCACAGAGCACAGTGGGGAGCACAGAGCACAGTGGGGAGCACAGAGCACAGTGGGGAGCACAGAGCACAGTGGGGAGCACAGAGCACAGTGGGGAGCACAGAGCACAGTGGGGAGCACAGAGCACAGTGGGGAGCACAGAGCACAGTGGGGAGCACAGAGCACAGTGGGGAGCACAGAGCACAGTGGGGAGCACAGAGCACAGTGGGGAGCACAGAGCACAGTGGGGAGCACAGAGCACAGTGGGGAGCACAGAGCACAGTGGGGAGCACAGAGCACAGTGGGGAGCACAGAGCACAGTGGGGAGCACAGAGCACAGTGGGGAGCACAGAGCACAGTGGGGAGCACAGAGCACAGTGGGGAGCACAGAGCACAGTGGGGAGCACAGAGCACAGTGGGGAGCACAGAGCACAGTGGGGAGCACAGAGCACAGTGGGGAGCACAGAGCACAGTGGGGAGCACAGAGCACAGTGGGGAGCACAGAGCACAGTGGGGAGCACAGAGCACAGTGGGGAGCACAGAGCACAGTGGGGAGCACAGAGCACAGTGGGGAGCACAGAGCACAGTGGGGAGCACAGAGCACAGTGGGGAGCACAGAGCACAGTGGGGAGCACAGAGCACAGTGGGGAGCACAGAGCACAGTGGGGAGCACAGAGCACAGTGGGGAGCACAGAGCACAGTGGGGAGCACAGAGCACAGTGGGGAGCACAGAGCACAGTGGGGAGCACAGAGCACAGTGGGGAGCACAGAGCACAGTGGGGAGCACAGAGCACAGTGGGGAGCACAGAGCACAGTGGGGAGCACAGAGCACAGTGGGGAGCACAGAGCACAGTGGGGAGCACAGAGCACAGTGGGGAGCACAGAGCACAGTGGGGAGCACAGAGCACAGTGGGGAGCACAGAGCACAGTGGGGAGCACAAAGCACAGTGGGGAGCACAAAGCACAGTGGGGAGCACAAAGCACAGTGGGGAGCACAAAGCACAGTGGGGAGCACAGAGCACAGTGGGGAGCACAGAGCACAGTGGGGAGCACAGAGCACAGTGGGGAGCACAGAGCACAGTGGGGAGCACAGAGCACAGTGGGGAGCACAGAGCACAGTGGGGAGCACAGAGCACAGTGGGGAGCACAGAGCACAGTGGGGAGCACAGAGCACAGTGGGGAGCACAGAGCACAGTGGGGAGCACAGAGCACAGTGGGGAGCACAGAGCACAGTGGGGAGCACAGAGCACAGTGGGGAGCACAAAGCACAGTGGGGAGCACAGAGCACAGTGGGGAGCACAGAGCACAGTGGGGAGCACAGAGCACAGTGGGGAGCACAGAGCACAGTGGGGAGCACAGAGCACAGTGGGGAGCACAGAGCACAGTGGGGAGCACAGAGCACAGTGGGGAGCACAGAGCACAGTGGGGAGCACAGAGCACAGTGGGGAGCACAAAGCACAGTGGGGAGCACAAAGCACAGTGGGGAGCACAAAGCACAGTGGGGAGCACAAAGCACAGTGGGGAGCACAGAGCACAGTGGGGAGCACAGAGCACAGTGGGGAGCACAGAGCACAGTGGGGAGCACAGAGCACAGTGGGGAGCACAGAGCACAGTGGGGAGCACAGAGCACAGTGGGGAGCACAGAGCACAGTGGGGAGCACAGAGCACAGTGGGGAGCACAGAGCACAGTGGGGAGCACAGAGCACAGTGGGGAGCACAGAGCACAGTGGGGAGCACAGAGCACAGTGGGGAGCACAGAGCACAGTGGGGAGCACAGAGCACAGTGGGGAGCACAGAGCACAGTGGGGAGCACAGAGCACAGTGGGGAGCACAGAGCACAGTGGGGAGCACAGAGCACAGTGGGGAGCACAAAGCACAGTGGGGAGCACAAAGCACAGTGGGGAGCACAAAGCACAGTGGGGAGCACAGAGCACAGTGGGGAGCACAGAGCACAGTGGGGAGCACAGAGCACAGTGGGGAGCACAGAGCACAGTGGGGAGCACAGAGCACAGTGGGGAGCACAAAGCACAGTGGGGAGCACAAAGCACAGTGGGGAGCACAAAGCACAGTGGGGAGCACAAAGCACAGTGGGGAGCACAGAGCACAGTGGGGAGCACAGAGCACAGTGGGGAGCACAGAGCACAGTGGGGAGCACAGAGCACAGTGGGGAGCACAAAGCACAGTGGGGAGCACAAAGCACAGTGGGGAGCACAAAGCACAGTGGGGAGCACAAAGCACAGTGGGGAGCACAGAGCACAGTGGGGAGCACAGAGCACAGTGGGGAGCACAGAGCACAGTGGGGAGCACAGAGCACAGTGGGGAGCACAGAGCACAGTGGGGAGCACAGAGCACAGTGGGGAGCACAGAGCACAGTGGGGAGCACAGAGCACAGTGGGGAGCACAGAGCACAGTGGGGAGCACAGAGCACAGTGGGGAGCACAGAGCACAGTGGGGAGCACAGAGCACAGTGGGGAGCACAGAGCACAGTGGGGAGCACAGAGCACAGTGGGGAGCACAGAGCACAGTGGGGAGCACAGAGCACAGTGGGGAGCACAAAGCACAGTGGGGAGCACAGAGCACAGTGGGGAGCACAGAGCACAGTGGGGAGCACAGAGCACAGTGGGGAGCACAAAGCACAGTGGGGAGCACAAAGCACAGTGGGGAGCACAGAGCACAGTGGGGAGCACAGAGCACAGTGGGGAGCACAGAGCACAGTGGGGAGCACAGAGCACAGTGGGGAGCACAGAGCACAGTGGGGAGCACAGAGCACAGTGGGGAGCACAGAGCACAGTGGGGAGCACAGAGCACAGTGGGGAGCACAGAGCACAGTGGGGAGCACAGAGCACAGTGGGGAGCACAGAGCACAGTGGGGAGCACAGAGCACAGTGGGGAGCACAGAGCACAGTGGGGAGCACAGAGCACAGTGGGGAGCACAGAGCACAGTGGGGAGCACAAAGCACAGTGGGGAGCACAAAGCACAGTGGGGAGCACAGAGCACAGTGGGGAGCACAGAGCACAGTGGGGAGCACAGAGCACAGTGGGGAGCACAGAGCACAGTGGGGAGCACAGAGCACAGTGGGGAGCACAGAGCACAGTGGGGAGCACAGAGCACAGTGGGGAGCACAGAGCACAGTGGGGAGCACAGAGCACAGTGGGGAGCACAGAGCACAGTGGGGAGCACAGAGCACAGTGGGGAGCACAGAGCACAGTGGGGAGCACAGAGCACAGTGGGGAGCACAAAGCACAGTGGGGAGCACAGAGCACAGTGGGGAGCACAGAGCACAGTGGGGAGCACAAAGCACAGTGGGGAGCACAAAGCACAGTGGGGAGCACAGAGCACAGTGGGGAGCACAGAGCACAGTGGGGAGCACAGAGCACAGTGGGGAGCACAGAGCACAGTGGGGAGCACAGAGCACAGTGGGGAGCACAGAGCACAGTGGGGAGCACAGAGCACAGTGGGGAGCACAGAGCACAGTGGGGAGCACAGAGCACAGTGGGGAGCACAGAGCACAGTGGGGAGCACAGAGCACAGTGGGGAGCACAGAGCACAGTGGGGAGCACAGAGCACAGTGGGGAGCACAAAGCACAGTGGGGAGCACAGAGCACAGTGGGGAGCACAGAGCACAGTGGGGAGCACAGAGCACAGTGGGGAGCACAGAGCACAGTGGGGAGCACAAAGCACAGTGGGGAGCACAAAGCACAGTGGGGAGCACAGAGCACAGTGGGGAGCACAGAGCACAGTGGGGAGCACAGAGCACAGTGGGGAGCACAGAGCACAGTGGGGAGCACAGAGCACAGTGGGGAGCACAGAGCACAGTGGGGAGCACAGAGCACAGTGGGGAGCACAGAGCACAGTGGGGAGCACAGAGCACAGTGGGGAGCACAGAGCACAGTGGGGAGCACAGAGCACAGTGGGGAGCACAGAGCACAGTGGGGAGCACAGAGCACAGTGGGGAGCACAGAGCACAGTGGGGAGCACAGAGCACAGTGGGGAGCACAGAGCACAGTGGGGAGCACAAAGCACAGTGGGGAGCACAGAGCACAGTGGGGAGCACAGAGCACAGTGGGGAGCACAGAGCACAGTGGGGAGCACAGAGCACAGTGGGGAGCACAGAGCACAGTGGGGAGCACAGAGCACAGTGGGGAGCACAAAGCACAGTGGGGAGCACAAAGCACAGTGGGGAGCACAGAGCACAGTGGGGAGCACAGAGCACAGTGGGGAGCACAGAGCACAGTGGGGAGCACAGAGCACAGTGGGGAGCACAGAGCACAGTGGGGAGCACAAAGCACAGTGGGGAGCACAGAGCACAGTGGGGAGCACAGAGCACAGTGGGGAGCACAGAGCACAGTGGGGAGCACAGAGCACAGTGGGGAGCACAGAGCACAGTGGGGAGCACAGAGCACAGTGGGGAGCACAGAGCACAGTGGGGAGCACAGAGCACAGTGGGGAGCACAGAGCACAGTGGGGAGCACAGAGCACAGTGGGGAGCACAGAGCACAGTGGGGAGCACAGAGCACAGTGGGGAGCACAGAGCACAGTGGGGAGCACAAAGCACAGTGGGGAGCACAAAGCACAGTGGGGAGCACAGAGCACAGTGGGGAGCACAGAGCACAGTGGGGAGCACAGAGCACAGTGGGGAGCACAAAGCACAGTGGGGAGCACAAAGCACAGTGGGGAGCACAGAGCACAGTGGGGAGCACAGAGCACAGTGGGGAGCACAGAGCACAGTGGGGAGCACAGAGCACAGTGGGGAGCACAGAGCACAGTGGGGAGCACAGAGCACAGTGGGGAGCACAGAGCACAGTGGGGAGCACAGAGCACAGTGGGGAGCACAGAGCACAGTGGGGAGCACAGAGCACAGTGGGGAGCACAGAGCACAGTGGGGAGCACATTAGGCCGAGTCTATGCTTGAAGCACAGGGGCTTGAAGCACAGGGGCTTGAAGCGCGTCAAAAACAGGTGGGACGAGAGGGGCAGGGGTGCAAGGAGCACAGTGACGTGACGAGGACATTAAGATGAGAATAGGGCAAATAGAAAAGGGAGAAACGAGATGGTAGAGAAGGGAAGAAAGAGGAGGGAAGGCGGGGGGGAGGGAGGGAAGGGAGGAGGGGAGGGAGGGGAGGGACAAGAAACGGGAGTGGGCAAGCAGCAGTTGTTGAAAACAAAAGGGAGTGTGTGGGTCCAGAGGGGTATGTGTGGACCACAAGTGTGCAGCGTGAATGTAAGGATTCTAAAAAGGCTTGTTTCGTGCCCTTTCGTGCCCTTTCATGCTCGTTCATGCTCTTTCATGCTCTTTCATGCTCTTTCATGCTCTTTCATGCTCTTTCATGCTCTTTCATGCTCTTTCATGCTCTTTCATGCTCTTTCATGCTCTTTCATGCTCTTTCATGCTCTTTCATGCTCTTTCATGCTCTTTCATGCTCTTTCATGCTCTTTCATGCTCTTTCATGCTCTTTCATGCTCTTTCATGCTCTTTCATGCTCTTTCATGCTCTTTCATGCTCTTTCATGCTCTTTCATGCTCTTTCATGCTCTTTCATGCTCTTTCATGCTCTGTCATGCTTACATCGTCCTTGAGCTTGGCTGATTCGCGCTTGATGCTCTCCATCTCCTGCCGGGACGCTACTGTATCCCTGCCAGAGCGACGAGAGCGGTGCAGAGGGGTGAAGCACGGTGTGGAGGAGTATCAAGGGGGGCACGTGGGGCAAGGGGTGCACGTGGGGCGAGGCGTGGTGCAGAGTAGTGACGAGGATGCAATATCAGAATGAGAAGGAACATTCACGGATCTCCTCTCCCGCACGTACGCGGATGCATTCACGGAACATTCTTGTCACCCCCCATCTTGAGGCCGCCCATGCCTCCCCCTTTACTTGCAGCAACCCATCCCATACTGTACCCATACGTACGCGCGCCCCCCCATGTCATTACAGACGCCCATGCCTCCCCATAACCATACACCCATAGGATGGGTTTAATACGTGCAGCAGCCCATCCCATACAATACCCATACATACGTACGTGCGCCGGCCCATGTCATTACAAACGCTCATGCCTCCCCCCTTTCATACGTGAGAAACACATCCCACATACCCATGCATACATACACACGTGCTAGTCCTTGCACACACCCCTTCGCGCATCCATCCATCCATGACACTCACCATCCCACACGTGCGCATCAAAGAACCATCTCGCACAGGCCGTCGCCCCATCTTGCTGCATGTCGTATCCTCCCCTCCCCTCCCCTCCCCTCTCGGTGCATGCAGCAAGCAACCCATCCCACAACCATGCATACACGCACAAATTTACACCATCCCCTGAACCATCCCACACGTACGGGCGTCGCCCCATGTCGTAGCCTAGCCGCCCATGCCTCCCCCCTTTTGATGCGCGCATCTACCGCACCGCATGCATACGCACACAGACGGGCACCTGCCCAAGCACCAACCCACGCACTCATCGCCCCATGTCGTACCATCCCATCCCCCTTGACACGAATACGCGCATCTACCACATGCATACACACACATACAGGCACCTGCCCAACCATCAATCCACGCATTCGTCACCCCATACACCATCCACTACGTACGGGCGTCGCCCCATGTCGTAGCCTAGCCGCCCATGCCTCCCCCCCCTCGATACAGGTCCCCCATGGGGTCAGTCGGGGGTGTCTTTTCCGCCCTCTGCCATCCATCGCCTCACACCCACACATTCGCGCATCTCCCCTCCCTCCTCCCTATGCATGCACCATCCAATCCCACACGTACGGGCGTCGTCCCATGTCGTAGCCGCCCATGCCACCCAGAAGCCATCCCACAACCCTACATACACGCACATACATGCACCTCCACATGCATGCACCAATCCACACATCCGTCACCCCATCCACCCTCAATCCCACACGTACGGGCGTCGTCCCATGTCGTAGCCGCTCATGGCTCCCCCCCCTCGGTACGGGTCCCCCATGGGGTCGGGCGCGTCATATCCCCCTGCTGGCCTCGTGCGCCCCATCGCGCCCCCTGTGGGGGGTTGGCGCATTCCCCCGCCCGACCTGGGGAGCTGGGAGGCGGGGAGAGGGGGAACGGCGAGGGAAACGGGGTGCGCGAATCAGGACAGGACGCATTTCATAACAGCAGAAACCTATAGTATAGTTAAGATAAGAAGATATCTGAACTTATAGCGCGTAACTGTAACCATGTAAACAAATAGCCTTGCTTAATATCGCACAAAATAACCTCCCCGTTTCAGATCAGCACTCTCAGCCGTATTGAGACCACCCATCCTTGACGAGACGCCAACAAATCAATTGAAAGGCGTTGACTGAACATAGTGCGTTGACTTCGCGTCAGTGTTGACCTCCAGTCCAACCTCGTCGAGATCAGTCTAATCTACCGTCCTTGACCTCAGTCCCCCGTCGTTGACCTAGTCTTCGCCACTGCTATTTCAGCTTATCATCCTTTACCTGAGCTCATCCTCTCGTTGACTTCAGCCTAACGTCGTTGACCTCAGTCTCCCGTCGTTTACCTAATCTTCGCCACTGATGACGTCAGCTATGTTCCTGTCTCGTCGACCTCAATAGACGTTGACCTTATTTCCGCCAATGCTGACGTCAGCGTAGCATCCTTGACCATCCGACGTTGACCTTAATTCATCGTCTTGTTTACCTCAATCTCCCGTCGCGTTGACCTTACTACCCGTCGTCGTTGACCTCAGTCTGCCGTCGTCGTTGACATAGTCTTCCTCATCGCCAAAGTCAACCTACCGTCCTTGACCTGAACTCATTGGCTCGTCGCCTCATCGTCTCACTCATCGTCTCATCGTCCCAATGTCTCATCGTCTCACTGTCGCATTGTCGCAATAACCTGAGATTCACCAGCAGTCCACGACCACCGTCAACATCAAAAGGTGTGGGCTTTACGTCTTACCATGCTAGACATAGCTTCACGCCGATGGCCAGGACCTATCTAATCGTTCAGTCGACCGGATGGCTCCGGAACAAACTAAGCAAAGTGGCATGCGGCCGCATAGAACGTTTCGCCGAGTTTGCCCATTTCCGGCACTGCGTTAATAACGAGGCAGTCGCTCCGGCTTAGCTCTTGGGAACCTGTTCCATGCATTCTACGACAGGCACACTGCGACCGGCACGCCGTAATTATCGGAGAATACTAAGATCTGCACACTACTAAGACCGGCACATTACGACCGGCACACCAGGCCGGCACACTACGACCGGCACAATACGGCCGGTACACTACGACCCGCGCGCACACGCAGACAGCGCGCGCACCTGGCTGCCGTAGTCGTCTTGGGATTCATCCGACGTGTTAGACATGAGCGCGCGGAGCCGCTGCTGCGCCTGCAGCGCCGCATTGCTGCGCGACGACGGTCCGCCGGGCCCCTTGCCCGCGCCCGCGGGGGTTCCTGCTGCCCCTCCGTACCGGCCTGACCGCGCGCCATACCCTCCGGGGCGCGACGGATTCATGGCCGCGCGCAGAGATTACGAGGAAGAATAATTACCCTTAGAACAATGGGGAATAAACCTAACTTCACCCGTGCCACTACGCTGGCGTTTCAAATATCGACGCCCCCAGAAAACCGAACCTGGTCAAAGACGCTTCCCGCTGGTGAATCTACGGGGGCCTAGCGAGCAGTTGTCTTCAGTCACTGTAATACAAATGGAGTGCTTGCTCGCGGTCCTAGCAACTGGAAATACCTAGGAACGTGATCTGCAGAAAGGAAGGCATGAATGGAAGCAACCCATCTGCAGAAAGCAACCCAGAGATTGGTTTGTTGGGGATGATGGGTGGCGTGTTGGACCCAAGTGGTCGTGGCGAAGAAAAAATTGTAGCGGTAACTTGAATTCGTGAATTTCAGGTCAGTGGTCTTAGGACGTGTCAAATACGCCTAGGTCCGCGCAGGTGGCCCGAACCAGCTTGACAAGACAGAGAACCAGCCACGGACCAGCGGTTCACAATAACCGAACTCTAGATCCTCGAGACCAGGGCTAATTTTATCAGGGTAAATCACCCTGATACCCTGATAATCAGGGTGGTTTTTGGCTGTCACACTGATGCCTTAGGGTACTTTTCTCAGGAGCTTGTATTTTCCTGATAGGCCAGGGTTTACGTTTAAGGAACACTGACGGCCCAGGGTTACCGATCTTCATAACGAGTTTTACCCTGAATCGAGTACATACCCCCCAAGGCGGGCCCCCCCCCCCCCCCCCCTACCCCACCCCCCCTTTCCCGTAACCAGAGGTTCTCGCGTGCCAACTGTCGAAACTGAAATTTGGCAAAGGCAATATCTGAGCTGGCACGAGGGGGGCCTCCATTTTCCAGAAGTACAGTTTCGTTATTGCCTGCCAACGATAATATCAATACACCAGGGTTTGCAAAACTGGTACACTGATCCTACAGGGTATAATTTTCAAAAACTAGGAAAACCCTGATGGATCAGGGTTTGAACAAGGTGTCACACTGATAATCAGGTTTTTGGACTTGTGCAACACTGATCACAAGGGTTGCTGAAAACCAAAAATTAGCCCTGCTCGAGACCCAAGTTGCCCTAAAACAATCCGACCAACTAAGCGACCACCTTCCTAAGGGGGGGGGGGAATCTAATTCTCCTTATCTAGGTCGTACTGCCTTCCTGTAAGGAAAAAGACCCTTTTCCTTACTTAGCATCCCTGCTTACCGCGTACACAACTGTTCCCGCAACAGTACCGCAACATTAAACCGCTACCACCTCGCGACACTCGCCTCGACCACTGTTCCCGCCACTGTTCACATCGCGACCCAACCTGACGGCTCGGCTGGTAACCCGCGCTCCGGCCCTCCGCCTCGACAGTTCCCAACCTCGGCGCCAGGCCCGTCGCGCATCCCACAATTCGTTTGTTACCGTTACCACGCTAGTTCGCTATTTAAAGCTGCGGTCTACATACTTCGAGGGGTTTTGGGGGGTATTTTGAGTGCTAACCCTTTGGCGTGTGTTCATTGGATTGCGAAGTGAATGCTTTTCTCAATCACCAGTGCGATGAACCAGAACAAGGGTGGTGAGCCCAACCACATTTCGTGAGAGGGTTGGGTTGGGGGAAGGAATGGCGGAGAAGGTTGGAAGAGGGGGAAGAAAGGGCGGAGGGGAAGGAACAGCAGCGCGTAACCTGACACACCAAGTTCTAAACGTCTGTATTTTCACATCGACCCCCTCGACTAGGACCTACTTACTAACCTATCATCACACGCATGCAAGCCTAAACCAGCACGATCCGCGCTAAATAAACTAGGCGACTGTGGCGAACAGAGCACAGCAGGTTTCGAAGGTGCAGTGTCGACAAGGCGCGCAGGCTGATGTGTTACAGGGGAAGTGTCTCCAGCGTGAGCTCCCTACTTCCAACGACGGTAGCAGAAGGAGCGCCATACTGATATATAGCTGCTTCTCGTTCAGTATATATCGTTACGAATCGTTCCCGCTCACTTCCGCCTCTGCTCCTCCCTCCATACCAAACCGTCTGTCCGTTTACGCTCTCCGCAACTTTCCGCGACGTGCGAGCGTCGACTCGTCCAGGCGACGAAATGAGTGCCGCTCGCCTTCCCGCGCTCCTCGCGCTCGCGCTCCTGCTGCTGCGGCTGCTGCTCGTCGCCAGCCTGCTGGTTACCCCGCTGCGCGCCGAGGACGGCGACGCCATTCTTGATAAGAGAGAATGACGCTCGGTCAGAATGACGAACGGCGGAGAGGGGGGGCGGAGTGAATGCTGCGCGCCAATTGACGGGCAGCGTCGATTGACGAGCAGCAGCTCGTCGGGCGGCGCGCCGAAGACTGACGGATTTCTCGATCAGGTGAGGGGCGAGAGTGACGAGGAGCGCGTGGGGGGTGAGGGCAGAGGGGGGTGAACTCTGCGCGCCTAGGAGGACCACGCGGGGCAGCGCCGCGCGGGGGAATGCTGCGCCGCGCGGGGGAATGCTGCGCCGCGCGGGGGAATGCTGCGCCGTGCGGGGGAATGCTGCGCCGTGCGGGGGAATGCTACGCCGCGCGGGGGAATTCCGCGTGCGGTAGACGGTTGTACTCATTCACACGCATACCTTTCCCCATCCCCCCCCTCGCTTCATTCAAGTCCCTCTGGCTGCGCGGGTTTTGAGACATCTCAAGCATCTCCTCTCCTCTCCTCTCCTCTCCTCTCCTCTCCTCTCCTCTCCTCTCACTGCCTCTCCTCCCCGCACCCATCCTTTCCTCCCCGCTTTCATCCCCGCTCCCATCCTTTCATCCCCGCTCCCATCCTTTCCTCCCCGCTCCCATCCTTTCATCCCCGCTCCCATCCTTTCCTCCCCGCTCCCATCCTTTCCTCCCCGCTCTCGTCCTTTCCTCCCCGCTCTCGTCCTTTCCTCCCTGCTCTCGTCCTTTCCTCCCCGCTCTCGTCCTTTCCTCCCCGCTCTCGTCCTTTCCTCCCCGCTCTCGTCCTTTCCTCTCCCCTCTCATCCTTCACCATAGCGCTCTCACCCTAAGCCCTCCCTCAGCTCATTCCAGCTCCTCCCGTCCCTGTCCCCCTTCTTCCCCTCATGTCCCCCGCTCCTTCCCCCCTTTTTCCCCCTCCATGCCCTCATTCCCATTCCTCCTTCCCCTCATTTCACCCTTTTCTTTCCCATTTCCCCACTGCTTCCCTTTGATTTCCCCGCTCCCCCCTTCCGCCACCTGCTTCTGCAGCGTGGTCACCGCCACGGAACCGCCATCTGCACGTTTGACGAGGTGCGCGAGATGCGCCCATTCATGCGCCATCCCTCCGAGCCCTGCCTCGCCGCCCTCCGGTAGTGGTGAGTGCGGGCGTTGTGATTGAGTCTGCATTACTCCCGTGGCAGCAGCGTGGGTGCGAGACGCAGACTCTCTCCCCCCTGTCCTCCTCTCTCCCCCCTGTCCTCCTCTCTCCCCCCTGTCCTCCTCTCTCCCCCCTGTCCTCCTCTCTCCCCCCTGTCCTCCTCTCTCCCTCTATCCCCCCGTTTCCCTTCCCCCAGCTTCCCTTCCCCCCACTTCCCATCCCCCCTTTTTCCCGTCCCCCCATTTCCCTTCCCCCCGTTTCCCTTACCCCCATTTCCCTCTCCCCCATTTCCCTTCCCCTCATTACCCTTCCCCCATTTCCCTTCCCCCTGCTTCCCTTATCTCCGTTTTTCTTCCTCCTGTTTCCCTTCGCCCCATTTCCTACACCTGACGAATATTGGCCCTTGCAACCTGTTCCCCTTCTTTTTCCCCTTCTTTTCCCCTTCCTTTCCCTTTGCTTTCCTTATGCCCAGGATATTGCTCTGCCACTCTCCTCCGCGTCCTCGGCTAAGTGTGCTGTGCAGGCTGCAGCAGGGCAGCGGGGCGCCATGTAGAGGAGCGCCCTGCAACCACACGCGCCATAGGGCGCCATGGCACCACACGCGACATGGCACTCTCTATTCGCCCTGCCACCACACACGCCACTCATCCACCCCTCCTTCCCTCCTGCATGGGCCTCCGACTTGCTGATGCAGCTGGGGTGACTGCAGCAACATGAGCTCCACATGGGCTCTCACCACTCAGCAGGAGCTAATCAGCCGACATGTGTGCGGAGGCGACAATACGAGTGGACAAAGGCCGTCTTGTAACTCAGGTTATTTACCATATAATACATAAATCTTCTCCACACCCACCACCAGTGTTGCAAATGATGAACCATACAGTCACCCAACACATGACAAATGGTATCATTATTGAATATATAGAACCTCAAACTGATTAGGGTAATTGGTATATGCGATGTTATGGTACGGCAAGGGCCCACATCACACTAGCCTAAATCGCACTAACTTGTCTGCTTGGTTGCTTCATGCCTCATGAGCTGCACCACGGAAGAGAACAGGGAGGGAAGAGAGAGCAGGGAGGGAAGAGAGAGCAGGGAGGGAAGAGAGAGCAGGGAGGGAAGAGAGAGCAGGGAGGGAAGAGAGAGCAGGGAGGGAAGAGAGAGCCATGGCAGGGCATGTGAGCCATGGCAGGGCATGTGAGCCATGGCAGGGCCGCCCCTGCATCCCATTCATGCACACTCCCACAGCCCTCCCTTCTCCTCACAACACTCTTCACCTCCCCCACCTCCCCCCACCTTCCCCCACCACGCGTTGGGGGAACTTGGTCATGTGAGCAACGATGTCGGCCATGGCAGGGCCACCCCTGCACCACACTGCACCTCTGCAGTCACACCGCACCTCTGCAGTCACACTGCACCTCTGCAGTCACACCGCACCTCTGCAGTCACACCGCACCTCTGCAGTCACACTGCACCTCTGCATCCACACTGCCTTCGAAGCTGCAGAGAGAAGGAGGGAATAAAAAGGTGGGCACCTACGTGCTGCTCACTCGCACTTCCCCATTCCCTCACCCACCCAATCCCGCACCCTGACAACCCATGGAGTGAAAACGGCCATGCACTTGCAGTGCAGGCGGGCCTGACTTAATTCAAGTGGCATCGCAACACCACCCACCCACCACCCACCCACCCCCTCCCCCCCCCCTTCCCCCCCCCCCCCGGTCCAAGCCAGCCATGTTCCCAATGAAGATAGCCATGAGCTTCTTTTGAGGCGCCTCAAAAGTCACCCCCCCCCCCCCCCCACCCACCCACCCACCCACCCCCCCACCCACCCTCCCGGTCAAGCCAACGGAGCCACGGACCGAGTGAAGATGGCCATGAGCTTGCCGTGCAGCACATCGTCGGGGGGCGAGCGCACTGCCAGCTTCACATAGGCTGACAGCATGAGGGCGCGCGTGGGGATGCTGCTCGCATGCTAACCCCCCGCGCCTGCTCGCATGCTAACCCCCCCCGCCTGCTCGCATGCTAACCCCCCGCGCCTGCTCACGTGCTAACCCCCCGCGCCTGCTCGCATGCTAACCCCCCGCGCCTGCTCGCATGCTAACCCCCCGCGCCTGCTCACGTGCTAACCCCCCGCGCCTGCTCGCATGCTAACACCCCGCGCCTGCTCGCATGCTAACCCCCGCGCCTGCTCGCATGCTAACCCCCCGCGCCTGCTCACGTGCTAACCCCCCGCGCCTGCTCGCATGCTAACCCCCTGCGCCTGCTCGCATGCTAACCCCCCGCGCCTGCTCGCATGCTAACCCCCCGCGCCTGCTCACGTGCTAACCCCCCGCGCCTGCTCGCATGCTAACCCCCCGCGCCTGCTCACGTGCTAACTCACCGTGCCTGCTCACATGCCTTTCTCCCGCCTCTGCTCGCATGCTAACCCCCCGCGCCTGCTCACGTGCTAACCCCCCGCGCCTGCTCGCATGCTAACCCCCCGCGCCTGCTCGCATGCTAACCCCCCGCGCCTGCTCGCATGCTAACCCCCCGCGCCTGCTCGTATGCTAACCCCCCGCGCCTGCTCGCATGCTAACCCCCCGCGCCTGCTCACGTGCTAACCCCCCGCGCCTGCTCACGTGCCCCCCCCCCCCGCGCCTGCTCGCATGATAACCCCCCACGCCTGCTCGCATGCCTTTCTCCCGCCTCTGCTCGCTTGCCATTCTTCCGCGCCTGCTCGCATGCTAACCCCCCGCCTTTGCGCGCTTGCTGTCCCCCCGCACCTGCTCGCATCCGACAACCCTCGCATGTCGAGGCTTACCCCGACGCAAATTCTCGCTCCCATCCCCCTCTTCCCTCCGCATCGTCGGTGCTCATTCCCGTCCGCATCGCCAAACCGCGTCGCTGCTCACACCATGCCGCTCGCCTCACGTGATCGCGGCAGCTCCGAGCGCGCGCCCCGCACGTAAACGCGGCACACACCCCACCGCCACTCGCGCGATATCGCAACCCATTCCCGTCCGCGGCTCACACCTCCTCGCTGCAGACTTCAGTTTGTGTTACGTATTCTCTTATACTGAATCGCGTCTCGCGCCCGGTGAATACAATTTCGTTTGTCACCTTTTAGTACCACAGTGGTAGAAAGCGATATGAGGAGTGGACCGTAACAGTGAAATGCAGGAACATGAGCTTGGTGGGAGCGCTACTTGGAAAGAGAGAGGACGACGGTAAAGCTTGCGGCTCTGTGGAGAGGAGAACGAGGCGATATGGCGAGCAGATATCCGGCGACGAGACCAGCTAATCGAAGGCGATGAGGCGAAAATATATGAGGCGAGGAGGTGAACCACCGTGACTGGGCGACATGTTTTCCTAACAGTGACTGTTAGGCGAGGCGGCGCTCAGCTATTTGGCAACGAGTAAGGGCAGAACGCGACGGTGTGTTCGACTACGCTGGTAATCCGCGGCCGATGCGGCCTAAATCGCTATTGCGATCGAGGTGTAGGTACCAGAAGGAGGTTTCATTTTGTGGCGACTATAATCTCTGGAATCACTAGGGGTCTATGGAGTGATCTATGGCAAAACCATCGTCGGACCAGTTTTGGTCTACAAACCATCATGCGGGTCAAGTTCTAATCTGGCGAACTTGTTTCGGCTCACCCGCCACCCCCCTCCCTCCTTCCGCCTCGACTTTCGTTTCTCCGCAAAGGGGTACTTTTGGGGACAGTGTTACCCTGTTCTCAAGTGATAAACCTTTGCCTCCCGCTTGAGGTATGTAGACCGCAGCTTTAACATTCGCTCATGCATTCGTTCAATGCATTGTTTTGCTTCGATAGTGCAGTCTTCGCCCGCTCACACGATTGCACTCATAGCACTTGGCATTCAAAGCCACGACCCTTTTCGGACCGCGCCCACACCTTCGCTTCCCAACTTATCACATTTCGGGGGGGGTTAGATGTCCCTCAGTGCCTGGCACCGCTGCTCTTGTGCTCTCTCGGTACTCACAGCCACGACATAGGCTACCGGTGAGCCAGCCCGACACCCCTGCCATGGACGAAACATGCCGCATTCCGCTCGCAACTTTGATGCAAGAGCATCCCAACGAGCTTATGCGCCAGCTGGAGGAAATTACACTCGCAATCGCGACACTCACGGCGGAGCGCGACTCTGCACGGCAGCAGTCGACGACGAATGTGTTGGCCCCGCCCTCGCTTGGGCGACGCCGACGTCCTGGTCGGATGTACGGGAGAAGCAGCCGACCATACGCAGTGAGGGAGCTGCTCGACGGGCTTCGTCGAGCTGCAGGGGATCGCTGCGGTGTTGCCATCGACCAGAGGAGCTCGACGGCCTTCTTCTGAGGGGCAGTTCGACGAGGTGGTCGTCGACCTGCACAGGACTGTCGCGGGGCTGGAGTCGTCGACCAGGGGAGCTCGACAACTGCAGCTGACTGGTCTGGTCGACGGACGGGCCGTCGACCTGGAGGAGCAGCTGACAGTGCTGGTCGACGGAGGGGTCCGTCGACCAGGGTGCTCCTCGACGGGAGTTGTGGTCGACGAGGGAGGCGTCGACCAGAGGACTGGGTGGTCGACCAGGTCGACCACGTAACCTGCTCGGCGAGTTCTGCGGAGGCACGCGAACGTCGTCGAGGTCGCGATGGCGAAGGCGACTTCGGGCTGGTATCCCGAAGTCGATGTGGCTCGTTAGGCGCAGACCACAGCCGACAGATGCACAACGGTGCAAGTCGGGCCACTCGTCTGCGCGCACCTGCATACGTGCGCACTGATGTCTTCTACGGGTGCAACGCTGGACAGCCGCTCTGCTGCAGCGTTGGCACGCCGTCGACCTGCTGTGTTGGCAGGCCGCGTTTCTGCAGTGTTGGCGCGGCTCCTCTACGCAACGCTGGCAGGCGGTCGACCATGCTGTGCTGGCGGTCGACCAGGCTAGCTGCAGAGTTGCTAGGTGCCTGATGTAGTCATTCTTGTCATTGTCATTGCTATCATTCTGTAATACAACTTTGCTAGTGGAAACTCTTGCCAAATTCTCCCGTGAATGCGCAAGTGCTAAGGAACGCATGCAAAGCTACGATCACTCCTAAAGTTCGTGCCAACCCCCGTAGTCTAGCTCACCACTATTGTAGAGTGACTCTCCGCAGAATGCACCAGCACCGACATCAGAAATGTACCCGCACAAACTGAAGAACTAATGGTCATTTCATCTGGAACACCATCGCAACACGACAGCGTGGGACAGCGCGCACGCACAGTCAGCGATGGCGCCGCCCAATTCATGATGGGCGTGGAACGGACCAGGGAGGCACCGGGCGTCAGCACACCTCGCGAAGCCCGTCGTCACGTCAGCATTGCGGCACCGGTCGGAAATAACAACATTGGTGAGCCGATGCCACTCAAACTGCAGCGCCCGCCCTCTTTCGATACTAGCCAGCGTGGAGGTCCGACGGTTCAATCGTGGATTTTAACGATCAACGTGTGTTTTTACTCGAATTACGTCACATCGGATGCAGCGAAGATCCGGTACGCCGTTTCCATGCTGCGTGGGCCCGCCATGGACTGGTGGCGAGTTATGGTAACGTCGTTGAGCGCCTACGAGCCATTGACGCAAGGGGAAAGGCCCTCGGGGCCAGCTCTCACTTGGAGTTCATTCTGGGAAGTCGCCCAATACAGCACGTGTTACGCGTGGTGCGCAGGGCTACGGGCGCGCTTAGAGCCGATCACAGCTTCGATCTCAGCACGCCAGAGGTTCCGCACTTGGAGGCATCTTGGGTCGATTCAAGACTGCACCTGCGGTTTTCTCGCGCTATGCAAACAGGTCGGCTACATGCACGAATCGGGGCGAGTGGATCGCTACGTAGATGGCTTGAAGCTGGAAATTGCGCAGGAAATTCTCCTACGCGACATTTCGAATTTCAACGATCCTGGTGCTCGTCGAAAAGAACGATATCCTGCGACGACCGAGGCCGGGGTCCAACCACTATGGACAACGTACTCGGGGAACGACCGAGCACGCCACAGTTCACGCCGTTGCGACAAATACATCGGTCACGTCGTTTAAGAGGCGTTGCTTTGCGTGCAACAGGCCGGGCCATCGCAAGAGCGAAAGCCCAGAGGAGCTCAGACATCGAGGAGCAGAGCAGGGGAGGGAGTCTGGAAGGCAGGGAAGCGCGAGCAGTCAGTACGGGCCCACTACAGACGAGACTCACTGCTCGCCCGACCCCACCGACCCTCACCGAGTGACTGTTCCGGTTCAGGCAATCGATCGGGCTCGGCTGAATAAGGAGGGTACATCGACAGATTGCCAAATACTGATTCACGGGAAAATACAAGGGACAACAGTGAAAGTTTTTATTGGTTAAGGGGCTAGTCTCAGCTTGGTTAAAACTGCAACCGCGAGGAAACTGCAACTGAGACTTAGTCCCTGCTTAAAGGAGATCGACGCGCGCTTAGTTGACGGCACACAGATGGCAATACAATAAAAAGTGGAAAAAATGAAGATTCGCTGCGAGGGAATGTTCGGATTTACACAGGAAATGCTCGCGACAATGCTGGATGGGCCTCTTGGGCTACGTGATTGGCAGCGACGTTACAACCCGCAAATTGACTGGATGACAGGCAGTTGCACAGTGCGAAGTGGCGGTAACTAGTGTCAGAAGTACGAACGATAATGGATGAACTAGCAGCAAGATGAGTACAAGTAGCAAACCCTAATTGGGTTGTACCCCATATGGGCTACCCCACTATAGCCTACACAATGAGCAGCATATAAGTTTGACACACCCTTATAGGCAAAGTGGGGGAGAACAAGAGGTCACAAGACCGGTCAAGAAAAGCAAAGCAAGCTCAGGGTGGATCACGAAGTCACCACGCATTCTGAGCACAAACAAATGGCCACAAGGCCAGTTCACATGCAGAGTTATATAAAGGAGAACAAGCAGTACAGTGATCACAACCT